AGTGTTAGAAGTAGAGGAGGCGTCTAAGTTACTAAAGGGCGCTAGCCTTTTTACTAACCTATATATATAGACACTATAGGATAAAGTAGTATTAGAAGATAAGATATACTAAGTGCGTCTTAATATAGTTTAGAAAGGCGCTAGGTCTTTCCTAGTTCTAGCTAATATAAAGTAATAGATTAGGGACTATATAATTAGCGCATATAGTACTTTACTTTAGAGGGGCGTTATTTAGTTACTAATATAGGAACCCCTTATAACTACTATTATATAGTAAGTATATAAATTAGGTTTAGTAGGATATCTAGGAAAGAATATAATATTTTAAATACTACGCTATAACTATTATTAGGATAGAATATTAGGAGATATTATATAGTATATTTAGAACTGCTATTATTATAGTGCTTATATCTCCTAAAGGCGCTAATAGGGTCTATTATAACCTATACTAGTTATGTTATAATACTAGTCCTAAATATCTATAGATTTTATAGTTAACCTACCTACAAAAGATAATAGAAAACCTTAGTACCTATTAGTTATTACTAATAGATTGTCTAAATATATTTAGCTTAAAGTAATAGTCTCTATAGTAGCTAATTATTGTGTAAGGATCTTCTAGGACAACTAGTAGTAGTTCTAGGGCTTCCTATCCTCTATTATTACTAACTAAGGCTCTAACTAGTTAAGATCTTTCTAGATAATATTATACTAGATAATAAAGATAAACTAGTTACTATCTACTATATACTACCCTTAGATAGATAGCAGGATAGAGTAGGTAAACTAAGAAGTGCAGGTAGTGCTGCGTATAATAGTATACTTTAAGCAGACTAACTAGCCTAACTACCTACTAGCCTTCTAACTTGCACTTAATAATAGGGACTCTAGTATAACTAGTATTAGCCTAAATCTACTTTTAAATAGGTATACTATAGATATGCTATAAAAGTTAATATTACTACTAGTAAAGCCTAAGAATCCTTATAGGGAGGCTATAGCGTTCTTATTGCACCTATAGAGGGGTGTAGAGCTAGTATAAGCTACTATTATATTCTAATAGTAATAATAATAGGAAGTAATAAACTAGTCCTAATACCTAGCTAAAAAGTTCCTAAAAAGTAATATAGTTTAGTTTATAATATATAATATAAAGATAAACTAACTAAGTAAAAAGTTTAACTAGCTATAAGTAAAGTATAAAGTAATAGAAGTTCTTACTCTACTTATAGTAGTATTAGACTTACTAGGGAGCTTATATAAGACTATATATATAGATCTACTAGAGAGAGCTACTAATAACCTACTACTAAGCTAGAAGCTTTAGGACTTATAACTAGGTCTAATAGTTACTCTAGAAAATAAAGATATAATACTAGATAAATAGGAAGTAGAAGAGATCCTTTATATAAAGAATATAAGAGAAAAAGGGAAGTATTAAGTCCTAGTAAAATAAAAGGGGTATATTAATCTAATATAGCACCTACTAGAGGTAGTATAGGATACTAAGGCTCTAGATAGGTTTAAGGAATAGTATAGGGATGCTATATATAATAATAGCCTAATATATATAAAAACTAGGAAGTAAGGGTAAAAAGAAACTAGAATAATAACTTAGACCTTTATTATAATTAAGAAGTAGAAAGGTATTAGAGAAATCTTTTAATTATCCTTATAACACTCTAAGTAAGTGCCCTACTACTAAAGTTTTATAATATAGCTAATAATTAGGTAGTAGTATCTATACTATTACTATCTATAACTAACCCCCCCTTAGCCCCCCCTAAACTATTATTTATATTATTCTAACGCCTCTATATCTCTTAGTAATAGTAGTAATACTTATACGTAGCGTAGGTAGGGGATAACTTAGTTAACAAGTATAAGTAGTAGTAGTAGTAGTATTAGAAGAAAGGTAGTGCTTTAATAGCTTGCTAATATATAGTACCCTAGGCCTAAAGAAAATAAATATTAGAATAGATATAAAGGGAATAAGGGAAAACTAATACTAATAATAAGAGTCTTAATACCTTAGGTAGTACGCTTAGTAGCGCTCTTAAGCCTATTAATATAAAGGTTAGTTTAGGCCTAGGTCTTATTTATACGCTAGTTAATATACTAGAAGGTAATACTAGTAGTAGTAGTAAGCTATATAATATTATTATTACTATAACTACTATATAAAGGCGTAATAGTAGACTAAAAAGGAAATACTAGAGTACTAGTAGTAGATAGAATAATAGCACTAAGCTAATACTAATTATAGGTACGTAAGTAAGTAGTAGGGGCAAGTAGAGTAATAGTATTATTAGTTTAAGCCCTTAATATAAGATCCTTAAAATAATAGTAGAGCTAGTAGAACTATAGTATAAACTAGTAATAGGTGCCTTTAGTAGGTTTCCCTATAAAAGTACTAAGGGTCCCCTTCTTTATAATATAAAGGTAATCCTCCTAGTAACTATAATAAAACTAAAGCTAGTTATAGAGGGCTTAGTAAATATTAGGATTATTAGTAAGGATAGCTTCTAACTAAGTATAAGTCTTATAGCTATAATAGTAGGACTTATATAAGTGCCCTAGATATAGTTAGAACTTACTATAAAGGAAATAAAAATTAAAGGGAACTTACTACTACCCTCCTAATAGTTATACTTACTAAAGAGATAAAGCTAGTTAATATACTAATTATAAGAAAGCAGCTTTATAAAGCTACTATTATATTCCTTATTATCTAAATTACTAGAAATAATAAAGCTACTAAGTAACTAGGTTTAGGGAGATATATACTAAATAAAAAGTTAGTATAGGAAATATAGGGAGAATATTAGAAGTACGCACCTTATCTTAGTAGGCCTAGCGTAGGGTCTAACTACCTTATAGTAGATCCCTACTACTAGCACTAGTAGCTATAGATAAAGATATAATAAGGACTAGATAGGTAGGATTAATAGAAAAAGATTAGAGGAAGGGCTAATTAGTAGGGAAAATCTATTATATAATAAAGTAAGTTTAGGAAATTTATAGTAGGGTAGGATAGCTATATTAGAACTTTTATAGTAGGGTACTAAAATAAGCGTATAGACGCTACGCGTGTATATTACTTAATATATAGGCCTATTATAAATTAGGAAGGAATATAAAGATATAATAATAAAACTAAAAAAAAAATATAGTAATAAAGCCTAATATAGATTATAGAGGATAAAGATATAACCCTAAACCCCTAGAAAGACGATTTTATAATAGTTTATAGGGGAAGGTTAGGGGTATATAAAGGAGTTAGGCTTATACCTAAGCCTAGGTCTAATATAAGATAGACTAAGTCTAACACTACTACTAAGCAAACACACTAGACACCTATAAAAAGGCGTAGAGGGCTTATCTCTCCTTTAAGATACTAAATACTATTATTAACGCTTATTATATTCTCCCTTAAGGCTAGTCTATAACACCTACCTATAGTCGCTAGTATCCTAATATATTAAGCACCTGTTACTAGCTTAACTACTTGCTTTATAGTAACTAGCTTGTACGCTAAATCCCTATACTATTACTAGTACTCTACTAGAGCTAGAGTACTATAGTAGCTTATAGCTAACCTAGGCGTTATATTACATGTTACAAACTTTTAAGTATAAGGGCTAAAATATAGCTATATAGTTAATATAATCACGTGGTATATTCTTTACTCCTACCCTAGGTTTGCTAGCAAAAGCCGCGACTTTACCACTAGCAATAGCCGCAAAGCGAATTAGGTAGGTATTGTATCTCCTTGTATTATAGAAAATTACATACAACGCCAAGACGGAGTACTTAGGCAATTACCCCTTAGCGCTTCCCTATTAGGAAGGGCGAGGACGATTAGTCTATTGTGGCGAGGACAATTAGCACTTCCCGGAGGGGAGGGGGCAAGGAGGCAAGAGACAGCGGGGCCGGCCAATGGCGAAGAGATTTGATGATTGCAGGTGCATGGTGTAGCGGCTAGCACCGAGAGCGGGTTAGCGGGTTAGCAGGGGGGGTTCATGGCCAAGCGGGACAAGTGGGCAGTGCAAAACGCCTTGGTCTCTCTTCTGCTGCTGCGCCAAAAGCTGGGCAAAAAAAAAAATAAAGGCAGACAACAAGGGTTCCAATCCTCAGGCAGACATGGGACCTGGTCGCCCGTCCTTCTCCTCCTCTCTTCTTTTTGTTACTGCTGCTACTGCTCACAATCCATATCGATCCCGACTTGCTCACCCACTGTCCTTTCTTTTCGCCATCTGCGCCCTTCCAACCGTGTAGAGTACTCTCTCGACACCTACCTACCTAATGTTCGCTTGCAAGTGATCTACCACAGCCACACCTCCTTCCCAAAACGAGCATGTGCCTTCAAGCATAGCCACACTTCCAGATTGGTTTTCGAATCTCAATTTTTTTTTTGGTTCAGCTTCGTTGAATCCTCGGATCAATATTTCGCCTCCTCCTAGGCCCAAGGAGCTCCTGGTAACCCAAGTGGTAAGTGCACACATCTCTGTAGTTCATGGGCACGCGGTGTTGTTGTTGTTGTTTGGGGGGTGGTAGTCTGCGCAAGAACACGCGCACCACCCTCAACGACTTACTGCGCCACGTCTACTCTGGCTGGACATGGCGAATCAGTCGAGCTAACGCAGTGTTTGTGCGATTCTTTGGTAGATTGCCGTTCGGAGCCCTAATTCCCGCTGGTCGCTTCCTCCGTTTTGTCCTCTTGCCTCTCCCCATCCAAGGGCGACATAACGCAGCCGCCGCTTGGACGCCCACTCACCCACACCCACTCACCCACACCCACACCCACACCCACACCCACACCCACCTCGATTCTCGCTCTCCCTTATAGTCTGCCTGCCCTATTCGCATCCAGCCTTGCTCGTAATCACCTTCACCGGAACTCGACACCCAGCTGACATTCCTACTACGCCTGCTTCCATCACTTGCCCTCACTGCCTTCCACTCAGCCTCCGTCACCACAGCAGCCTACCGCCACCATGGCCGACAAGAGGGACATAGGTCCCTCGCGCCCAAGAGCACCCACCATCACCATCGACACATCTGCTACAAACGACCCGCGCGTCGGACAGCCTGTACCACGGGGAGACATGGCAGATAGCAGCAGGAGATCAACACATTCCAATGGCGACGTCTCGCCGACGCAAAGAAGGGGCCCCTCGCAAGAGCTGCACAATGCCAATTCTTTCGACTCCAACGCGAGCAGGCCAATCAGCCCCCACAATGTCAGCTCGCCCGTCACAAGTTCGAATCATGCCGGCTTGTTGAGCGTCCCAGGCGCACATTCCCGGGGCAACTCGATCGATTCTGCTACTGAGCATGGCGAATCCAACTCGAGTGCAACTTACGTTACCTCATCACAAGGGGATGCTCTCAAGGGCGACCTCGCACCCTCGGAAATCCCAAGTGCCGAAGAGTCTTTGAAGCCAGATCCGGGAACGGTAAGCGTCATGTCCAGAGAGAGAGAGAGTCACCCAACGCGTCACTAACCACGTCACAGGAACACGAATTCGAGGTGGAAAACAACAAGTTTGCTTTCTCGCCTGGCCAACTAGGCAAGCTCTACAATCCAAAGAGTCTGGGTGCTTTCCATGCACTCGGAGGGCTCGATGGAATAGAAAAGGGTCTCAGGACCGACAGAAAAGCCGGTCTCAGTCTAGACGAGCAATACTTGGATGGAGTCGTCACCTTTGAAGAGGCAACCGCGCCAACCGTGTCGCAATCTCCGCAGAAATCCGCCACAAACGGCGCTGGACACGCCGAGAGTGAGCTCAAGAGTGCTGGAGAAAACGCATTCGCCGATCGAAAGCGCGTTTTCAGCGACAATCGACTACCCGTACGGAAACCAAAGAACATCTTCCAGCTCGCTTGGATGGCCTACAACGATAAAGTGCTCCTCTTGCTGACTGCAGCCGCCATCATCTCGCTTGCTCTTGGTCTCTATCAAACTTTTGGTGCCGAACACGCGCCTGGTGAGCCCAAGGTGGAATGGATCGAAGGTGTGGCTATTATTGTAGCCATCGCCATCGTTGTCATCGTCGGCGCGGCCAACGACTGGCAGAAGGAACGACAATTCGTCAAGCTCAACCGGAAAAAGGAAGATCGAACCATCAAAGTGATTCGCTCGGGTGCGACTCGCGAGATTTCGGTGTACGACATTTTTGTTGGCGACGTCGTCTGCTTGGAGCCCGGTGACATGATTCCCGTCGATGGCATTCTCATCACAGGTCATGGCATCAAATGCGACGAATCCTCGGCTACCGGCGAATCTGATTTGTTGAAAAAGATGTCAGGAGACGAAGCTTTCAAGGCGATTGAGAGGCATGACAACCTGAAAAAGGTGGACCCGTTTATCCTTTCGGGAGCAAAAGTCTCGGAGGGTGTAGGGACCTTCATGGTAACAGCTACCGGTATCCACTCTAGCTACGGAAAGACGATGATGTCTCTACGCGAAGACAGTGAAGTCACTCCACTACAGAACAAGTTGAATGTCCTTGCGACCTACATCGCCAAACTGGGAGGAGCAGCGGCACTGTTGCTCTTCGTCGTCCTGTTCATCGAATTCCTCGTCCGCCTCAAGAGCGGCAACCGAACGCCAGCGGAAAAGGGTCAAAATTTCCTCGACATCCTCATTGTTGCCATCACTGTCATCGTTGTCGCTGTTCCCGAAGGTCTACCGCTAGCAGTCACACTGGCTCTCGCTTTTGCCACAACGCGCATGTTGAAGGACAACAACTTGGTTCGCTTGCTGCGCTCCTGCGAAACCATGGGAAATGCTACAACGATTTGCTCGGACAAAACCGGTACCCTGACCCAGAACAAGATGACGGTCGTTGCCGGTTCTCTTGGCACGGCTCTCCGCTTTGGTGACCACAAATTGAAAGCATCGGGTGCTCCCGATGTAGACGATGCTACCAAGGGCAAGGACGTTGTGGAATCGCCCGTCGAGAACTCCAACGATGTTTCTGCGACCGAGTTTGTATCCACCCTGAACAAGGAAGTCAAAGATCTACTCGAGCAATCCATTGTTCAGAATACTACGGCCTTTGAAGGCGAGATTGGAGGTCCTGATCCCTTTATTGGATCCAAGACTGAAACCGCTCTCCTAGGATTCGCACGCGACTATTTGGGCATGGGCAATGTGGCACAGGAGCGCTCGAATGCCAATATTGTCCAGGTAATTCCTTTCGACTCTGCTATCAAGTGCTCCGGAGCGGTTGCAAAACTCGACGATGGCCGCTATCGCATGTATGTCAAAGGTGCCTCGGAGATTCTCCTAGGCATGTGTGACAAGATTGTTACAGATGCGTCCAAGGAGCTGGTCGAAGCACCCATGACCTCGGACAATCGCGAGACTCTCGAACAGGTTATTACGACGTATGCCTCGCGCTCGCTGCGAACGATTGGACTCATTTACCGCGACTTTGAGAGCTGGCCACCTGCGGATTCACGCAAGAATGAAGACGATCCTAGCCAGGCTGTCTTCTCAGACGTCTCGAAAAAGATGACATTTCTCGCTGTTGTGGGTATTCAGGATCCTCTACGACCAAGCGTCCGCGAGGCTGTCAAGGACTGCCAGCATGCAGGTGTCTACGTACGCATGGTCACCGGTGACAACGTGCTTACCGCCAAGGCAATTGCTGAGGACTGCGGTATCCTGGTTCCTGGCGGCGTCGTCATGGAAGGGCCCACTTTCCGCAAGCTTTCCAAGAGAGACATGGATGCCGTCATTCCAAAGCTTTGCGTTCTTGCTCGCTCCAGCCCTGAGGACAAGCGTAGGCTCGTGAAGCGTCTCAAGGAGCTCGGTGAGACTGTCGCAGTCACTGGTGATGGAACCAACGATGCTCCTGCGCTCAAGACGGCCGACGTTGGTTTCTCCATGGGTATTGCTGGTACTGAAGTGGCGAAAGAGGCGTCTGCTATCATCCTCATGGACGACAACTTTGCCTCGATTGTAAAGGCTTTGCTCTGGGGTCGCGCTGTGAATGACGCTGTCAAGAAGTTCCTCCAGTTCCAGATCACGGTCAACATCACCGCTGTCCTGCTCACCTTTGTTTCGGCCGTTTCCAGTCCCGATCAAACATCGGTACTGACGGCCGTCCAACTGCTCTGGGTCAATCTTATCATGGACACGTTCGCCGCACTCGCCCTCGCAACCGATCCACCCACTCGCACTCTGTTGGACCGAAAGCCAGATCCCAAATCTGCTCCTCTGATCACTCTTAGGATGTGGAAGATGATTATTGGTCAGGCCATCTACCAACTCACAGTCACCTTCATCCTGTACTTTGCGGGCAAATCCATTCTCTCCTATGACAGTGACCGGGAAGCGGAACAGCTCCCTGCGCTTGTTTTCAACACGTTTGTCTGGATGCAAATCTTCAACGCATTGAACAACCGCCGTCTAGACAACCGGTTCAACGTCTTCGAGGGCATCACCCACAACTGGTTCTTCATTGTCATTTTGGCTATCATGATTGGCGGTCAGACCATGATCATCTTCGTTGGTGGCGTCGCCTTCAAGGTGACTCGCCTGAATGGTGCTCAATGGGGCTACTCGATAGTCTTGGGTGCCTTGTCCCTGCCCGTTGGCATGATTGTCCGCTTGATCCCAGACGAGCTCATCCGCAAGTGCATTCCCGATTTCTTCAGGCGCAAACAGACGCCCGAGGTTGTCATTTCTGACGATGATTACCAATGGAACCAGGGTCTCCTTGAGATTCGCGATGAGCTTGCTTTCCTCCGAAAAGTGCGTGGAGGCCGCCTCAGCAGCTTGAAGTTCAAGGTTCAACACCCCAAGGAAATCTTCACCAAGTCGCGGTCCAGCATCTCGGCCCCGAGCACCCCCAACAATGGACCGGCGGCAGACGATGGTTCTCCCGCTCCACCGACACCCAACAGCCGCAGACGCGCCAGGTCGCGCTCCAACTCCGCCTTTGGTCCTGCCACCGTCATGGCTGGTATCGTTGCCGGCAGCATTGGTGGCTGGTCTCCAATCGACCGAACCGGTGACAACGAGTCGATTAGATTCGGCCGCAATGCTACCAAGAACGATCTTGAAGCCCAGGATGGCGTCGAAGTCCATCCCGATACCAAATCCACCGAACCCATTCTCGCACCCAGCCCGAGCGAGTACCGTGGTCCTCCGAGCCAGAACATGGAAACTACACCCAACTTTGTCACCGGCCCATTTGCATCTGGAGAGGGCAACACTAAGCCTCCCGCTTCATGAAGACTCTTCTGATTCCAGGCGCTGCTTCACACCTTTCTTTAATCTCTTTCACTCATGTCCTTTGGTCCCAAAGCAAATTCTCTCTTTGTGGTTTACCACGTCTCCCACAATAAAGCATGCTAGACGGTGTTTTTAGGCGTTTTTCTTCTCTCTTTCTTTTTATTTTTCAATGTTAATTTTTTGTTTATCGTTTGGCTAGGCTACCTTTGAATGGCCCCCTATGGCTGATTGGTACATGTACATTGTGAATACCCTTGTGTTTTGTGTTTTTATTTTGGACACGGATGAATCGACTTGCAGATGTGGCGATGGTTTTGAAGCCCTTTTTCTTTTTCTTTTTGCACAGCTTTTCAGCTTTTTTCTGGGGGGAGGGCGACAGTTTGTATTTTTTAGCGGGGGGAGGGGGACTTTGTGTTAATTGAGTAAGGTGGGGGTTTCTGTGTTACTGATGGTGTCGCTGATGGAAGGGGAAGGAAGTGGGCTTTTTTTACAGGTTTTTCCTTATGAGGGGGTTGGGTGCGTGTGGTAGTGGGGAGGGAGGGGAGGGGTTGCTTGAGATAGAGACGGAGACGGAGAATGAAAAGTTGAAAAGTTTAGAGACTTTTGTGTGTGTGTGTGTGTGCTTCCATGTGCTTACTATTTATAATTTTTCTGGGTGGATGAATCTTGATATTTCATCTGTCTTGTTGATTTTTTTGAGGGGGTTTTTTGGGTTTTTTGAAAGAAGGATGGGATAGGGATGGGTATCTACACATTTACCACACTGTTAAAGATGTAGATGTAAAGATATTCTAGATTCTGCTGCTTTATTCTTTTCTTCTCTTGCATCTACTCTTCTGTGCTTGTGGCTTTTCTGTGCTTGTGGTGGTGTGGTGTGGTAGGTTGGTTTGCGTGGCTGCTGTTGGGGATTACGTGGCTGCTTTTGAGGGATGAGTATCAGCTGATATTAAGGGGGTGGAGAGGTAGGTATGCGAGCGAGCGGGTTGGAGTGGTGGATTAGGAGGATGCAGCGAAGATGCAGCGAAGATGCAAAGAAATGCCAAAGCATGATCATGATTCATCCTGATTATGAATACCAAGACAGAAAAAAGGATCAAAATGTTACCAAAAACCAGCCAAATCCATCAATACACTACTCGTACATTACAACCAAGCCTGACTTGAATAATAACACTGACTAGGAATCACCTCAAACTCAAACTCAAACTCAAACTCATTCTGAACTGGGCTACAAGCGGACAAGACTTCAGCCGCCTGAATCGGAAACTCCGGCGGCGTCGGTAGAACGCCGTCGACAAGGAACTGATCTATCCCGCCCTTTGCTTCCATAGCCTTGTATCTCTCAATATGCAAATACACTTTGACAAATCAGCATGCGCAGTGTCAACATTGGTCTGTGCATACCTACGATTCAGCGAACACCCATATTGCCCCGAACAATCTGGCATGATTCGACCGTGCTGCAGCGAGAAATGTTCCGCGTACCACGCGTTCCACGCGTCTGGGTTTTCGAATCCGGGGTGGATTTCTTGCATGTCGTTTGCCACCATGTTGGGGTATTGTTCCATGAGATGGCGTAGATAGTTCCATTGTTCGTTGTGCTCGGGGTGGAGGAGGAGGGCGAAGCGCGGGGTGTGGAGACTGTTTGGTTGTTTGGTTAGGGGATCGGTGAAGGGGAGCCAGTGCAGTTTGAAGAGCTTGAGTGGACTCCATGTGTACTGGCGATGGCGGATTCTTGGGCAGTAGGGGTGAGATGCTTGGGGCTGGGGTGTGGGATTGGTTGGAGTGGTGGTTGGATGTTTCGAGGAAGCATGGGTTACTTCGCCTTGTGCGCTCGTCCTTTCTAGCCCATACATGTTTCCCTCGGACGGCTGGGTGATGTCCTGTGGATTTGTGGACATGTGGTGAGATGGGGTTGGAGAAGGATCGGCCTGCTCTTCTGGGTGATTTAGCATTTCCTCTAGACTGGGCACTGGATAAGATAGGTCTCCGAAAGGACCAACGTGCTCATCTGGGTAGTCTGGCATCTCATCCATATTTGGCATTGGATAATCTGGGTTTCCAGATGGATCCGCCTGTACTTCCGCGTAATCCAGCATATCTGGATCGATGTGCATGGATAGAGATAGGATCTGAGGAAGATCATACTGCATTTCTAGGTCGTAAACTAGCTCCTCTGTACTTGTAGGCATTAGATTGAAGTGGCTTTGAAAACGATCAGATTGGTCAAAGTAATAGCTTTGTATGAATGGGTCTTCCCCAAAAGCGTTTGGCTCGTTGCGGTCAGACATGCTGAAGCTGAAGCTGAAGCTGAGAGTAATGTTCTACAGTTGATAAGGGCTTTGGTACAGGACATATCGAGAGTAGTTTGACAACCTGTATTTATGTAGCCGTTCAAGAGCCGTGCCACGCTCGTTATCATTTAGTCAGAGCGGATGACTGTTACTTTGAGTGAGTAGCCTCGGCAAGTCCATCATTCCTTGTTGACTCTTAGAGGCTCAGAAGCAAAGAACCTTGTATGTATATCTCTGGGTCGAAGCGATAGACATGTCAAGATCGGGGACTGTGTCAACGTTCCCCAGCTGTCACAATACCCAGGTCATTGCACATGGTAGATTGCTACTTGATATAGAGAGTCAATCGGCATGAATTCAACTCTTCTATCGTGCGAATGCACTTACCGGTACATGAGTCTTCCATATCCAGATTCGACTCAATGATAGGTTCATGGGCACACAGCCATGTGTCCAAATCTCCATAATGACATGATGGTTTCATGTCAAGGCGCGGCACAACCCGCTTCTCTGTGCTCGTGCGCAATAATGACATCTTCAGGGTACCGGTATAAGGCTCGCAAATCGATAATTAAATACGTCACATTGCCCACTACCACGGCTGCGACTTAGCCAGGAGGCAGAAATCGGCATGAATACATGTGACAGGGTTTCCGGTTGACACGTGGTATCGGAGTCAACAGCTTGCGCTCTTACTGATCGTGTATCCCTTGTCTCATCTGCATCTACTCGTGTTATCGACCTTGTGTCGAGGCAACGCGATGCAATGATGTCCATCGAGCTTACTTAGGTACCCCATGCTCTAGCGTCTTGGCACCTTACCGTACCTTGCAGGACAGCTTGAGGTATAGCGATCTCCTCCACTTGACTACCACATCTTGGCCGATCGCGCATTTTGCCGATGGACATCACTCGCTATCTGTATCCTATCTATTAGATTTTTGCGACTTGGACATGATGACAGCCCACGCCACACGCGTGTACAAATGCACGGGATGAAGTATTGCTGGGGAGGCCGAAAACAACATCAACAAAATGCCGACCTCCGTGTCAAACGCCGCCAAGCCCAGAGTGCAAAAGGTCTGTACTCTGTGGACGCATGACGACAATTTTTCGAGGGAAGACATTGTTTTCAATCGCGAAAAATTTCCAGAGCTGCCCACGGCGCCTGGATCGCTGCTCCAGATTGTGGCCATAAAAACTGGTACTGCCGTGCGTGGCCTTCAAGGAAATGCCAGTGGCACGCCAAACCATGCATCCCAAACGGAACCGGATGCTTCTACCTTGAATGTGGATCCTGATGGTCATGCAAAGAGAGATCGTCGCGGCTCTATCACTATCACTGTTGATGAGGCTGGAGGACTTATCCCTGAAGGGCGGGAGGTTGATGCAGAGAAGGCTTACATATTTGTATCCAAACAGCTTCCTGTTGACTTGAAAGCAAAGCACACAAACTTGCAGGTGAGCCGCGTTCGAAATGCCGGCTATATTCAGCTAAACGAAATACAGGTTTCTATATCGGAGAGGATTGCAAAAGTGTTTGGCTTCCGTAATCGTATGCAGGTCATAGTTACTGAGGTAAGTGTCGCTGAACATCCGTTCCTCAGCAACTGATTTTTTCCAGGCAGATGAAGAAAAGCATGAGGCACACCACGTGGAGTTGGTCTTCCGTGACGCATACCTTGCACGAGCAGACATGTGGCGTCTGGCTGTCTCTGAGCTCAGTAGTCGCACTGTGTATCGTGGGCAAAAAATTCTCTTCATGGGGACCATCAAAGCCACGATCAAGCATATATACATCAACAACCAGTCTGTACAATCTGGCTACTTCTCGTCCAGATCGAAGCCAATCTTCCGTAGCGAGTCTGCTCGGTACACACTCTTTCTTCAGATGTCGAAGGAGATGTGGGACTTTGATGCGGAAGGCGCGGGCGAAATCATGTTTAACAAAGTTGTCAGTGGTTTTCTTCCGGATCTTTTCAAGAGATGGCTAAGGATAAACGCGAGGCATCTGGTAACGATTATTCTCTTCACGCGGATGCAGTATGACGGAGAAGTGCTCATGGACCGTCCTGATGCGAGTACTAACATCAGTCCTGAAGCCACATCTGGAATGTTCAGAGACTATTACCGGGTAGTTGTGAGCGATATGGCCAGTGGCGATTGGATTAATATCCTGTACCAGTTGAAGAAGGAGTTTCGAAACTTTCTCCGTGAGGTTTCCCTTGTTCGCAAATCAGTACCACGGGCATCACTTGACGGAAGAACCGACTCGGAGAGCTCCACGACAGAAACAGTAGTGGCTGGAAGGCCGTCTTCTGCGAGCCAAGGCAACATTCTCGAAGCGATCAATTTGGCGGCAGCGCAATTCGCGAAAGACTACATTGATAGAGACCTTGTGCGCACCGGCATCTCAGTCATAGTTGTCACTCCTGGAACAGGCGTCTTCGAAGTAGATTACAACATGCTCAAACTAACCACCGACACTCTGATGGGTTCTGGAATTGGCATCGACCTAGTGTGTTTGTCTCCAATGCCGCTTCATTCAGTACCTCTCTTCAAATACCGAACGCCTCGAGTAATCTCCGATATTCGCATGGAGATGAGCGAGGGCAAACCAAAAACAGCCGAGGTTGCGAAAATGGAAGAGGAGAAAACACCTCGTCAGCATCATTCAAATTTTGGTTCTTTGCCACGAACGCCCAGCGCACCACCGGCTTATAGCTTGACATCAGCTCCGACAATCCACCATGAAGACAAGTCGGACGGTTGGAGATACGCCATGCCATATTGGGTTGATGTATCCTTTTGGTCTGGTACATCTGAAGAGATACTGGAATTGACGAAGCCTCGTAAAGCTGACAGGATCATCAAAAAGTCCCGCAAAAAAGGTCGCATCTTTACTCTGAGGTGCCGTTTATACGAATTGCAGATGATGGGTGTCATGGAGCACGAGTTTGGTGAGATATCTATACCCTATTTACAGGAAGACCCAATGTATCCGTCGCATTTGAGGAAAGCCGAAATACTACCGGACACCAGCTCACAGGAAAAGGCCCATCAAATGAAGAATTCAAAGACTGCAGCAAGCTCATTCTCATCTAAAGGAGACAAGGACTACGGAGAAGATCAACTGGATGAGATCAGGGTTTCGTACAAAGCTTGGATGGATGCTTATGATAACGGGATATACTCGCCTCTTCTGGAAAGAAGCAAAACGTCAAGTCAGAGCCAGCCTCGCCAGCAAAGGCAAAGCGAGCCATTTTTCAGTGGATCCCCTGATTTAGGCAGAAGCTCATACCTATCCTCTTCTTTCCGTAGTGCTGGTACATCGTTTGGAAAGACGACCCGACCGCTATCTGACGCCAACTTCCATCAGCTCATACGGGAAGTATCCAACGAAGAAGAAAGCATATCCCCTAAAGCAAACACACATCGGCTTCTCGAAAGGAATTCGCAGGGTGCCCCCCGAGCGGATGTTACACGACGACAGCAGACACTAGCGAGAAGCAGCGCAGGTGTTGGTCGCTCTTTCACGCATAGAGGAAGTGCTTCTGGGAACACAGAGAATCAGCGTAAGTCTCTGAAACCTACCCCTATACCGTCTCCCACTCCGAGTCGTGGGCCGTCGCCTCCGAGACGGGAGGGTGCCACATCTACATCTAGCGGTTCCAGCACACCAAATGTAGTGCCTGATTCAAAACCACGTCCCGGTAATTGGTTCTTGAGACAGATAAGCTTTGGAGGGAAACCCGCACCAGCAAAAGCCACAATCGCAGATCCAACCATCGACATAAGTCAAGGCAAGGTAAAGCCAGCAATGTTGACTGTCGAGAATAACCATAAAGGTGCCATTGCGGAGAGGCTGGCCAGTACCCGTGTCACGGCTAATGAAAAGCCTTCTCAGCCAATCGCCATCAAAACCGCGTCACGAGGTGGCCCTACATCAGCTGAATCACTATCATCAGATAGGGCAAGCCGATCTGTTGAGACTGTGAGAGGCGGGAAATCTGGCAAGACTTCAATACCCTCGCAATCCGGTTCAGTCAAACGAGACCCAGGATCTACCTTTCTTCTCGCCGGAGCACGCGCTTTGGGCGACCATGGCGTGGGTCCAAAGTTAGACCTGTCTTCCAGTGGTGGTGCCAAAGAAATCCCTAGAACGCTGTCTCCAACCAGCGCGATTGCCCCTTGGGCTGTCTTGGTCAACCCTTGTAATCCGAAAAAGAATGTTCTCAACTCTCGGAATCAGTATCGGCGTTGGCATCATGTGTTCCCGCGCACATTACGGACGGGCACCGTCAAATGGAGATCTCTGTGCTCACCTGCGGCTGTGCCATTGACACATGAATGGTTCCCTACGCCAGCACAAATTGCAACTGAATACAATGAGAGTCCCTACAAGATTTCTCAAAATGAGGACGATGATATGCAGGATGCTCCCAAAACTAGGGAATCGCTGATCAAAGAGCTCATCGCGTTTAGACTCTCTCATGGCTTTCAAGTCATAGTCGGATCAGCTGTTGCAGAGTTCTCTGGGCGAGAAGAGAAAGCTCTGGCCAGCATTCTTGCACCAGACTACATGTCGAATGACGGTGACACTGTCTTTATGAGCATGGGAAATAACATTCACCAACTAGTATGTGTGGCTGGCGGTGAGGTGGAGGTTAAAAGGTACACTCGAAAGCCTACGACTGCTCTGGAATCTTCTGCTGGTGTTGACAGGCCATTTCATTACAACCCGTACATCCGTACTGCGTTTGAGGATGACTACTATCCACGCGATATGGTGCTGCGACCTCCGCGAAAGGAATACAACTGGAACATCATCGACACCTTTTTGGCAGGATATCATGACGAATTCTCCGAAATATTACGGTTCTGGAGGGCTCGATTTGTTTTGATCCCGGTTGAGATCCCGCATGTGCACCGACGCCCTTTGTCCATGCTGAACGAGGACTCTGAAGAAGAGATTCGCCTAGAAGGAATCCAGAAACTGACTCAGCTCTGGCAAAAGTTTCGTTACATTTCGCCAGACGAGCGACACCATCATCATGCGACATCGACGAAGCAAAGGGACGCCAACCCATTAGCCATTGAGTACCATACCCGAGATCTGTCTGCAATTGTCGCTGCCGGACCTGACCATGCCATCTTCAACGACACAGATAGCGGAATCCAACCATCTGTGTATCCTGATGCGGAAAAGTATCACAGGTCAAATATTGACCTCAAGAAGCTTGCCGAAGACTTGCAAGGCGAAAAAGGGATTCCCATGATGGATCGGCGCTGGCATTTGAAGTTGCACCAGAACTGTTTTCTCGGCTTTGACCTTACGAACTGGCTACTATCTAATATCAAGGATGTGGAAACCCGAGACGAGGCGGTGGAAGTTGGCAATGAACTCATGAACCGGGGCTTAATCGTGCATGTCCAAAGACGACACCAGTTCCGCGATGGCAACTTTTTCTTCCAGATTGCTGCCGAGTACCGTGCTCCTCGGCCAGAGTCAAGAACAGGCTGGTTTGGTATGCGAAAGACGGACAAGTCTGGTCCATCCACACCGCTCGTCGATAATCCGCGTTCGTCGCCTCTTTCCTCGAAGGCCAGCAAGATTCGACCGGGCACCGCGGACTCTTCATCGACTAGTTCCGAGTCTGTGCCAGAGGGCGAGAAGACGCCAACCCAGGCCAATGGGGGCAAGCGTCAGGTCACTCTATCGCGTGTCATGCGTTACGATGTTGACCCGCGGAAGCGGTCGTATCGACCAGAAGTGATATCATTACACTACGATCGCTTACACAATCCTGACAACTGCTATCATATTCGCATTGATTGGATGAATGTTACGGCTAAGCTTATCGAGGATGCCATTGTTACTTGGGCTACCAGTGTAGAGAAGTATGGGCTGAAGCTCGTCGAAGTCCCCATTGCGGAAGCCTGCAACATTGTCGAATACAACCCTTTTCGATCGCCGTACCTTGTCAAACTGGCACTGCAGCCGCCACTGGCCCACCCAGATCTGGTATGGGACCCGGCCCATTTCTCACCGCAATATTCCAGTACAGACAAATTTGCGTATCACAAGGCGTTGTTGCGAAGACTTAACTTTGTGCTAGACATGGAAGCTGCTAGTTCGTTTCCGTCTGATGTGAAGGTCACCTACTCATGGGGCGTTCCGGACTACAAGTATACGCAGTTTATACATCGGAGTGGGACTTTGTTGGCGCAGATTACGGATGAGGGTAACTTTTTGCTGCTTGCCAATCGTCTCGCTCACAACCGTGTCAAGGACAATGGCAGACTTCGACCGATTGACCCCTATGAGCACAAGAAGGCGACGACGGATGGTGGTCAGAGCACGCGAGTTCCTCCGACGCCTGCGGAACGCAACAACCCTTACCGGAGCCCATTTGCTAGTCCGATGGTGCGGCCAGTGCAAGATTCTAGTCTTCTACACACAGCTCTGGCTAGTCACGATAGACAGGCGACTCCTTCGCTGCCACTGGCCACGCTGACGCAAATGACAGCAGAGCAAGTCAAGGATGAGGTTGAAGAGTTTTGCCAGAATCCCGACCTCCTTTCGGCCTTGTACAGGGAAGCGTTTCGACAAGCGCCTTCACCGTCGCCTCGAATTCTGCCGGTATTGGACGATAGGATCCCAAGCCTGGGCTTACCGCCTGCCATCAACATCCGCGAAGCCAGTCCGGCAAGCAACAGTTGGGTGTTGAGCTCGACTCTAGCTGAAAGGAGAGAGCGGGGGGTTCTTGGTGGCATCCCAGAGGTGAATAGTAGTGCAGCGGGCAGTGGTATTGCGGGTCGCAGGCAAGGAAGCGAGGGGAGCATGTCGACGCTGGGGAAGAGGACAAGTCTGGTTATCGACGCTAATGCAGAGTGTCAGCCCCGCAGGCAGGATAGTCAAGGAAGCTTGGGAGGAAGCAATGTGTAGTGCGGGGAAGTGGTGAAGTTTACACACACACACACACCTCTCCTACATAGTAGATGTTGGATTGTTAGATCGAGGGCTAGAAGACTGGAGGGATGAAGGGCTGGAGATTGGATGGGGAGAGAATCATGGATTCTCTGTTGCTTCAGCAGATGGTATGTACCGGTAGTAGGCACTTATCAGGACCTCTACTTCATGACGACTTTGAAAATAAAACTACTGATCAAGGATGGCAAGCACGAACAGTCAGATGTGGATAGTCTGTAGTCTGGATGTAGATGGATGTATGCACATGGAGATGTATGTACTGTACATTGCTTGTTGCCGTTGATGGGCATGGGACATGGGAAGAATAGATCACGTGAGGATTTACCGCAAGCGTGCTGCACGATGGGCGATGGGCGATGGGCGATGGGCGATGGGCGATGGGCGATGGATGCGGGCCCGCCTCACGATAGTCGAGCGAGGGCAGCGCAGACACACCGCCCTTTTGCAACCACGCTTTTGCTTTTGTATCAGATCATCACCAAGCAAATCCACAGCCGAGGGCGCCGGCGGCGAGCAAGAGAGAAGTAACTATTACTGTCCATACATAGAGTACAGATAGGAGTGGAGTCGAGTGGCAGAGAGTCTACTCTAGCATCATCCAGGCTCCACCCACACATCCATCCACACCAACTGCCCGCTCGCTCGTTCGCTCCCCCTTCCCCTCACTCCACTCCACTCCACTCCACTCCACTCCACTCCACACACGCGACACGCATACGCCTACGCCTCCTGCAGAACAGCTGCTTGCCCCTCCTTGTCATACGGACACACAGACAGCAACCCCGCCATTACCTAGTAGTAGGACGACGAGGTGGTGGTCGTGCCAGTGCCAGTACTGCTACTACGACTGCTACTACGACTGCTATTACTTCTGCAACTGCTACTACTACTACTGCTGCTGCTGCCACGATCCACTGCTGTTTGCTACTGCAGCTGTCACTTTGTTGTTACTGTGATGCTACCATTACGATTGCTGCCTTGAGCCATTGCTGGTGCAGCCAACCAGCTCTACAAAGCAGAGCAGCACTTGTGTCTCGTGACAACAACGGAACAGCTAGCCCGAGGGCATCATCTTAACCTCATTCCCTCTCACCTCTTCTCCACTCTGTCTTGTCACCCTCCTCCTTCTCCTCCTCACCCGCCACCTTTACTACGACAACGACGACAAATACCAACAATAACCACAACGGCAACGACAACGACTATACAACCACAACAACAACGGTGACAACGGCGGTTGCCATGGGGCTTCGACATCGCCATACCGTTCGCGCCTGCCACATCTTCGACGGCGCCCCCGACAACTGCTGCTGAGATCTGCCCGTACAACGCGTCCACATGGAGGAATGCGCCAACTGCCAGACATGATCGGCCACCTGTTCAGCGCCCGCAAGAGCGCGAGCCTCTCTCACCCGTCCCCCACCGTCCTCGACTCGGCCACCGAAGAGAGCCACACGCGCCACCTGCTCTATCCAGACTCTACCACCCTCTACCACCCCGATGACCAGCCCTATCCGCTGCACTCGGCTCCGCTGACCCCCGGAAGCGGCCATGACGGGCCTCTGCCAGAGATCGATCTCGAGTATCCGCGCGACTGCCGCATCATCATCGCCCAGGACGAGACGTCGGCCATGCCCAAGACCATCTTGTTCGACTCAAAGCCGGCTCCGCCCCGTGCCGAGCCGCCAGCCACGCCAAACACGCGCACGAGGCCATTCGGCGGAACCAATGCGAGCCCCGCCAGCACCGCAAGCCCAGCATGGGGAGGCGTGCATGCACGAAGGTCATCACTCGTCGCTGAGCCTACACCACCGAGGTCCCCCACGATGGGAGCCTTCACCCGCGTCCGCACCCGCGGCACCTCCATCTCCTCCATGCCCAACATCGACGAGCATGCTCAGGTGCAGGCCAAGGCACAAGCTCGCGCAAAGGAGTCGACCGACCTTGCCAACATCTGCCTCGACTGCATGTTTGGCAATCTGGCCATGAACTACCGAGGCAACTCCAACAAGGTACACATTGTGCCACTCGAGAACAAGCCAGCAGAAGCTTCTTCCTTACTCGGTAGCTGTGCTCAGGATGCAGCGAGCTCACTGGGGAGGGCAGAAGGACTGCGCAGGAGAAGCAATCTTGCCAAGTCGTACACACCTGCAAACCTCCCCACAGATCTTCCCCGCAACGACTCTAGCGAAAGCGTCAGCAAAGAATCCAGGCGGCGTACCATCTTCATCACCCGCATGTTCTCCGTCACCCTTCCTGAAGAAGACACTGAAGCTCGCACTCCTACGCCACAGAGCTCACTGCCAAAGGGCAATGGCTTCCCTTTTCCACAGACCAGCTCCAAACCGGCTCAGTCGAAACCCCCTTACATCTCGCACCCACGCAAAAGTCCCATGTACGCCATCACCATTATCCTACATTTGCCAGTGTCGCAGTCTCCAGCAACGATTCGGCCGTCTTCAAGAGGCATCAACCTGCGAAACCCAACGCACATGTCTTCGTCCGCTCCAGGACAAGACTCGCTAGGTTCTTCTCTCGACTCTGACCGACGTGCTGGATGGGCCTTTAGTGACTCGAACCTTGGCATGGATTCACTCTTGTCATCGTCCCTGACTAGTGATGTTGACGATCGTGTGGATGTAGTGGGACAGCACTGGGATGTCATCATGCGTGCTCTCACGAGCCTGCAGTACGTGGTTCAGGAACGCATTCTGGCTCAGTTCAAATCACCGGATCCATCAGGCCTACCAGTTGCTCCCCACCAGCATCGACATCAGCCGTCTCGCACAAGCCTCAGGGACATGTCTACCTACCCCACGCGCAAGCCGTTGAGACTCCAGCCTAATGCTCTAATGATGGACAAGGAGATTCAGACGGCAGCAGAGCTCACTGGCACTCGCGTCGTGAGTGGAATGAGAATACCCCGCGTTATGACGGGTCAGGGTAAATGGGGTGTCTGGCGCGAGGAAGCAAGATGGCTCGGACGATGGGCTGGTCGACGAGAGCAAAACTTCTTCTTCTACAATCTGTTGACGGCGTTTTTGGGTAACCACACCGAATGGCTCAATGTCCTCGGCCCCAAGTGGTACCGCAAACGACATCGCAAGCAGCAGAAGGCGAACGCTAGTGAAACTCTCATCATCACCAATCGGACCATTATTGTTTCTCCGGACAAGATGGCTGCACGCAGGCTCATCTTCCTCCTCGCTGCCTTTTTACCACCAAACGCTCCTAGCAGCGGCGAGAGCAACTCTCTCTTGCGTCCTGGAACCTCGACGTCGCTTCGTGCTTACTCTCAGTCGCCACCAACCAACATGCCGCCTTCACGTAAACAGTCACTACGTCGTCAGATCAATCGCCGACCGAGAGGCCAGCAAAGTGTGACCAACATGGGCTTGCTGCAACCGAGCATTCAACACATAGCTCAACCACCAACGGAAGGCAATTCTGAGCGCTTCGAGACTGGCGCTGGTGGCGAGGCGCTCAAGCCCGCCAGGCCAACCGGCCACTCTCGTCGATCCTCTACCCACTCTGTCCGGACCAGTCTTGTTATACCGTCCATGTCTGACGGCTCAGCTATTGTAAAGGACACCGGTTTCGTCGCAACAACGACCACTTCGCAGAGCACGGTACCCATAGCACATTTCACTCTGCCAAGAATGAAATCGTCCACGCCCATGCCTGAGCCACGACCCGAGAGTAGCGATAGTCTGGCTTCAGCGAACTTGATCCATACTCTACAAAGAAGCGGCACAGGTCAGACGAGTATTGCCAGCAATGACTCCAGTAATAACAGTCGCTGGAGTGGATTTATGAATTTTTGGAGCGGGCGACGGTCGTCCTCGACTGATCAAAGCGACTATCTTCAGACCACTGACGATGGGGTGGGATACCGTGGTCAAGAGCGGCCTAGGTCTCAGCTTGAGCACATGGTACAGGAGCTCTCCATGGACCGTGTCTTTGAAGGGGACGTGTTCGAGCCCCCTATCGCGAACACTGGTGGTGCAATTGCTGCCGAGACTTCACCTGAAATATTCCCGCAGGGCAGTGGTAGCGGTATCCCGGCATCAGCTGCACGACCGATTCCGGATCGACCCAGAACTTTTGAAGGGCCATTGAAGCTGTCTGTTAACGAGAAGGACGGTGTCATTGACGTCGATATTCCCTTGCCGGATTTTGGCTCACCGTTACAGTCACCTCTGCTGGGAGGCTACGGTTCCGCATCTAGCCATCATGGTTCCAGCTTTGGCGAGTCATCGGTTCTTTCGACGCCGTGTGGTGAGTCCGAACAGCCTGTCAACGCTGCTGGTTGGTTAAGCCAGTTCCACCCCGATTTTGCTATTCAGGCCATCAAGCCTTATGCAGAACTCGAGCGCGATATCAAGCGAGCCATGAGCGCAGAGCCTACTCCGCTCACTGCAGCTACAACACCGAACTTCGAGACGGGCCCCCTGGAACGCTGGGTTGACGTGTGCTCTGCTCTCATTGCAGACACGAGCGCGTTCAAGATCAAGCGCATCAGCCTACGACGCCTAGTTAAGCTGACGCCGACACCCACTTACCAACCCTCGGCCATGACACCAAGTGTCTCTGGGTTGCCACCTGGTCGCTCACAATACGGCAACCCGTATTCGGTTGGCACGCTGGGACCCATGATGACGGAAGTGCACCTTGCCGAAAAGTTCGATGTGGAGGCCATCATGGACTTTGATAATACGCTCATTGATGGCGTGGATCGCATACTGGCGCAATCCGGCGAGGTGACTCGGGTTCATTCTGAACAGTCGTCCCGATCGAGCTCCCGAAGAGGTCGACATGACGCGAACGCCGAATTAGACGCGCTCTCGCATGGTGAGCTACCGCAGACTGACTGCAAGGGTGTGCTGTTCGAGGCCCTTGAAGCAGTCGTTAAAGACGTCACGGCTGAACGTGTTGGCAGAGAATTGCTCAAGAATGATCAGGGAAAGGAGTCTGGGAAGCAAAGCCAGCATAAGACATTTACAGACTCTTCGCTGAAGGAAGGCGTGAGGAGATGGCTAACTGAGGTGGAGTGAAGTGCGTAGATGTGAGGACGGGATACCTAGTCCTGTAATGTGGAGTGTGGGGCTCTATTTGGTTATTTACTGCGATTTAGCGGGCGTTCATCTCTTTTTCGAGTATGCTTTGCTTTCTACACGACAGATGCGACAGGGTGCGATGAATTGGGGGCTGGGGCGGGCTGAGGCGTGGCGGAGCGGGGGATTTCTTTTTGGAAGATACCAAGGTTCGTGAATAGAGTAGAGTATACTTAGTAGAGATAAAGCGAGCAGCACACGATTTCCTGTCTAACAGCCACATCTTTTAGTACTGCCGAGTCGTTATCCGTCTTCACTACCTACGGGAACAGTCTACTCTTAGCCTTGGATCCTTTGGCGAGACATGGACCAGATTGTTACGTTGGGAATCGGTTTAGTCAGGCTTTCCAATGCTGAGTAACCATCGCTCGGAACGACACAGCTATGACGACAGTGGGGTAGACGTTGGTTGATTGATTGATTGATTCATTGAAGCGTCTCCCGCGCGCAACATCCAGCACGCGTCAATGACAGCTATATAATACCTTGGGGCTGTCGCACAACCTGAACTGTCTCTCTTATCCCATGTCCGCCTTGACCTGGCGACTTGCGCTCCGTTCAAAGCACATTGTCCGACCCCTCATCAGTAGCACTAGATTATTCCGACGAACCCTCAGCACCACCACTACCACCACCAGTGCCACCCAGCCCAAAGAAACAGCCATGGACAAGAAACCCAGCCCCGACACCAAACCCGGCTCCATCCTCGCCTGGGCCGACCAGAAAACCGGCGAATTCAAACGCCAAACCAGCACCTTCCGAAACTTCATCTCGCGCTCAGCCGGCGCCGAATTCCCTCCCGAAGCAAACCGCTATCACCTCTATGTCTCGTACGCCTGCCCATGGGCCCACCGCACGCTCATTGTACGCGCACTCAAGGGCCTGCAAGACATCATCTCCTACTCGAGCGTGCACTGGCACATGGGCCCAAAAGGCTGGCGCTTCGCCACCGCCGACGAAGTAGACAGCCTGCCCGGCCACACGATCCCAGACCCATGCCACACGGACACCACGCATATCCGCGACATTTACTTTGCGCAGGACCCGGACTATAGCGGGCGGTTTACCGTGCCCGTGCTATTTGACAAGACGACGGGGCGGATTGTGAGTAATGAGAGTGCGGAGATTATTCGCATGCTGTACGTCGAGTTTGATGGGTTGGTTGGGGAGGCGTATCGTGGGGTGGAGTTGTTGCCTGAGGGGTTGAAGGGGGAGATTGAGGAGATGAATGGGTGGGTTTACGAGGGGGTTAATAATGGGGTTTATAGAGCTGGTTTTGCTACGTATGTTTTTCTTCTTCTTCTTCTTCTTCTTCTTCTTCTTCTTCTTCTTCTTCTTCTTCTCTTCTTCTCCCTCCCTCGTTGGTTTCCCCACACACTCACTCTCTATCCTTGCACTCTCCACCACACCGCCAAATCCCAACCCCGCTAACCCAACCCCCAGCACACAAGAAGCCTACACCAAAGCCGTAACCCAACTCTTCGACTCCCTCGACCGTCTAGAATCCCACCTCGCCTCCTCTTCAACCCCATACTTGCTCTCGTCCCCGCACGTCACCGAGACGGACATCCGCCTCTTTACAACGATTATCCGCTTCGACCCCGTCTATGTCCAGCATTTCAAATGTAATATTCGTGATATCAGATCGGGTTATCCGTGTCTTCATCGCTGGATGAGACATCTTTGTACGTCTTGTTCTTGCTCGAAACCCCAAAAAAAATCTTGTTCTTGTGCCTGGCCTACTTGACCACCCTGATCTCCTTCTCATCTCCATCGACCACTGGCTACCTTTGCTAACCTCCCCCTCTTTAGACTGGGACTACCCCGCCTTCAAATCTACAACTCAATTCGAGCACATCAAGAATCACTACACCAAGAGTCATGGCCAGATTAATCCATTTTCTATTACGCCGCTCGGGCCCGTGCCGGATGTTTTGCCAAAGGAGGACGAGGTGCCTGCTGTCAAGGCCGTGGTTGGGGGGAAGTGAGGGAGTGGTTGAATGTTGTGTAGTATGCTGAGTAGTACAGTTCCTGTCCATGGACAGGATTGAATAGGTTTCTGGGTATCTTTGCGCCTATGTTTTGCCTGTTTCCACTGTTCTTGTTACATATTGTTCATCCTACTTCAAACGCCAAACCCGCTCCATCTTTTCCCAACACTGCTGAACACCCCCCAATGCTCTCCACCTATTCAAACCCCAGTTCCCCTACCCCCTAAAGCAAAGCCTGGCCCACACTTCCAAGCGTCTGCTTCGTAACCTCATCCCTCACCTGGCCAACCTTTTTCGCCGAGTTCAAAATAGCACCCTCAATCGCCTTCAACGCCTCGACGAGCTCGCGTCGCTGATCGCGCGGCGCACTCCGACTGCCCGTCAATTGCTGGGCCTTCTCGACGGTGCCCGCCTCCATGGTGCGAAGATGGGCTTCAATCTCGCGAATCTGGCGCTGATAGACATCAAGGGTGCGGCCGATATCGTCAGTGCGGCGGTCAAAGTAGGCCATGAGATCGACGGGCCGAGTGGGATCGTCTTCGTGGAGGGCGCTCGAGGCCGGTGTCTTTGCACTCGACGTGTTGAGGTTTGCGGCGCTGTTGCGGTAGTGGAATTGTGCGGGGAGGCGCTGGTTTTCAATCGCGCGGAAGCAGAGCATGGCGTCTTCCGCGTCCTTCTTCACCAGGCTCTTGAGGTGGGCAATGTTGGCCGAGTCGTTGTCGAGGCCGACTTCGACGGTCGAGAGGAAGGTTTCAATGTAGGCCACGTCAGGCGCGATGGTCTGGATGTCGGCTTCCGTCTTGGGCAGGGTTTCGCGGATCTGGCTGCAGTAGTTGATTTTGCGTTGGATGCCTTCGTCGAATTGCTGGATCAGGGTTTGCAGCTCGGGGTGGAGGTCGTTGAAGCGGGTTGTCCCTCGTATCGAGTCCAGGGTCAGTTGGACGGGTTGTGCGCTTGATTGCATGTTTGGTCCTCCTAGAGTAGAGCCGCCGAGAGTGTTGCTTCGGTTCTGCGTGTTCATACCACCGAAGAGTGAATTCTGTTGCTGTTGCGGCTGGGTCTGTTGCGTCGACCCAAAGAGCGAGTTCGTACTCTGTTGAGGTTGTTGCGTGGTCGTGTTTCCGAACAAAGACGGTGTAGTGGTGGCAGTAGTATTTTGCTGTGTTGATGTACCGCTGTGACAATAGTTAGTCTTTGTGTGACCATGCCTGCTGTTCATCGTCTCCTACAATAGCGAAGGCTTGGCCTGCTGGCCCGACGACTGGCCGCCGAATAGTCCTCCCGATTGAGTGGTATTCTGTGTCGTATTCTGTGCGTTTCCACCCAATGCGCCACCAAAGAGGCCTCCGCTCTGCGGCTGAGTCGACTGTGCTGTCGCTGTTGATGCGCCGAAGAGACCTCCACTGGCAGGCGCCGTAGTCGCTGGTTTGCCCAAACCGCCAAACAGACCACCTGACTGTGGCTGGGATGTCTGCGCTTGACCGCCGAAGAGCGAGCCGGACTGGGCTTGTGGTTGTTGTTGTTGTTGTTGTTGTTGTTGTTGTGTAGTCGAGCCAAAGAGGCCACCACTGCTGGCGGGTTGCGATGTCTGCGGCGTGGAGCTGGCGTTGTTACCACTGCGAGATTGTTATCATCTGATCATCCGTTCGTTCCTTCCTTCCTCAGAGCACCGCAAGCTCAAATTGCACGGAAGGCGCGTTCGACCGGCGAGCACGTACAAGAGACTCCCGCCGCCGGTGTTGATGCTCAACGAGTTGGAGCGCCCAAAGCCCGTCATGGTTTTTCTTTGGGAGTTCCAATCGTACTTGTGAAGAACGTGTTTGAGGTTGAAAGTGAATATAAAAGTTGGCAAGACGAATGCAGAACAAGCCTTGTTTTGACCCAAAAGCAATGTAAATCGTCTGCTCTCGGTTTGTGATCGCGCCTGGTGTTTTCCCAGAGCTCACAGCACAGACGCGTTCGGCTCGGCTAGGTCGTTCAGTCATGCCCGTCGCCATTTCATTGTAGCCTCAAGCTCTCAACTCCAACCCTTGCCCCATCTACACATCTTCACACATTACTGCGCCGAGATTTCGCGCGCTCCAACCAGTAGCCGAATCATACTTTGGTAATTGTGGCCAAGTTACGCGCGACACACCCCAAGGCGCATACACCAAACATACACCAACCTCGCCAAAAGAGCTAGGAACAATGGCCGACGAGGACAATTCTGACGATGATCTCTACGGTAACGAGGAGACTACGGACCAAAAGCAGGATTTGAAAAAGGAAGACGGCGCTTCGAGCGGTGACGAGCCCATGGACGAGGCCGAGTCTGGTGACGATGAGGACGAAGATAGTGAATCCGTACGTCGCACACATGAACAACCACCACCACCATCACCACCACAGAAGCCTCGCCCAAACTAACACAATCTGCAGGACCTCGAGATCATCATTGACAAGCCGCCCACCACCCACAAGACCTCCACGTAAGTAACGCCTCCCAGCTCTCCCCCAAGCACCCCCAGAGCTAACCAGTCCACACAGCCAACAACCCTCGCAAGAATCCAAAGCCATAAAAATCGAACCACCCCCACAATCCACAAATACACCTTCCCAACCCCCTCGTCCCTCCTCGACAGCACCCCAACAGCAGCAGCAGCAACAACAACAACAACAACAACAATCCCACCCCAGCGGCAGCATTGTCCCCCAACTTGCCTCCACACCAGGGACGTCATACCCAGCCATCCGCACCTCAACCCTCGACATCAACGCGAACCCCATCTACCCCCCCGTCAACAAACCCCTCCTCTCCATCGACATGGACGCCGACCTCGCCGAATCCCAAAAAATCTGGCGCATCCCCGGCACCGACCAAACCGACTTCTTCAACTACGGCTTCGACGAATTCACCTGGGAACTCTACCGCCAGCGCCAACTCTCAATGGCAAACGCCCTGCAGCTCGAGAAGACCCAGCTCCAGACGATGCACAATAATATGCAGATGATGGGTGCTGGGGCCGGGCCAGGCCAGGCTGGCGGTCAGGGCCCGCCCTCTATGCCGGGTATGGGCGGCATGGGCGGTATGCCTGGGGGTCCTGGGGGTCCGCCCATGGGTCCTGCGTCTGTCGTGGCCGGTCTTCCTAATATGAGTCCGGAGGAAATGGTCAATATGATGCAGGCTCAGGGGTACAATCCGGCGCAGATGAACATGGATGAGTTTGCGCAGGTCATGCAGAGTATGGGCGGTATGGGCGGGTTTCCGGGCATGGGCGGCCAGCAGCAGGGTGGTGGCGGAGGGTTCCAACAGCAGGGGAATCATGGGAGTGGTGGTGGAGGTGGAGGCCGGGGAAGGGGCAGAGGGAGAGGGGGCTGGTAGGGTAAGCCTCGTGCGTCTCGCTCTACTTCGCGACGCAGACGGTGAATGGTGCGAAGCATCTTTGGGCGATTCCATTCCTTCTTCTTCCTTTTTTTTAGGCTCATGCTCACGAATTACACACGATACCAAGGGCTAGCAAAGACTTGATTGATGGCAAGGTGGAATATATGATGATGTTCGGGTCCATCCAATATTCACGTCCTCGCAGGATTCATACTATTATCCAAGGACACATCGTTTGCCGAGATGTCCTGCCATAAATTCCACAACACATCGCCATGTCAATCCGGTCGTCCGTCCTTTGTCGGGTTGCCAGATGCTTGCTACTCCTTGTTGTGCCAGTACATCAAGACCATGCCTATCCTCGGCCTAATTATTATCCTCTTCTCTCAGTTTCTTCGCCGGAGACTATTTCACGTCTCCATTGGATCACCTCCCTCCAGGATATGCGCAGGTATCCTCCCTTCTGCGAATTCCTTCTCCAGCTTTGCCATTTCCGCAAGACTTTTCGCATTGAGAATGGCAGCGCGCATCCGCTTCTTCTCCTCCTCGGTGTAGATGCGTTCCTTGTTTGAGCTTTCGGAGCCGTCTATGAGCGTGGGCACGACGAAGCCCTTGGATTTTATGCCCATGATCTGGGTTACGGGGTCAGTCAAGAAGAGGATTGTGGATTGAAGAGACTAGGACGCACCTTGCTCGCGAGTTCTGTAGGCTCATCTGCTGTACCGAATAGCTCTTTGGCTTTTTTTCTCTCCACGTCGAACACTTTTGCGAAGTCGAGGTAGCGCACGCTCGGACAGCGCCAGATGACCCAGTATCTGTAGTACTGTGCCATGTTAGCATTGTATTGCATTCGTCGCGAATGCGACCAACCCTGTCGCCATTTTCCTCGAGCGTTTTCCATTCTCACAGACGTACGCGCGCGCAACTCTCAAATGCGCTTTACCACGATTAGGCTCCGCCTTCCACACTATTGCTTCCTTTGACGTACCTCTTTGCTCGTGACCGGATTGCCTATCAACGACAAGTATATGAGATTCTTGAACCCCGCCAACGGATCCAAGTCAGCCAGCTCCGCGATCCTGTTCTTGGTGAGAACCAGGGTCCGCAAGTTTGGTATGCTCGACGATAGATTTGGTTGGATGTTCGATATGCGGTTCTGAGCGAGGAACAATGTGCGGAGACGGGGCTGGAGCGGGAAGTTGCCGAGTTGTGCAATGTCGTTGTCGGTAAGGTCTATGGCGTCGTTGTCCTGCGTAGCCCATTAGTACACAAGTTGGAATGGGTTGGGGGTCTCAGGTCAGCAGTACCCGTGCAGCGCCCATGTTCTCAATCGCGGCGATTTTGTGGCCTAGAATGTACACATATTGATATCAACTCAGCTCTGAAGTGTAGTATCTGCTCTTTTCAAACGCACCTCGCAAATCGAGTTCACGCTCCGTGAGACAATTGATGAAGGAAATGGAGCCATTGATCAAGTCCGTGGTCAGCCTCATGGTGGCTCTCTGTAGTCGTAATTCTGGTCGAGTAAGTGGAATATGGTGGCAAGGTGGGCCTGGGTATATGTGTAGGGTTGGTGTCTCGTGTGGTTTGGTGGTTGTGAGTTACCTTAAGCTTGGACGGAAATTCGTGCCAAGATAAGTATCTCACTAGCGCCACTTCCGCTCCGCCCACCCAGGCCGTACATCTAACCCCAGCAACCACTTTTGGGAAGAAATAACTACGTGGTCGTCACAATTCATATCTGATTGAGTTTGCGTTTGTCAATTACCCACCATCATAGTCTGGTTACGCTAAATTAAAGATATTCGCGAACATAATCTCAACACGACCCAATTACGGTCTCAGTAATAGTGATACTTCCCTATGTGTTCAACAATGGCACTCGCTCTCCAATCACCTTCCCTCCGAAAAGCAGAATAGCAGCCTCGTACAAAACATCGGTCATGTTTCTCCCTAGATGCATGGTACATAGCATCTTCCGGCCTCATACACTTCCGGTGTTCTTCACAGCCTGCCGAGAATTCTTGCTGGTGGTACTCCAGTCTTTCGTGGTCAGGGAACCAGTGCTTGCAGATGTGACACATCTCGCGCTCCATATTGGCCTCAGCTGTAACGGAACGATCTCCAAGCGGCGAGACGTTGTAGGTCATCGACCTGATGGCATGGGCGCGTGACAGGGTATTGAAGGTATACACGAGAGGCTGGTGGAGAGAAGTGTCCACGTTAAAATCCCCGTGCCCGTATCTGATTACCCCAGTTCGACGATCATGGCGTCCACCAAGGTTGTGGTCGCCACGAGATGCGTAGTTGTCGTTGGATTCGTACATGTCCTGGCCTCCGTGCTCATCGGCGAAGCGCATCCTGCTGGGTGGATCGCGTTGACGGCTACGCATGTGACCACCAGCTGGGTCTGTCGAGTCACTGTTGTAATTGAAATGCTCGTAGGCGTTATATGGATATCGTCTGTCGCGACCCTCATTAATACCATGACGTCCGCAGTATCTTCCTGGACCCCTGAAGCTTGCGCGGCATCTCATACAGTAGGGCATATCGGAGAGGTGAATCGGCTGGAACACACAAGCCTAGTTAGTTGAGGAGTTCAAAGTAAAGGCCACACGCAGCTATAATATAAGCTCTCGAAAGAACGGCTGCAAGACAAGAGGGGCTGCATATGCACGCATCCCGTGAGCTTCACCGGTCAGTATTGCAAATCCGGTCAAACAACTGAGCTGAAAAATGACCAATGAGAAATCAGATAGGAAGCCATGCCATTTCACCACACCTTTTGACAGCGTAGGCTTGCAATATTGTAACTTGAGGGGGCAGATTTATCAGCTGGCGCCCGCAACCCATAGCCACAGGAGCGGTGAACGTACGTGACGATATATGCGGCTGAGCAGAAGGCAGTCCCAATGTATTTGCCTTATAATGACTATAGCTGTGTCTACATGAACAGATTGATGATGCCTGACCGGTCCGCTGATATCACTATTCCGTACGGCTGCTCGATCAAGGCCACGTCGAGTATGTTGTCCATGTGGCTCTTTAGTAAATGTTGTTGTTGTAAGGAAATCAAGCCTGACTTGGATGATTTCTGAGAAGGCTTTTTACTCGTACTTGAGCTCCTGCTATCTCGACCATTTATAGCTGATGCCTGAGGCTGCGAAAGGCGCTCCGTGACAACAATAGTCTCAGGACTAGGCTGAGATGCAGTATACTGTGGTTTTGCCTCGTCGGCTTCTAGTCCACTGACAACCATGGACCCATCTGCACGATTCGTATCCCAATATCGAACTTTCCAGTCAGGACCGGCTGTTAACAAGAAGGTATGCGGCTTCGAGTCAGTCCTGTCGTCAACAGCTTGCGTGTGCACGGCGAGTGCAGAGATACCTCTATCGTTCGTCGAATTTGCCGTAGGCTCAAGGCTAGTAGCAAAACGGCTCAACATGCCACCAGGCTTCTCTTCGTCGAGGTCAATGAGTGTCGTGCTCTTCGTCCCGATGTCTTTGCAGGTTCCCGTGCGATAGACTTCTTTGCAAATCTGCTTTTCCCAGTCCCACACTGTGATCTCGCCTTGACTATTGCCACCAGCTATGTAGAGTCGCGTTTTCTTCGATTTTGGTTGGAATACCTGATACAATCTGTGAATTGGGGATGCGCCATGGCATACCCATGCCTTTAGCCGTAATTTGAAGCGAAGGTCCCAAAGATCCAGTGCACCATGTGAAGTTCCAAGAAGCAGCCAATGCGCTCTTCTGTCTACACAAAAGCAAGTCGGTGTACCGTGGTTGAGAGGATTCTGAAGGGTGTAAAGTTCCTCCATAGTCTTGAGGTCTAGTGCAATGACCTTCGATGTGTTTGTAGCCATTAGGAGCACCGATTTGTTGTCCTCATTATGATGATCGGACCATAAAGCATGATCACCCTTTTGCAGCTGATACTCTCGTAGTAGTCGAGGCCGTCCAAACTTAGCGGCGCCATCTTGGCCCCGATAGAAGTCTACTCGTACGACATGTACACTTCCGTCACTGCCGGTGGCAACAAAAGAATAAGTATTCTCCACAAAGACAAGACTGGTGACCTTGACACTTTCACCAAGCCTATAAGTCTGCCGAGATCGTCGCGTTATGTTACGTTCAAGGCGCGAGGTATCCCAGATCTTAACACTGCCGTCGTCCGAGCCACTGATGAAAAAGGCGTGATCAGGAGACACAAGAATACGGGTCACCGCAGCTGTATGCTCACCAAAACTCGCAACCAGAGTGCCTTCAGGTCGCCAAGGGACGCCAGTGGATGCCAGGTGGGAGTCTTTGGTTCTTATAGGCTGTCGTTGCATCGGAGGCTGAATTCGAGGGCCGATTTCGATTTCATTAGATGGGAAACGCTCTGACAACATAGAATCAAGCAACTTCAAAATAGCCGGATCGTTACCCGTATAATTATGCGCATTTCGAAAACGAATTCGTGACGGATTGTTTGGTGTATCGCTCACGAGTGGCGAGGTTGGTTGACGGGCACGCGAGGTCTCTCGAGCATGGATTCCATCAACCTTGCCAAACGCATTGGCAGAGGTAGTACCGATCTCGGCTGAGGCCTTGCTCTCTCCTTTTCCCAGTAGGCCCAAAGCACTATGGCGGTGGCGAAGAGAAAATGTGTGGTCGTCAGCCCCGAAGGATCCAGAAGGAGAGTCAGGTCCTTTAGGGACGTGAAGAGAATGGCTTCCAGTCTCACCTTCTGGGAGTGTTGACTCGCTTGAGGGAGATGGAATAGATAATCGTCGTGTGCCTGTCTCTTCGCGTATCAAGCGGCCTGCTTGACTCTCGGCGTGTGGTACCCGGTCAGCAAGAGCTTCAGCCTCGGTTGTCGACGCATCTAAAAGTGCGTCCCGGATTGTCCGAGGCTGTACATAACCTTGTTGCTGTGATTCTAGCTTCGTGGTTTGTTCCACGGCCTGTCGGACATCCTCATCAAAGAGAACCGTGAGTGCCTTGATTCCAAGATCCTTCAATGCTATAATGCTGTTAAATTTTGTAGGAGGTGTGGCAAGACTGTCGGAACGTCTCCGATTTGTCGTTCTCCATATGAATTCCCGTAGTGCGACAAGTTTGAAGTCATCCTCATGCGTCATACCTGCGTTTCGAAGCTTCTTTATCCAGAGGTCATCTTCTTCATTCTTGGCCAGTCGCTGTAGTATCTTGGGATCCAGGTCCCGTCCTGATATAGTAGGCAGACTATCACTAGACGATCCAAAGCTAATGGTTTGCTGTTGCTTAGCGGATGCCCAGAATGAGCCTTTTTGGGCTTGCATTGCCCAGTTCGAAGTCATCTCTAGGAATAGCCGTGAGAAGGGAGGTTTAAGAGACTCGAGAAGGGCTAATTCTGAGAAGTCAGAAGGCACTACTTTGAGATACGGTCGAATCAAGTTTACGAGGATGCTGTGTGTATCCGCAATCGACAGATACCTGTTAGCGGACGATATGAACTCCGCAGCAGCTTCCCGAATCCATAGATTGGGATGCATTGTAAGACGTGCGACAATGTCAACGAGCTCCCATGTCTTCGATCGCTGGAATAGTCCAAGCTCAGCCATTGAGGAAAGTGCCCGCACTACCTTCTCGACAACAAATTCCTCGGGATCGGTTAATGCTTGGACCATGAGGGGGAGTATGTAGCCTTCCAAGCTGGCGCCACCCACGAAAACAGCGACACCCACGATTGCTTCGAAGAAGCCACACTTCAACATCCAATCCGGATCGTTCAGGTACGTGTTGAGGTGACTGAGCACTACGTCGTTGGCTCGAGGGCTGCCAAAAAAGACGCACAAGTCCGAAACGGACTTCAGCATAGCTCTACGGACAGATGTATCTGGATCCGTGAGTAGAGACTTGGTATGCTTTTCGAAAGCTTCAAGCAGAATGCGCCGATCTGAATCGAACTGATTCCTATGCGTGGATGATGACATGTCATCTTCGGTTTCGGGATCAGTCGCTGGCAGGGATCCCTCCGCTCGCAATGCTTGTATCATGTCGAGGTATCTTGCAGCCGTTGTTGCCAGAGTACCAATGCAGAATGCATACTGCATTCGAACAAGTGGACTGACACTAGCGGAAGGGTCTGGGAGGTAGGCTTCCAGACGTGGCAGGACATACTCTGGGAAGATGTATGCATTGATCGGTGAGACCACTTGTACCATTGCAAGGATCTGTGTCAATGTGCGCAGAGCAGCTATCTTGACTTGTTCAGACTTATCTGTCAATAGTTGGGCCACATAAGGAACAACGCGATCAAGTTTCGCCTCATCTGTCAAACGTTCTGAAAAGGCCATGAGAAGCTCAAGTCCACGCACGCGAGCTGATGCTCTCGCTGTACCACGCAAGCAAGACACGACGATGGTGAGAAAGATGAGATTCCCATCATCGAATGCAAGACTTGGTGTTGGAGAAGCTTGGTGCTGATAGTTTGGAATATTTACGACCAAGGGGAAGAGTCGTGCGTTTGGCTTGGGCGGTGAATGTTGACTCTTCGCCAGCTCTTGCCCAGAATTTTCCGACAATAGATGCGCAATCTTATCATAGTCGTTATATATCTGGTCGATACGCTCGTCTGGCTCACCCAGATGCTCGGCGACAGTCGTGCCAGGCTTCTGTCCGAATGATGGGTCCGTAATCGAATGCATGTACTGCTGCAGAAATCCGTAGAAGTAGCCCGGAAACACTTTGTCTCTCCAGTGCGTGAGGTAGTCTTCGGCAGACATCCTCGAATTCGGATCGACTTGGATCATGTGCATGATAAGCTCTCGAATATTGGAATCTTGGATTTTGTTCAAGTGAGAGTGCTCAGGATTGTATTCGCCTTGACGGTATTTGAACAACTGGCTAAGCGAAAAAATGGGCGCTTCGAGGAATAGCTCGGCAATGACACAACCGACGCTGAAGATGTCCATGGCCCAGTTCACATTACCTTCGCCTTCGGGCTGCTGTCCAGCTGCTAGAAAACGTTCTGGCGCAAGGTAGCAAGTGCGTCGGCCCGAGAGATCGAAGTAGAAGGAAAAGTCAGCAGGATTATCCTCTGGTAAATGGGCGGGTTTGTATGATGAGGAGAAATCGGTAAGATATAGCCAATTCCAGGAAGTGACAAGGACATTTTCGGTTTTGATGTCGCCATGATGGATGTTTCGGGCATGGCAATCCCGAACGGCGCAGAGCAGCTGGAAAGACAGCCACTTTTTCTCGATATCTTCGAGAAAAGGGCGTGTGCTAAGTAGATTAAAGACTGCAGTTCGAAATCTGACTCGTAGGCTTACCTCAAGCGATCGTACAATGAACTATGGATGTACTGACGGACGAGGTAACCGCATGCAGCGGTCTCGATAACCCGGTGGTATGCGAGGGCATTTGGAACCTGGGCAAGGAGTTTGCGTTCATCTGGAATCATGAGTGATGGCCGCATGGGATGAAGGATCAAGACGGCTCACTGAGAAGTTTCTTGACATGGGTTTGAAAATTGAACTGAGCATACGGCTTCATTACCACACGGGCTACTACAAGGCCATGTTTGTGCCGTGCGCGCACTGCTTTCATGAAGCGTGCAGCACCCAGTGACTTTTCATATTGCAGATCAGCTAGCTCAGGCACGTCGATATTGGCCGAACCAGCGGAGAGGGTAGTCAGTGAGAAACCCTGGCCCATGTTGCAAGCAGTCCTGAGGTGTGGCTAGTTAGGCTGAGATGCGGAGGGTTGTTGAGGCCGTGCTCTAAGCATCATGAAGGGTCTCTGGAACAAGAGGGCTTATCGGACGTAAGGCAGGCTGCTGAACTCGACGGAGGCGATGAAATGATATTGTTGATGTTTGTCAAGTCAGGTGCAGCATTCGAGGCCGTGGTCATGGTAGGTAGGTAGTGGTCATGGTAGACTTACATCAGCGGTACCGTAACGTCCAGGGTGCCTCAGCCACTACGACCAGAAGGGAAAGGCCCACCACGTCCTCTCGTGACACGCGTTCTTCCCCCCCCCCTCCCCCTCTTTGTCTCTTTCTCTCGTCTCTCGTCTCTCGTCTCTCGTCTCTCGTCTCTCGACACTACCATGGTCAACAAGAAGCATCACGTGGTCTTCTTTCACCCAGACCTAGGTATAGGCGGGGCAGAGCGTCTGGTCATCGACGCGGCTGTAGGATTACAGAGCCGTGGTCACAAGGTCACCATCTTCACATCCCACTGCGACCCGCAGCACTGCTTCGACGAGGCGCGCGATGGTGAGCACCCACAGCACCCGACGACCAGCAGCGCGTACATGTCGGCACAAGGCATTTGAGACCTGAGACCTGACTCTCCACGCAAAAGGAACTCTTGACGTGCGCGTCCGCGGCCATTCACTCATCCCGCCGTCCTTATTCGGACGCTTCGCCATCCTCTGCGCAATCCTACGCCAGGTCCACCTGCTCCTTCAAATTGGCGTCTTCTCGAACGAGCTAAGACAGCTTGCTCCTTCAGCATTCTTCGTTGATCAGCTCAGCGCTGGCATCCCGCTCTTGCGCTTGTTGCAACCTCGCCCCCGCATCCTCTTCTACTGCCACTTTCCTGATAAGCTGTTGGCGAAGCAAGGTGGCCTCGTAAAGTCCTTGTATCGTGCGCCTTTTGATTGGCTTGAGAGTTGGAGCACGGGCTGCAGCGACACCATTGTAGTGAATAGCAACTTTACCAGAGGCATCTTTGGCCAGGCCTTCCCCGCCCTCAAGCACCGCCAACCTGGCGTCGTATATCCCTGCGTCGACACGAAGCCGAGCGAAGCCATTGAGCATCCAGCACCGCTATGGAAGAACAAAAAGGTCCTCCTGAGCATCAACCGCTTTGAGAAGAAGAAAGATGTGGCACTCGCCGTCAGGGCGTATGCTGGGCTATCACCCAAGGAGCGCCAGAATGCCCGCCTAGTCATTGCAGGAGGCTATGACCCCAGAGTGGCTGAGAATGTCTCCACTTACACTGAGCTGTGCCAATTGGCAGACTCGCTTGGGTTGAAGCATGCCACCGCGAAAACGGTCATCAGTGCTCAAAGCATACCGGATGACATCGCAGTCCTGTTCCTCCAATCCGTCCCAAATGCCTTCAAATCCACCCTGCTATCGACTTCTCGCCTGTTGGTGTATACCCCATTGCACGAGCACTTTGGCATTGTGCCTCTGGAGGCCATGTTGGCAGGCACACCAGTCCTGGCTGCCAACGAGGGTGGTCCTACCGAGACAGTCATCAGTGGTCAGACTGGCTGGCTAAGAGATGTCAGTAAGGTACAAGACTGGACAGAAGTTATGCGCATCGCCCTTGAAGACGGTGATGGCGAGCAACGTTTGCGCGAGATGGGCAAATGGGGAAAAGAGAGAGTTGTAGCCGAATTCTCAAAAGATAAGTTGGCCGAGAGGTTAGAATCAGAAATCGATAGGATTACCGGCGATGCAGCTTGCGAATCACCTCGTCCCAGCCTAGTGCCCCTATCGGTAGCGGCATTCATTATACCTGTTGGAGTTTCTCTCGTCGCCATACTCTGGAGATTATTCTTCATGTGATTACCAAAGCCTTCTAGTCGCAATCGAACATGATCTAGTGGAATAAGAAGAAATCGCAGCCAAGGACTTGACTACATGCATTATACAAAATAGTGGTTGATTTAAACATATTGTTCATATCTTCTATACACAGCATTCTATCTCTATGATGAGTTACTGTTATCATCGCATGAGAAAGCAGAGGTGATCGTGCCATCCCTATAAGCATCCATGATCTGAACAATAACACCATAGGTGCCACCGATGGCCAGAAACAATCCGATCAGGATCAGAATAACGTGCAATGCATACAGGATCTTGTGCCACCAGTTCCCCCTCCAGTAGTCAGCATGGTCATAGATCCAGAGCCAACCAGGAAGACTGAGTGCCAGTGGAGCGAAAGCAATGCTACCTGCTAGACTCAGCAGATAGTTGAAGATGGGTACGCCTGAGGCAATCAAGAAACTGATGACTGTCATGGCGGTAACGCAGCTCATCCAGGCGCCCCAGTGAACGATGGTGTTGGCCTGGAGATGTCTCGAGTTCCTCAAGATTCTCACAAACACGTACTTTGCACTGACGTGTACGTAGAGCGAACCACTGACACAGAGGCCGATGATCCCCACTCCATAGGCAATCTTTTTTACCGTTGGCCCAGCGCTGCCCAGCGAAGGGGAGGCAACCCACTTGCCGCACCATTTGTACACCACCAGACTGAAGGTGAGGTAGGCAGCGGTAACGAGGCCCATGCACCAGTTTACAGCCTTTGCGTACTCTCTTGGGTTCCGCATCTCCGACATGACAGGCAGGAAGGCAGAGGTTCCAGCTCCAGAAGCAAAGATCGAGGCTGCAGCAGTAATCCCTGCCGCAAAAGTTGGATGGGAGATGACATGGTAGCCAAAGTCATACGGGCCTTCTTGAGGAGCAGCAGCAGGGCGGTCAAGTGTAGTAACGCCGACAACGACGATGAAGACCGCGACGAAAACGGAGATGAATCCGACCCAGGTGACCCAGGCGAGTTTCTCAAACTTGCGTACGCTGGCAAACAGCCCAACCATGAGCGCTGCCACAATGGAAAAGTAGTTTGTGCACAGCGCGTGTTCTGATAAAGCGTTGAGTGCCGTCGATACACCAACAATACCAGAGGCTGCGACGATGATGAAAGCCACGAGGAATAGGATTCCTGAGAGCTCTTTGACGATCTTCCCGCCCACGACGAAGCCCATGTCGGCGATGGAGTGGCAGCCAGCGTGGTTATTGCGAAATTGCCCTTGGACCAAGGCGCAGTATGTGTTGAGAAATTGCCAGCCGAGCACGTTGACGGCGCCAGGGAAGGCTCCCAGTGTGTACATGGCCGACGGGATAGTGAGGACACCAGTCGCGAAGATGACTGTTTAATTTGCATGCCGTCATGTTAGCGATTCAAACGCTCCCTGAATGTAACAGTTCCGAGTCTTTTACCTACGCTTCAGAAAAATGACAGACGTGTGGATCCAATGAACCGTCCTGAAATCCTCTATCCCCTCTCCCTTTCTGAAAATCTCGCCATCATTCTCATGCTCGACCTTGCCAATCGACACACTCCCACGGCTGCCACTCCGCCTCGGTTCAATGATATCGTCGTGCTTCTCAGTGGACATGGTGCCAAGGTACCCTAAACGTTATAGCAATACGAGCCTGTCGTGCGCCCGTCTTCGATGCGCGGAGTCGGGGTAGTTAAACTTCGTACCTGATCCTAATGTGGCGATCCCCCAAATACACCATATATATACATACATATACACACAACAACCTTATGGCTGCGGTCCCTTGCCTGCTATCTCCCCCGAGTCAGCCTTGTGGCCAGGGCAGCTAAGATCGCCGCCGTTACTGATACCAACGCGGTGTGCGTGAAATCTGGGGATGATGCATGGGAAAACGCCCCCATAGCCCCACTGTTTTGGAGAGCGAGCGCAAACCTTATCGCTTGCGCGCGCTAGGATCCAGTACTCCAACTACCCATTTGATGAAGCGATGGAGGGAGTTGGAGTGCGGGGATCCTTGCTGCGCTTGTTTAGCTGGTATGGTGAAGGCGTTTGGGCGCGTGCGTTTATGGTAGCTGTGTGGTAGGTACGGTACGGTACGACCGATATCTTGAGCGGAGTAGGAGCCGTTGATAAGATTATGAAGACCACTCCCAGTCTTCCACACGGTATCTGCGAACTCCTGCTCCAACCCTTGGAGGGCTCCATTGAGCGACAGAGGTACTTCCGTGGTGTTTTGATTTGCGGAGTTGATAGCGCTTAGGGCGACACCAAGTGGGAGGATAACATGGGAAGTTGTGCTTATTCTTGTCCCCATGACTGGTCCAGAGTGTACCAGTATGCAAGCTTATAGGCAAATGCTAAGATTGTACAGTGTTGTAAGGCACGCATATTCAATCTTTGTTTATCGCAAAAGCAATCCCACCTCCTCGTTCAGCCAAGTAGCTTGGGAACGAAGACACAATGTCATAGCCATGTATTCATCTACATGTGATTGTCGCGCGCTCTAGTTTTGCAATTCCGTATAAATTCCAGCTCCTGCGAATTTCAACGAGAATGGCTGTTCAGCTGCAGTTCGATTTCTGAATCGGGCATGGCAGTTTCCATGTCTTGCTCGCCTTCATCAAATGACCAACTTACTACGAGCTGCCTGTCGCCTCTTTCAACTTCAGCCCAGGCTCAGCTGGCATCATAGCCCCAGCGGGAGGAGGATTCTTGCTCTTAAACTCATCCGCCATCTGCTCCATCGTAACAAATTCCACACCATCGTGCTTCTTGAAGTGTTCGAGAAGTCTCTCGTGCATTAGAAGCGCATGCGGCCGACCAGACACGTCGGGATGGATTGTGATTGGAAAGATGAACTCGTCGTACTCTCGATAAAAGTAGTCGAAGTGATCCCTCCATAGATCCTCGATATCCCTTGGATTGACGAACCCATGCGAATTTGGGCTTGATTTGATGAACAGCATGCTATTTGGATATCAGTAGGCATACCTTGAATATGGTCGGATAGTTCTTACGGTGGGAGATCTAAAAGTACCCCGTCAGCGGTTGGCTTGATGCTCAAAATGCCATGGAACACATACCATCCAAATACCAATTTGCAGGGATCTCTACAAGACCTGTTTCACGACCGGCGACCAGTGGTTTCATCCATTCCTCTGCCTTCTTAGTGTAGTCGATCTTTGTCCATGTATCACCCGTCCGCAGGTAGTAGGGTTGGCAATCGTGATGCGACATGCTGTGATCATATTCGATTCCATACGACAGTAGCAGCTCCGCACCTTCTTGACTCGTCTCCCACCTGCACGATTGAATCAGTTGTAAGATCGCGCGAGTTATCGTAACTGAGGTCACTCACCAGGGTGCCACACTCCCTCTCGGTGGCTTACCAGCAAACTCTGTCAATTGGCGATAGGTTTTGTCAAGTACATCCCGTTGCTGCTCAAGAGTCATGTCGTTGGGGTTCTCATGGCTGTACCCGTGCAGCCCAATCTCATGACCAGCGTCACGAACCGCAGCCATATCCTCTGGGAATGTATCCAGACTGTGTCCAGGAATGAACCATGTTGTTTTGATGTCGTACTTTGCGAAAAGTTTCAGAAGACGTTGTGTACCAACAGTGCCCGCAAAGATACCTCGACTGATGTCGCTGGTGCTATCTTCTCCTCCATAAGAACCGAGCCATCCAGCAACGGCTGCCATGGTCAGCAATTATATTGTCAGATAGAGTCAATGTACGCATTCATACCATCAACATCCACACCGTACGAGATAAGAACGCGCTTCTTGCCCATGGTGGTTTGTTTGTTTTACGCGTCTGTTGTTATTGAGAGTGAGGTCAGGGAGCGAGGCTGGTAAGGTAGAAGCGATAAAATCATTCAGGAACCACGGGCGACACCATCACTGTGCAAGCCATTGTGACTAGGTCTACTAGGTGCACCCAATGCATGCGGGGTCTTCGATGGTTTGGCCGGGCCGCCGGCTTGGTGGAGTGGGCCAGGGTACTGGTAAGTTAAGTTACCGTTACCGTTATGCTCCACTTCGGTTATCACCTGAGTAACTCCAATCGACTCCAATTCCTGATTGCAAACATACGTCACTCAGCAGCGTACAGCCAAAAGGATACCATTGTAATGACTACGGTACTATTGTATGTGCTACCATTTTGTTCTAAGATCATATCAACATAGAATTTGTAGGGTTTCTCGAAACCATTATCTGGGTGCCCAGAGAACCTACATCACGCAAAGATGACGAATCAGACTATGCAAGTAGCACAGATTGTGGAGGTAAATGAAGAGTATAATAAGCGTCAGAATCAATACTGAACTGAACCAGTACAACAAGCCTTATCGTTTATGTGAACGGAAAGTCCCTGAATGCGGCAAGAATGAGCTTTTGGTCGAGATTCGGGCGGCAGGCTTTTGCCATTCAGATCTGCAGGTCCTGCAGGGGCATTTCCCAGCGCCTTTACCTTTGATAGCATCGCATGAGCCTGCAGGTATAGTACGACAGGTTGGAAGAAACGTTGCAGGCTCTTGGAAACCAGGCGACCGCGTTGGGGTTCTGAACTTCAAGAAAGCCTGCGGAGAGTGTGCTGGTTGCAGACAGCTTCAGCGGAAAGGGGGACGTAAGGATCCTCGCTTTTGCCACAAGAGGGAAATGGCTGGCTTCAAACACAATGGTGCATTTGCTCAATACATGATCGCTGATCCGGAAACGACTGTACATTTGCCGGAAAGTGTTACCTTTGAGCAAGGGGCGCCGTTAATGTGTGCAGGCGTGAGTTTACCATGCGAGGTTTGAGAAATTCAAATAAATGCTGATCACAGAACTCTAGGCGACAGCTTGGGGTGCTCTACAAAAGCTCCGACCAGAAGTGAAGTCTGGAGACACAGTAGGGATCGTGGGTATTGGTGGCGTGGGGAATCTAGCTGTTCAGTTTGCTAAGGCGATGGGTTACCGAGTCGTAGCAATTGACAATCGTCCAGAAGGGCGCCAACTAGCCATTGAGGCCAAAGAGCAGCTGATACCGGACCTCGTCATAGATCCATCTGCGATCGATGCTGATGATCAAATTTTGGCCTTCACCTCGGACGAAGGCCTCTCTGGCATCGTAGTGTGTACGGATTCGACCCAAGCAAACACTTGGAGTCTTCAGCAACTTGGGAGTAAAGGTGTTATCGTGCCTCTAGGTCTGCCTAAAGATAAATGGCAGTTTGACTCCAATGCGGTAGTCTTCCGGGAACTTACAATTCGGGGTAGTTATGTCGCCGACCGAGAGGAGGTGGAAGAGATGTTCAAAGTCGTTGGAAAGTACGGAGTCGCATCTCATCTCACTATGGTGGAGTTTAACCAGATTCCTACCATCGTCGACCGGTACTTGGAAAAAACGTTGAAAGGCAGATTAGTCGTCAAAATCCCGCATTAGGTAAACAATTTTCTCTTTCGGAGCTTCAAACTATCATGCTCAATCCAAATAGGACAAAATGCTGCAGCTCTTGGGGTTGGTTGGAGTCGGAGAGTCGGACCCATGTTACTCCAAATGGTCGCCACCCTCGTCAATGTACACCATTGGCCAAGTATCGTGATGCTACGGACCTACCGATCCTATCATGTATTATCGTACGATTCAGGAGAATGCTTACGAGAATGCTGACTGTATCAGATTAGATTCAAATTCGAGATAGACCTCAGTCCTCAAGTTACCTACAATCTACGTTGTTTCAATCATTTTCCATCATGTCTGTGTTTTTCGATACCCCTTTGAGGTGCGCGCTATAGACTTCATCTAAATGTTGAATCGAACGAATTACTAAACAGTTGTCAGCGAAGATCATGTTCCTGAAGGCGAGGCCGAGTTACTCCTGTCCCAAATTGGCATCACCCGTGGCATTTTGCCACATGAATCAAGCGATTATCGTCAGCTACTTGCGGCAGTACACGATGTTGCCGAGCATGTACTAGATCTTCCAGACTATATAGTAGCCCCAGATGTCGAGAAATATCCGCGAGAAAACATAGTTCGTCCATCGGATCAAGAGCAGGATTATGGCCATGCATGGGCTCACAAGTTCAACATCCGTGGCAATTCTGAGGGTGAACTCCTACGCGGCAAGACTATTTGTCTGAAAGACAATATCGCTGTTGCCGGTATTCCACAGTTTTTTGGCACAGATGCTATACATCCCTGGACACCCGATTCAGATGCCACGGTCGTCACGCGAGCGCTCGACGCTGGAGGAGACATTGTAGGAACAACGATTTGCGAGAATTTTTGCAATTCCACGTCTTCCTTTACTAGTGCTCAAGGCACGATTCATAACCCATATGCCGCAGGCTATTCGGCTGGTGGCAGTACGTCCGGTGGTTGTGCACTCGTCGGCGGTGGTTTGGTCGACATCGCTATTGGAGCTGATCAGGGCGGAAGTATTCGCGTACCATCTGCATTCTGTGGCTGTGTAGGATTAAAGCCAACACATGGCCTTGTACCTTATACCGGTATTTCGAGCGGCGATGCTATCGATGATCATGCTGGGCCGATTGGCAGGACCGTTCGAGATGTTGCCTTGACTCTGGATGCCATCAGCGGAAGAGATGACTATGATGATAGAACGCTTGGAGCGCCCACCCACGGCTTGATAAAGTACTCAGAACAACTCCAGGCCTCTGTTGCTGGTATGAAGATCGGCATTTTGACCGAAGGATTCGAACATAGATTGCTGAACGACGATGTTAAGGAGGTTGTGTTGCAAGCTGCTGAGGCTTTTCAAGTATTATCGGCCACAGTAGAAGAGGTTTCCTTGCCACTACATCTCCAAGGCCCGGCTATATGGACGATACAACAACGCATTGCGGGAACATTAGGGATAATGGGATTGGCGCATGGACGACGCGGTCTACTCTCCACTGCCTTCGAAGCTGCGCGGCAGCCATGGACAGACGATTCCTTCCAAAAATTATTTCCTTCCACCAAGAATACTATCATCAATGGCCTCTCCCTCATGAAGAATTATCCGGGTCTTTACGCTAAAACGATCAACATCGCACAACGATTACGTGACGAATACGAGAAGTTATTGCAAATATACGATATCATCGTGATGCCAACGACGCCGTGTGTGGCTCCACGTAACGCAGATTGGAAGCGAGGAGACGCGCCGATGGATGCACTTAAACCGAGCATGGGCTTGACGATTAACACCGCAGTGTTTGATGTCACCGGCCACCCAGCTATGACCATCCCGGTAGGATTTGCGCCATCTTCTGAAGATCCAAACGTTAGGCTTCCAGTTGGAATGCAATTGGTCGGGGGCTTGTGGCAAGAGCAGAAGTTGCTAAACGCAGGGCTCGCCTGGGAGAAAGCGCACAGCTGGAAGGATATTGGGAGGCAGCATGTCCTAGAGCGCAGACTGGAAACCAAACTATAGTACCCACAAAAGACTGAAGAGATGTTCACTATTGGTTGCAACTCTTAATTTATTGTGTAGCCACCATCTACAACTAGTGCATGACCTTGAATGAATGAAGCCTGTGGTGAGCATAAGAACAGGACCGCATTAGCAACTTCATCTGGTGTACCCATCCTCCTCATTGGGGCGATGTTGATAGCAGGCTTCAAGGCTTCTCTCATCTCTGGGGATCCTTGTGTCATTGGCGTCTCGATAACTCCTGGACACACACAGTTTACACGAATACCATCCGTAGAGTAGTCGATCGCATTTGCTTTGGTCATGTTGATAATGGCCGCCTTTGAAGCACAGTACGCAGCTACGCTATTGTGTCAGCAAGGCAAGAGATGAACAATAACAACAGGTATGCTTACCTGCCCCTGGCCGTGCAACAACTCCCAATTGACTGGCGATGTTGACGATGGAACCTCGTTGCACCGCATTATTGGGTAGAGATTGTTTGAGCATATTTCTCAGCTGCGCGCGAGAACTCAGCCACGATCCACGATAGTTAATGTTGTGCAAGCGGTCAAATGCGTCCATCGGCATGTCTATTGCTTTCACAGGTTTCTCTCCTAAAATACCTGCACAGTTTACGCCATAGTCAAGTCGAGAGAACCTCGAAAACGCTTCGTCAGTGAATGAATTGACAAAGGCCTCGTCTGCGATATCTCCGGCGGCACTGAACACCTCGATGGAAGAGTCAATAGATAATATATCGTCTTTGGTTTTTTGTAGCGTTTTGGCGTCAATATCTGTTATAGCAATCTTTGTACAGCCTGAGCGAGCAAGGCCTCTCGCAACAGCATTACCAATGCCTGTCGTGAATCAGTAAGCACACATGCATATATGTTCCTGTATTCATACCTGTCCCCCCAGAACCAGTCACCAAGGCTGCACCGAGCAAACGGGCTGTGAGAGATGCCATTGCACTGTATGATGATGAAGCGCTTCGTGTGATGCGCGTCAGCCTCGGATCAGGAATGTTACGTCAATTCAAAAGGTCTAGTGCAGTGGTACCGTAGGTACTGTTAGGTATAGCATGATAGGTAAATCGGCTTTAACTTACTATAGAACTCAATCTCCCTCAAATGGAGCGAAGGGATCATACGGTAAACGCTACCCTGAACCAGAAAGTGTACGGTACCTAGTGATCGCTTCGGGCATACCAAACACTCAACCATGGAGCTCCCTGTTGCGGACATCACTCCAACACTTGGGGTAGCTCTTATCGGCTAATTCTGGTAGGGCCGATTGCTGTAGCCCCTAGACTCATTTTCCTCATTTCCGTTGTCAAACTCCGAGAGCCTCCTTCATACTCCACCCTGCCTCTCCAACATGAATCTCCAAAATTCCTGAACGGGCCATGCATGGCCACACTTGCAGTTATTGTTCGCGGAGTTTTAAGCGTGCAGAACACTTAACTCGCCATCTGCGTACACGTGCGTGACTCCGCTTTTCTGTGTTGAGCATCCACTGCCGAAAGATTACGACTTACAATAGCCTAGATACGCGAGAAAAGCCTTTCCATTGTCACTGTAGCGCGTGCTTCACTCGTCGTGACCTATTGACTCGGCATTGGCGAATTACTGGCCATGGTGACCGGCCCTCCACCGTAGAATCATCGTCTTCTTCCAATGCCGAGTCTGGACCAGGAAGCGTGCCTCATCATCATCAATCATCCCAACTAGAGAGCTATCCCACTCAATCGACTGAAAGAACAACTACACAACATTACGATCCGATTAGCGATGAAAGCATCGCGAACGGCCTTGTGCAGCTTTCCAACAGTCAGGTTGTACCCGAAACCACGGCTCCAGTGGCAGTCTACGAGGAAGGACAGCTAAGCCTTGGTACCCAAGGTTCGTACATGTCCTTTTCTCAATGTACGCTTCTTTGTCCAAGGCTGAAGATACTCACAAATTCTACAGATGTAACGCATTCTTCATATCCAGATGAAGGCCTCGAGGACTTCCGTGATTTCGTCAACTTCATTGATGGCGTTGGCTTATCAGCACAATGGACGCCTGAATACGATATAGACTGGCTTCGCGTGGCTGGTGGACAGCATGATTCGGTGCGTCAGTCGCGCGAGCAGACAACTGCTCAATCCCCCGGTGCAGAGGACATCGGTACACCTTTCAGTACGTGGTTGCCATCGGCTCCTGCTGATGACAAAGTACACTTGAGATGCCAGACCAATAATGACACTCGGGAACAACGCACACGCAACGGTACCTACAACGTAACCGATGACTACCGCAACTTTCTCGTCTCTCTGCTCGAAGGTTTCCCTTCACCAATATCTAATTTTGAGATACCCTCGAGGCACGCACTTACACGCTACATAACAGCATTCTTCTCAGGCTTTCACTCACACTTTCCTTTTATACACGAGCCGACTTATAAGCCTTCGTGTTCGCCACTAGAGCTTACACTAGCAATGTGTGCGGCTGGAGCACAATACTGCTTTGAGCGCCGAAGCTCAGAGCGCTTGTTTCGTGTTTCCAAGGCAATTGTTTTCGAACGGCTACGCCAAGAAGAGTCATACTTCGGTCCTCAGACACTGGCTTTCATCGCATCGACAGATATCCTCTCTCCCGAGGCGCATCGAACAGGAAGACGCTCTGGTCCTTGGGCGCCTCTCGACATGGCCAAGACTCTTCTTATTCTTGTAGGATTTGCCACTTGGGAAAGAAAAGACCTACTCCAGCAAGCTTTCGCTCTGCGTGGTTTGCTTGTGCAATGTCTACGAGACAACGGCCTCTATGAAGAAACTGCACCCCAAACCGCAACCACATCTAGATCAGTGAAATGGGATCAATGGGTTCAGCGGGAATCTGTATGTATTAGAAGGACGCAAGCTCGAAGACAAAGACTGATTTGTTTTCACATAGTCGCGACGAACTAAGTTGGTTTCGTTCTGTTATATCAACGTCCACAGTATAGCCTATAACATACATCCGCTATTATGGAGCAGTGAGCTACACTTACGACTACCATGCGGCACAGCCGAATGGAGAGCTTCAAGTGCTGCACAGTGGACAGCCTTACAGCGCGAAGGCAAGCAAGATCAGATGCTCTTCCAGGAGGCACTCTCAATCCTTCTCCTGGGAACATCCAACACGACTTCAGTGCAACCTATTCCAAGTCCGATAGGAAACTATATCCTGTTACATGCTCTTTTACAGCGGATTCACGTTGTCCGTGAGCTGGCCTTCCCTGCGACGGTAGCCGCTACTATCTCAGCGACAGAGTTGCAGACTATTGGTCGTGCCCTTCACTCGTGGACTTCTTTATGGCAACAGACGCCTGAGTCGATGCTCGACCCTAATAACGAAAGTGGACCTATACCATTTACATCCAGCGCTCTATTAGTCGTAGCTTATATCCGACTTTCTCTCGACGTTGGTTCGCATCGCCATCTGGAGTCTCGCGATCCCGATGTCATTGCTGCTAGCTTAGCCCGCATGCCTGATATTGAACGCAATGACAATCTACTATCTGCTCTACTTTACGCCACTCACGCACTCAGTATCCCAGTAAGGCTAGGAATCGATCGTGTGGCCAGGAGTCAGGCATTCTTCTGGAGCGTACAACACGCAATCTCGAGTTTTGAATGTGCGATCTTCCTTGGTAAATGGCTCTGTTCACTCCCACGGCCGTTACAAGAGGACTCCTTGACTCGGTCGGAGCATCGTATCCTCCATTGGGTACGCTGCATCATTAAAGAAGTGAGTGCTATCGATGGTTAACACGTTTGCGCAACTAAGATGGCCTAGGCATATGCTGTGGTAGATTTCGAGGAGCTGGACGTTGACGACGAGGATCCAGAGATCACCAGTGAACCCTTCCAACTGGGCCTAGCTGTTTTGAGGATTTGGTGTCGCTTTTTTCGAGGCAATACGCAGTGGCAGTTTGTCGTCAATCTCGGGTTAAGTCTGGAGAGGTACCTGGTCATGATCACCTAAGAGGGGTTTCGTTGGAATTAAGGTTTTAGATGTCATGGCTAGCTCACATTTATTCCATTGGACCCATTGCCAGTTATACAGATTCAAGTGCATGAGGGCGCAGTTCATATGACCATGGAATTAGCGCTGCGTGAACTCGTATTTGGCATAGGGTTAGGCCGTGCCAAGCTCTACTAGCTAGCTAAGCGAGGTTAACTAAACATTATGCCGTAAGATTTTGCAACGCGTTCTAAACCTATTCTAAACATATTCTATACTAGTAACACCACAAGCTGCCACTGCTATGCCTGTCACTAACGCATCCCTTGTATCCTACGTAAGCAGATTAAAACGTGTTTAGAACGTGTTCTTAATAGGTTACCTGTGTAGCCTGTATAAGCACCTCTTCTCTTGTTAGGTAAGAGCTATCTTTATATTGCTAAACTAGTATTATATACCTATACCCTTAGCTATATAATTAAGGGTATACTAGGAGAATAGCTATATACTTAATAATTACTAGTATAAGTAGTAGTCCTTAACTATTACTATAAGTAAGGTATATATTATACCCCTATAACGTGTTACTAACCTATTCTAAACTTATTCTATTTACTTTTACTTACTTCCTTAACGCTACTACTACTATCCTCCTCTAGCACTTTATATAGTTGCCTAAATTTATCTCTAATATTACTATCTAGTTTAGATATATTATCTAGTACTACTATACTAAACTCTAGTATAGTATTTAGGAACGCCTATATATTATTAAGAACAGGTTTAGAATATATTTAAAAAAGATAGTAATAAAAACTGCGTTTACTTGCTTAAATTACCCTAATTTATACTTAACTATAGGCTAGTTTATATAACTATAAAAATTTGCCGCTATGACGTGGACTTGAACCTACAGGGATATTCTAACCACTCGGAGTAAAGCCCAAGTCGCCCGACGCTAAACCCATGGTCATATGACATGCCACCACCAAGTGCATGCTTCAGGGGTAAATCAAGGTAGAGTCGTGAATCAGATCCCTGCTCAGATCAAATTCCAGCTCCACGGTCGTGGAATGAAATGCCTAATCCTAGGGGAAACGTTATTCGTCCAGGTCGCAATAAGAAAAGTGTCCTGGTCATAAGCCTTACCTTACCCGAATTGGTTAACATCCTGCAGCTAGTAAATTAGTACTACAGGGGATGCCGCTGGATGGCCCACGACTAGTATTAATAGTATTAGTGTATAGTATTAGTAGATATTAGGTTATCTATACCTAGTTATATGTTATTGCAGAGTTTTTACCTACAGTAACTAGGTAATAGCTATAACCTAACATCCTATATTAACTAAAATCTATTAAAACACACCTAATTATTATACTTTTTATCTTATAGAAATATTACTTACTTAATCTATATTACTAACTAACTTAGATAACTCTTAGGTATCCTCTAAGGCTTTATAGAGTATAAGGTTATTATAGAGCCCTATACTAGTAGTATTATAAATATACTAAGTTATAGCAAGTTAATCCTTTTCCTTTACTATAGTAATACTACTAATACTATACATTAATACTATCGATACTAGTCGCGGGCCATCTAGCGGCATCCCCTGTAGTACTAATTTACTAGCTGCAGGATGTTAACCAATTCAGGTAAGGTAAGGCTTATGACCAGGACACTTTTCTTATTGCGACCCGGACGAATAACACTTGCCCTAATCCTAGTGCATCCGCCCTTACGTCCATCGTTGTTCCAGGGGTTACCGCTGTCACTGCGACAACTATATCGAGAGTGTGTATTCAGACAGCTTCAGTTGGTCACCAAGGAGTGAGTTGTCTTCATCGCTCCCCCTACACTCGAGCTAGGGCTGCAACGACCGACGCCCGCATTGACACGCAACATACTATAACTCCTACACAAAGGAGTATGCCAACAAATTCGTCTTAATAGCGGATTCATGAAAGTGATAACAATGAAGTGAAGGGCGAAGGGTGAAAGGTAAGTTTAAGATAACCTTGATCCAGTGGAAGATAGGAAATCTGTTTTGCTTGAATTAAAGATTCAAGGCTAATACACCACAACCAGTGCGCTACGAAATGAAAATATCTGCAGAGTAATATCCTACTGAAATCCGCCATCGCAGTCAAAGCTGCCGGAAGTCTTGAAGTTGCAAGTGCTCTTCTCCCCACCACCTGTAATATCAACATTGTCAATCGTGATGTTTTCACAGCTACCCTTTCCGCAGAGGATGTAGTAGTTCTTAGCATCCTTCGTAGCGGTTCCCTTGATGTTGCGAATGGTAATGTCCTTGAACTTGACTCCGTTCGTAGGCTTACCGGTTGGGCCGCCGTTGAGGTAGTCCTGCTGAAGCACGATACCGTATTTGAAGATGTTCTCGACGTGGATGTTTTCAAAGAGGATGTTCTGGACCAGACCGGTGGTGTTCTCGTTGGACTTGATGCGAATACCGTTTTCAGAGTTCCTGACGTTGGAGTTCTTGAATGTTACGTTGGTGACAGTGTTGTCTGCAGAGGGGATACCGTTAGCTGAATGTTCACCAGACGAGGTGATTGAGCGCAACTTACTGGACTTGCCGCCGACGGAGCCGATGGAGAGACCGTGCGGCGAACCGAGACACTCCATGTTCTCAATGAGGATGTTGTTACCACTGGTCACGGCAACGCAGTCATCTTGATTGATGACAGTGCAATCATGGATTGTGGAATCAGTGGTGCTAGACATGCCAAATCCTGTTCGGTACGTAATTAGCAGTGTGACACCAAGTGAGCTCACTCATGTCGAACATACCATCGCTGTTGTGGGAAGCGGGTTTACCATTGGAGCGACTATTAGGCGCTTCACCGGCGGTGTTGTTCAGAGTAACGTGATGGATATCAAGTCCACTGCTACCGCTCACCATGATGCCATGGACAGGGTAGTTCTCAATGTACAGATCATGGATGCAGCTTTTCCCTGACACCCCCCTGACCTGAAAGAAATGGTTTGGCCTGCGATGGAGTTAGCATAAAACTAGAAGTACCCCTTCTAAAAAGACTTACTTGGCAACACCGCCATTGCTACCCAGACCGTCCCACCAGCATGCACCGTTTCCGTCAAGAACCGCACCCTCTGCACCAGTGATCTCCACATCGACCCCACTGATCTTGACAAGAGGGTAGTTGGCATCGCCATGTTCCCAGAAAGTCCTGCCCGCGAACGTGACTTTCGATCCTTGCTTCAGAGAGCTCAGGTCAATAGTACTCTTTCCCGGAACAGTGATCCCGTCGAGTGTGATGTCGGTGCAACCGGAAACGGCAGCTGGGATTGCATCGTACGTTGTTACGTGGCAGTTACTGCTCGATGAATTGCTATGTCCACCCTGAGGCTGCGGTCGTGGCTTCGGAGATGGTGCACCTTTGTGCGAAGATGACTTTGTAGGTTTGTCATTGTTGTTGTGCGACTTCTTCGATCCTTCATCGTTGCCTGAAGATTGCTTTGAAGGGAATGCAGCGACGTCTTTTATAATGGCGAGAGCCAATACTGCCAGCAGACCTACAAAGGAGTTAGCATATCACGTCTCAGGCCTGCGCAGCTTGTTTCGTACTGTTGGTTCGCATGGTGAAAAGATGGAATGGCGAAGAAAATGATTTAAAGAGAGTGGTGTCAAGCAAAGCTGATGAGGATGATTTTGGTAGGCATTGGATCCTGCCATTCTTATATATCTAGCTCCCCCAGACTCTTCACGGTCCGCCTCGTTCATAGAACCCCCTCACGCTGCAGGGCGCGGTCATACCTTTCGCCCGCACAAACGGTCAAAAGAGGGTCTGCGAATTGTGTCAAACACCATCGTACAGGCCGAGTGGCCCAAGCATAATAAGCACTACGGCCAAGTCTAGTCAAGGTCTCACAAGGAATTATTGTCGAGAACTTCCCGTCCCGTAACCAGTTGTTTGGGAGATGAACTAATTCTGGGGAACGCCTCTGTTTGAAACGCAAGCTGGACGCCAAGATGCAACCGAGCGCCGATCGAATTGGTGCTCATCCAGGGACCACTTCTCCTTTCGACATGTTGATTGCCATGAACACGATGAATTCCGGGGTGCTGCAATTTTGTGTGGAGAATGCAGAGTGAGATCCGGAAAATTGAGGTTCCTCCATTCATATCTTGTAATCAAACTGTCCCTGCCCGGCAAATTCCATAAGTGCCGATTTTCTTGTGATGCGAGGAGTTGGGTGGGTCAAACAATCAGGACCGAGAATATATGATATCTAGCCCTACCAACCCCAGAACTGCACAAAGGCAGTCACTTGGGGACATGGATCTTACGAATTCCTTCAGGTTACCGTGTTTCATTCGGCGGTATGCGAATCAAGTTGAAACATTCGCAACATCGTTTCTAGCACCGGCGCGAAGGCCGGGCAACGTGTGAAGTGTGTATACCGTGACACTGCAACAATACAATTATAAACTTAAAGAATAACTAGCTTGCAGTAGCTACATTATCCTTCAATAGTTCATGTGCTTTCCTACCGAGAAATCTATTTACATGGGCAAATTTGAAGTTTTTGTGGTGTTGTGCTCTCTTGACTTGGTCTGAATTTCGCGACGGCACTAGAGGCCATGTAATATGCCATAGTATATATCGTACTAGTGCATGCTTCCCCTTTCTAATGATCTCAAGATGAGATTTGTTCTGTTGAGCGGTGATTTCACAGTTCTACTACAACCGTCAAATGAACTTGTTCTCCTGAGCACTGCATCTATCGGCTCCTTTCAATGGCCCAGCCTCACCGACGTTCAGGCACGAGCCTTAGCTATCTCGAAGAAGATGGAGCCATCGTAAACGCCCTGTATGTCTTGTTTTCGGAGCCTTCCATCCTGAGGCCAAAGTAAGATGTACAGTGCGACCCCTAAGTTGTGTGAGTATCGGTCAGCATGTTTCATACATGTGTTGGAAACAAGTGATCTTACATTCTAGACCTCCAGCAAACCAACCGAAAAAGTCGTTCGCACAGCATTGGCCTCTCCACACTTTATACATAGTGCGCAAAGTAAGATAATCTTTGCCTTCAGCGTACTTGCGGAAGATGGCCTCAAATCGATTCAGGTCCAGTTCTGCATCCAGGTCGTAAGCACCAGTCGTACTTCCGTGTCTGCAACAGTCGATCTTGTCTAGGTTGATAGCGAACATCGGGTGTGGTATCCAGCTTGTCTGCGTGCTATAAGAGGAACACATACACATGGTGACAGCTGCCCATATGCATAGAGCGATATTGAAGCCAAGTCTTCGAAAGCCGACGAAGATATCCCACGGATATATCACACCGTCCTGGTCAGCGTCCCAGAAGTCACAATGGCGTTGTAGAGCGCTACGCTTTGTGTTGGTGCTTTTTCGGTTGAGCACAGGTCTCGATGGACCTGTGACCTTTCTGGCATCTTCATCATGAAAGGAAACTGCAAATTCCGCGAGCTCGCTGCCACGTGTCTCCACTCTTGATGAATTGTCATAGTTGGGAGACTGCCTTCTCTCGCCAGAAGGGCAACAGATATCACCAACTCCTGCTATCCAGTCATATCCACAATGTTCATTGACAGCTTTGACTCCTTTCAACGCGGCAGATATCGGTACCGGCACCGGTAGTTTCGAGACCGAGGGCTCGCGTGAAGACAAGCCTTCATCCCTTGGGCGGCTCATTTCCGCGGGCCGCTTGAACTCCAATGATCGCGGGAACGCGCTGCGGGACTGCACAAGAGATGGCATCTTGTTATCGACATTGGAAGATAGTAAACAGAGGTATGTATACTACACATGAATGAGTTCGGTACCTTCAAGGTACCTTCCATGTTGCGTGCCGCACAGAGCACATGCCTATTACCATGTCTGACGTAGGCTTGGCATTGCTCCCAGGAATCAGATCTATATACCAGCAAACACAAAAGACTGGCCGATTGCCATCTGAAGATTGAATGTCGTTGTGTTCGTATAGCTCTTTATGCTAGTAGAGTCAAGAATATATGCAATGTGGAAACAAGACCGAACTCGATCCAACCATGAGTGGCCATGGCACATGACTTATACTACACACCAACCCAATAAACCTATAGAACAACTGAAAGTTGGTTTAAGGGCAAAAATAGATTCTCGAAGAAAGTGAAATGCAGCTGCAAGAGAGGCGACCATGGCTGGTATATTAATAGGTGTTGCTGAAGCGAGAATAGCAACCCCGCGATCAAGTCCTCTCAGCCACTACTTGCACCTTCATTCAGCCCTAGATAGGCTCTATACGTGGCATCGAGCCATTATCTAATAGTACACTATACCGTGGAATAGTGATGTAGCCTCTGTGACCACTAAGAATACGCTCAAGGCGTACATGTCTGGGCATTCTCGCCTCCGTGAGCTCCTAGCGGACCCGAAACTCGAGGGTGATGACAGACAATGAATAGTGCCGATATTCATTTTGACAAGGTAAACGTAGTGCTGTAGCTGGATCTACGCACGAATGTTGTAATAGCAGGTAGCACTATTTCAGCTAAGCTCAAGGGTCGAGATACGGGTAAGTCACTACAGTCGAATAAATCTACAGTAGGTCTTCATGATCCTGTTCCTCCTCCTCCTCTTCATCCCAATCAAGCTTCATAAGAAGACGATCGATACCCCCCACTCTAAGAGGTTCAAAATCTCCTTCTTCAACGGCCACATTAGTCAGCAGTCCAGGTGCCGAAGTTCCAATGCGTTCGCTGTCAATTTCTCGTAGTCGCTCAACAAGTGCTTTGAGATCACTGTCCAATCTTTTCCTGGCACGATCCAGTTCTAATTTGACTCTCTTCTCCTCGTTCTTGTAGTTTTGAGCATAGTCTTCTACTCCGTCATCCTCCTCGAGATCAAGATTTTCTTGTATACTGGTTAGGCGGCTGACATAAGCTACGAGCTCGTCTACATGCGTGCACATCAACCGTAATGCCTTTGTGAAGGTAGTATCGGTGAGGAGTAGGTAGTAAGCCATCGCAGACAGGAAGCGGCGATGTGCAGTGGCAACAGCCTCCGGGTCATGTTGTTGGCGTTCACTCTTCGTCGTACCTGTGGCTGATGTCGAGTTAATGCTGAGGGGTGCAAGTTGGCCTTCTATCGAAGTGACATCTTGTGGTCCAATGACCCAAGATAAGAAGTGTTGGAAAGATTGTTGTACGACCGCTCCTTGAAAGTATGCTTCACTCTCGGCTAGGAAGAATATGGCTGCTGCGCACGTTGCCCAGACTCGACGCATTTCTCTCGTTCGCAACGCCGCCCTCTCACGTCTTCGCCGCAAGATTTTCTTTCCACGCGCCGAGTTGCTATATTGGTACCCCGGAGGACAAGGGTGATCCCGACGGATGGAACTGTGGCGCCACAGCGATGCCAGATGCAGATGAGCACGACGAACGGCAAGTAGTGATGAGTTTATTGCCGAGTACAGATCTATGTCCGCTTTTGTGATGAAGAGATCCAGAGGTGAGCGTATGTCCATTGTGAGAGTAGTCGGTACAGAGAACAATAATTCGTTGAATGATAGGGCCGCAAGTTGTGGTAACGAAGAATCAGTATCTTTCGCACGGCCTGGCGTACCAGGGCGAATGCTAGACGAGCTGTAGGCGGTGAGATGTAGACATTGCATAGCAATGTCCAGAACATCGTCGGTGTGATCGTCTTCGCCCGAGAGAGTAGAAAGATGTGATAACGAGCGCGCTAGCACCTGGTTGATCTCGGCTTCCTTGAGCAGTACCCCTTTGACGGACTGTGTGGGCTTCGTCGCTGAAGGCCCACGATGTCGGGAAGCTATCTTATCGTCTGCCTCAGCAATCAAGATCATAGCGAATTCGCCTCTGCCAATTAGGAAGAACTGGTGTAAGACTGACAGAGTCTCGACAATCTTCTCACGCGGTAGTAGATGCTGTAAAAGGTTCCTTGACAGTGAGAGTCGGATGTTAGCAACGACTTCCGACAGTGTCGCCGAGCTAATCGGTGTAGTCACTTGCGAGAGCTGTTGTATATGTTCTGATAAGAGATCAAGCTCAGACGTCTTCTTGGAAACATCTATCTGCTTGACGGCGGCGGGTAACATTCGTATCTGGTCGAGCGATTTGCCGATGAACAATATAGATGACGCAGTCTGTCTCGTAACGAACTTGGGTAGCAGCTTGTTTTGCACCACGAACGTATGCTCCTCGAGATCGTCGTCTCCTTGTTGGACAAAAAAATCAGAACTGCCAAAGGATGGTAGACGACCGTAGAGCAGCCATGTGGACAATTGCCGAAGCCATGAAGCTTCTGCGATCTTTCCCAGATATTGCGCAGCTTCTTCAATATCCGGATACCCAGTCTGAGCCTCGCTCCGTAGCTTGTCGATGATAGCAGCACCAGATGCGACATTGCCGCCCCTATTTTCGGTTTTCGATGGTGCATCGGACGGCAACATGAAGTTGCTAATGTCCCATAGCCAATTCATCGTCCTCGTCCATTCAGAGAACTCGCTGACGATACCAGCAAGCGGTACAATATTATACGCGCCTACAGTGGATGCATCTTGTTTGAGTATTCGACTTTCCACCTCCAGAACTTTGCGCTGAAAATTACCAAGTTGATGGGACTCTATCGAAGTTGCTACAGCGCGACAGACAATGGAAGGATGAGTGGACGCGATTCGGGTGACATGATCGCGCGTCTTGCGGTGCAAACGAGACAAGTGGCCGATAGAGGACAAGAGCACTGCCTCTGGAGGCGAGAGCAGCTGTGTAGCGGTCGAAGTCACGTGTCTGGATCCTACATTGGCATCGAAGAGCGCGGATGGGTGTCCGGAGAGAGAGAGGAGGATTTCGTGGAGCATGATTTAGAGGACAGGGAGGGAGCGGCTGCGCGCCGTGAATTCCTTCTTCGCGCCGACAACCTCTGAATAGAAACAATCAACAGGCTCAGAAGCTCAAAGCGACAACACATGGAGTGGTTGTAACGCGCCATATGCACCAAGGAGGAGCACGCATCGGTTGTTGACCAAGGTACTTACGGCGGGCGGAAGATCGACACTGGGCAAGTCGCGCGAGTCGCGCTAAAGTGTTCTAGCGCGTCTGTGAGGCGCATGGGGGTCCGACTTCTGTCTCCCTTTACATTGACGTCGTCTCACTCTCCAAGTGTACATGCACATTCAAGACCCCCAGTCACGACAACATGTCACAGTCTCGCAATAACTTTTGGTCTCCACTTGGTTCTGCGGTGGCAGTCATGGTTCGATGCTCGTGTGCTCTTGACCAACCAAGAAGAGGGAATTGTCACTTTGGAATTTGGATTTAGGGGGCATGTGCCCTAGCATGCTTTGTCCAATGATGCACACTGTGTCCAAGAAGGGGTCAAGAAAGATTATCGTGAAAGTGCAGCCTCACGGATGAAACGTAGTAAGTCGTTCCACCACTAGGCACAGGTGTTTGATGTGTAACTGCAAGAACACTACTATCCGCAACCCCGATTTCAACACCAAGACTTGAACCGTCAACTCCTTTCCGGCAGATTCAACCTGTCCTTTCTATTGTCCTCACTTCCCGCAGACTTGGTTGCTGTCATGGACCCATTTGGCCTTTTCGCTGACTTCATCGAAGAACTGAGTCAAACGAATGCCGTCGAACAATCTCGACCTACCGTTCCAGTTGGCGAACAAGATCCACTCGCCAGCGGATTGGCCTTGTCGACACGCACTTCAGAGAAAGGTGATTGTGCCATACAATTGATCAACCCCGTCAACGAAAACATTCAAGCTTCTCATACTCAGCATTCTTCCACTGTGGCACCATCACCAAACACCCACACACCAATGTACATGAATCCCTCCTCGACTACTCGAACATGGCTGGACATGGACCCGATAAGCCATGGAACATCTGACATCACATTCGATTCTGGATTCACCACTCTATCACAGTATCAGAATAGTACCATCCAACAGGACCCAATGACATTTACTTATCATCCAGCCTTGGACAATTTACACCAGCATTACCATAGCGGCCAAACGCCTCCATGGACTGCGTACCAGTCATTTGCATACATGCCCCCTGATCTGCACTATCTGCAAGATCACGGCCAACCACTCACCCAGTCACACCAGCCAAACCAGTTCTCAGGACACTTACCCGACGCTTCAGAACTAGTGTACGATTATCAGTGCCAGGACCCTTTATGTAATTGCCAATACTTCCATCCGCCAATTCCCTACGCGACGAACAACGAGACAGCCATGAGATTCAAAGACGAATGGACTACGCACGGACCCTTGTATCAATCCAGACCAACAGAAAGGCATTGACACCGCCCCCGCACAAAAACAAAAACCCACTCAACCCTCCCCCAGAATTCCTATCACCGTCACTCTCCAGCTCCCGCACCACCAACCCCCACACTCCCTGACTTCGTCTCCCCAACCTCTACCCCCCGCGCCTTCGCCACCAACCCATCCAACCAGTCCCCATGCCCAAGCACCATGACATTCGGCCTCTTGGCCCCAAACACCGCAAACCCTTCCCCTCTCTGACTCTCCTGCGTAAGCACCCTCACCCGCTGACCCTCCAAATCCTCCACCAACCACGCATGTTACACTTCCTCCCCCCCTCCCTCGGCCCTTGCACTCCACGCCAGACGCCCCGCCGCGCCGTTGGCAACCGGTGGCTCCGCCTCCTCGACTCTGCAGGCGAGAGGCGCGAACTCAAAGGTGGAGAAGGAAAAGGTGTTGTGCAGGTGCAGGAAGGGACTGGAAGTTGGGGGGACAATGGCGGAGCAGTTTTGGTAGTAGGTCGGCCATTGGGTGATGTTGGCGAGGAGGGCCCAGATTTGGGACGAGGTGATGTCTTTGACGATGCGTTCGTTTGAGACGAAGTTGTCGGTTGTGCCGGGGAGGAAGTGCGTGGGCTAGAGGATGGCGGAATGTGTGGCCATTTCTTTTACGTTGTCGTTCTTACTTTTTTTTTTCTTACTTGTCAAGATGTGGGAGTTGCTAAAATTGTGATGAACTTGGTTGACTTGGGTTGATGAGATTGACGTGTCAAATTTGAGAAGTCTTCAGTCGCAGTCTTCGCTCTCTATCATGTTAGCACACGTGTGACGCTTACATATTGTAGAGCTACCTTCATTTAGCACATTCTTCATGACGTCACAATCACAGCTGTTGAGCACCAGCACGCAGATATTGAAGTTTTGGATTGATTATTGGCAATGCAGGATGATCAATGTCCATCTTGAATACTGGGCATGCAAGTATACCACATTCCCATCGTTTCAGGACCATCATCTTGCTTTCCATTTGCCACTGCCGAGGAAAGACACCAAGTACAGACATTGTTCGCTAGCTAGATATTGCACCCAAAGCAACACAGGCGCCGGAGGTCGCAAGAAAGAGACCCGCAAGCTAAAAGGAGAAAAGAGGAGTACACTGTCTCCCATGCAAGGCAATCCATGTGACCCACTCATAGCGTTGTGGTTCAAAGGTTGCAAGATAAACGGCTGTGAGAAAGAAGAGAAGAGAAATGACATGTTGTGATGTCCATGAAGACATGTTTGCCAGCCAATCAGTCTCGAAAGTGCTGGTCAAGCATTATCTTGCGTGTATGACAAGCAAAGTGGCCATCTTAAAGTAAGTTGCATATGTGACATCCTGCAAGCGAATGCGATAGCGAAGAACTCCGTCGTATAGCACGAGTTCGGGCAATCTGAAAGATGACCGGAATGCTGAGATAGACATGAGATGGACTCAACGCATTCAATGAGCAGCAGCAGCACGCCTAGCCCAAGTGGTTTGCTGGGGTGCCGGGTTCGAACGACCGTTGTTAGACCAAGTGTTGGTGGGAGCGGAACGAGAGGAACTGCCGGGGCGATCTGCCTGACCTGAAGGTTTACGGGGACGCTCCTTGGAACCGTTGGCTGCCGATCCGTTCGGTCCGCCTGTCTGCTTTGGCTTGAACTGGCCACCAGTCTTCGGACCACGGCGTCTACGCGGCATGGATTTCGTAATAGGTTGATGCATGCCGGGCAGATGGACAGGAACGTCAACCTTCTGAGCGCTCTTGTCCAGATCAAAAGCCTCAAGACGGCGAATGGTGAATGGGTTCTCCTGTTTTTTGAACCGAGGAGGCAAATCGTCCTTTGGGGCACTAACAGCTGGTTCCGCGGCTGCGAGATGAGCAGTCTTGGGAAGCTTCACGGTCGGTAATGAGCCAAATTCGCGATCTTCAAAGAGCGCTTCGGTACCCTTGCGGGTCTCCGGATCACTACCCTGATCTGTAGCAAACAAGCTGTTTTGTGGTACGTGAGGCAAGGACACAGTCGCCGGACCAGGAGCACCACGAACTTCCAAGGATGCTTTACTATGAGCAGTAGGGGCGAGCGCACCTGGGGTCGAGGATACCGCAGATGGGGCACGAGCTGTGGGCCCTACCGTCGCCGGAGCGCCCGGCTTCTCGAGGAGCTTGTTAAACCGAGCTTGCCATTCCGGGTTCATGGCCAATGGCCTAGAGCCTATGGACTGTTGTCCTCGCAAAGGCATGGTAACTGAGCCCTCGGATGTAACAGACCCAGTTGCGCATGGGGGTAGACGAACGACTGGCGAAGGCTTCGGCAGCTTTACTTGTGGACGACCAAAATCTCCAGAGAAGACAGGATGGGCCGAGGTCTCGGGAGGCGGTGGTGGCGAATCTGCTTTCATCGACGCTGTTGTTGCCGCTGGAGTCATGGGCTCAATCGGGCGAGGAAAGAAGCGAGAGGCGCGAGGTCCAGCAGGCTGTTGGAGTGATGTGCCTTGGCCTAGAGTCTGAGACGGAGATCCCTCGAGGAGAGGCTTTGGTGTAGCATCGTCCTTCTTGGTAATCGCGTCTGGAAGAACAACATTGGGAGCAACCTTGCTGTGAAGCGTAGTCTGCGCCTGACCACGTTGGTCCTTGTACGTCTCCCGGATCTCAGGACGGAATTCACCAAGACGCTCACGGTCCTGTTGAGCCTTCATTGCAACCTTGCGATCATCATTCGCAATGTCTGCTTCGAAGTTACCCCAACCCTTGGCCAGAGGCGGCGCAATGGGTCCGGGCTTCGATGGCATTGCCTGTGCAGGTCGGGATTTCGGTTGAGTGTACATCGCCTGTGAAGGCATCTGCTTTGAGCCATGCGAAGCCGACGCCTGTGAGGAAGCCAAGCTGGCTCCGATCGGAGCGATAGGTGTGGACGATTGCGCGGGAAGCTGCTGTTGGCCAGGTCGAGCCTGACCTCGATTGTAGCCAGGGTCGACGAAGGTACCGTTGCCGAGAGCTCGCTCCCTCGTGGGGGGTGGGCCCCAGACCTGCGATGTCCAGCCTCGAGATTGCGGCGTAGTGGCGGGAGTCCAAGTAGTTTGTGATGCCTGCGGCTTGGGTCCTGCTGGGACAGCGCGATCCAGGTTTCTGGACTGATCACCAGCCGGTTGTCTAGGCTTGTCCTTGTCCGGTTCGCGAGGGAACGAGTCAACAGACTGCGGGGCAGGCTGATTCAATGCATGCGACGATGCCTGCGCTTGAACCTCTGTTTGGGTCTTCACGGGCAAAGAGCCTTGCGCCTGCTCAGCTGGCTTCACAGTCTTTGCAGGTTCGGTCTGGGGTGACGCCTTCTTGACCGTGTGAGGCTGGTGGACCTTCATCATGCCGTACTGCGCAACCTCACCATCCGCAGTGGGAACAGGCGGCTTGGGCGGCGACTGGACCGCGGCGGGCACAGCCTTTTCTTTCTGAGGCGACTGCTCTGCAGGCCGTGAAGGTGACTGCTCTTTGGTCTTGGACTTTGAGTCGGCAGGAGGACCCAGGGCGGCGAGTTTCTTGGCAATGCGCTCCTTCCTCTCAGCCTCAGCCTTCTTCTCAGCTTCTTGCTCCTGCTGCTTCTTCAGGCGCGCACGCTCAATCTTGTCTGCCATTAAGCGCTTTTGTACTTCTACAGGATCTTCAGGAGGAGGTGCTTGTAGTGCGGTGAGAGTGGAATGGTCACGGTGGGTGGAGGAGGTGACGGAGCTATAAGGTGAGGCTGGGTGGGCGTTTGCAGTGTTTGGTGAGACCGCCTGTGCAAACGGCGGCTGTCTAGCTGCTCCTGCCTCTGCAAAGTCGGAGCCGTTCATCTGTGAACCCCGTCGTTCGGCACCCATGGGCCCGTTGGGCATGTCTGGGCCACGGCGATCGATTGACATGCGGCGCATGTTTCCTGCACTGACATTTGACGAGTTTCTCCTGCGTCCCCAGGTGGGCGCGTCTCCATTCGCTCTCGAGGTTTGGAAAGCTGCAGAAGGCTCTGCGGGACCACCCTGCGATGGCCTCTGCAACACAGAAGGCTGCTGTCGGAAACCAGCATCACGGGCGGACGGTCGACGCATATCGTTGACGGGCTCATAACGACCATTGTGTGAATTGTACAGTTCCGGTGCGTTGCCGCGCTCATCACGCCAGGTGCGGTTGAAGTCGTCTGGAGCTATTTCTTGCGCAGGCTGCTGCCTCGAGTCTTGACTGTAAGACTCGCGTTGTGGGTAGCGAGGCGCCTGCTGGGGTGCGGGAGGATTGATTGGGATAGGTGAGACCTTCTCGACTGGAGGCAGTGTTGCCCACGGCGACTTCTTCTCTGTAGCGGATGGCTTCGCCACTAGAGTAGGCTTTTCCGGCTGTCCCTTCAGCACAAGGCTGGTCTTGCCTGTGGTCGGCTGCGCATGTGCTCCTGGTTTCAAAATGGTCTTGCTACCACCCGTGACACTGGCTTTTGGAGTGTTCGTCGGTGCAGCTGGTGCAGCTGGTGCAGGCTCGGGCGCAGCGACTGGCGGCTCGGGCTTGAGGATCGTCTTGGGTTCCTCTGCTGCTGGAGGCTGGCTCTCAGCCGCAGTGACTGATGATTTCGTCCCATCCATCCATTGGACTGTGTCTGGAGCCCAATCATCCTCATCGTCATCAATATCAGCCCACTTTGCCTCTTTCCCTCCCTCATCCGTCTGCAGACGTGTCGCCAGGTGGATACCATACTGCTGCTTCAGTTCTTCGTCGGTATACTGCTTTGGTGGCGGTGGGGGAACTGGCTGGTTCTTATTCCAGACCTTGCTTGCGTCTGGGCCAGAGGCTGCACCGTTCACTTTGCCCGGCGTTCGTGGGGTGTTGCTGGTACCCAGTTTGGCAACAAGGCGGGGTTTGGGCGTAAGCACAGATGAAGTGCTAGTCTGCGCCGCCGGGGCTACTTTGTCACCAGGTCGTGCGGTTGGCGCCGAGACGACCGATTTGGCGAGGAAGTTCTTCGTGACAGATACCGACTTGAAGGTCGAGGGCTTCTTCACCGTAGAGCTGCTTCGAACATGACCTGGTTCCCGTTTTGACTGGTCGACGCTACCGGGCCGGCTGATATCCGTGTCGGAGCCACCGCTCGCATCGGCAACGGCCAGCGACTCGGATGCTAAATGATCACTCGAGTCGCCATTGACGAGAGGCACGGCCTTGACGGGGGGTGCGGCATCGTGGCTGTCTTGTTCCTGATTCTGATTTTTCTCGAGGCAGTCAGTTTCCATTGGTCCCAAGGGCTCGTCGTCACCTCCACTTACTGCCAAGGTATCTTGACCCTGCTTGCCGGTCATGCGTGCACCATCAGCGGATGAGGCTTCTGGCTTGTTCGCATTCGCTGCAGCTGAGGACTGTTGTGGAGAGTCGTGCTTCGAAGTGGTGGGGGCCGAAGGCAGCTCGCCATTGACGGCGGGGGTGCTGGTAGTTGACGCAGAGTCGTCGATGGGCGCCGAACGGCCCACCGACTGTGCTTCCTTTACCACATCGTTGGCAACCTGCTCTGCCATAACAGTTTCGGGAACTGTGGTGGCGCAAGACTCCAAGTCAGACTCGTGCTCTGAATCAATGAAAGTGTCTAGCGTGCGCGGCGACGACTCGTGAGAGGCGAACCCGTCGTCAGAGTGCTGGTGGGCATGGAGTTGGTGGTGGTCCAGCTCGGCCTCCGCCATTCTTGCGACGCTGGGGCTGGGAAAGTAGAGAGATATTCACCTGGTGTCAGATACTACTAACCGCCACGGGTGGCCAGTGGTGGGCGCTTCCGCAGAGTCGCCGTCTGCGAGTTCCTGTTGCGACGCGGCGAGAGCGGAGGTGGTCGGCTTGGTGAGGCAGGCGCAGAGGAGCGGGGGGGTGGTGGAGGATGAAGATGGGCGCGCGTGCAGAGATGCGGTGTGGTCGCGCTGCAGCTGATATCACCGAACGGCGTGGAGCTTCGTCCGGAAAGGTCGTCGAGGGTCGTTTGGGGCGGAGGGGAGGGTTGCGCTTGGGATGGGTTTATAGGAGGTGGTGTATACGTGCAGGTGTCCTAGTGAGGCGCTGAGTCTTGGCGTGACCGCGACCGTCCTTGTATGAGTCTGAGGGTTGTGGGCACGTCACACGACGCGGGCCAGCTCACCAGTCAAGCACGCACGGTGAAACTGGGAGTGAAGATGGCAATACGATACTAATCACATGATAGGAAGAGCTGCTTGCGGGCCTTTCGATGGGTGAATGGTACTGCTGCGTAAAGAGGTCCCGTTGCAGTCACACAATATCAGAACACAGAAGGTGAAGGAGCATCTTTCGATACGAGTTGATGATGAACGAATGGAACATGCTTGAGACATCTTGATTGAGAAACTACATTCTATACATTTACACGTTCCACACCTAGTCACTCGTGGTCAAGCATCCGCGGAGAGCACCCGGCTAGTGTGCGTTGTTCTTGTGGTGGCCTGGGAGAGAATGAGTCAAAGTGTCTCGAGCTGTGATGACGAAACTTACGCAGATGGAAGTAGTAGTTCTGTGCGTAGCCAAGCGCGATGAAGAAGCCAATGACGTGCACGAGGGCTGTCGTGAGTTAGTCGAAAAGATTCCACACGTCCCAGTCCTCCAGACAGAACAAGTCGAAATGAAGACACGCTTGAGGACCACGTACGCTTTGCCGATGGGTTCTTGCCCATGTACTTCTTCTGGTAACGTCCGAGAAGACCCTTGGCCGCAGGCTCGGGAGCTGCGCCGCGGGGGAGTTTCTCGTAGAAGCTCACCACCTTTTGCATGCGGACCGCATTGGGAGAAGATCCAATCGCCTGGTCTTGTGTCAGCCGCATTCCAACTTATACAAACCATGGTGGCGCATGTGATCAAGTGTTGAAGGCCATGGGCGATTTTGAAGTGGGCCAAGAATCGAGCTTTTTGACATGCGATGCGATGCGATGCGGGACAGAGCGGGCAGTTCGGTCTGCATACTGGAGAATTCTTACATTGGGAGAAGCGATCTGATAGCAGTTGTTAGTCCAATGCGCTGTGCAGACGGCGGGCATAGAAGTATATACCTTGGGGGGGATGAGGGTCGAGAGACCGCGCTTTTGCATGAAGCTCATCTTGACGGCTGGCGCTCAATTAGCATCAATTGCCGTCGGCAGCGGGACATGTGCGACTCGGCGGGCGTACCTAGACGGGCAAGACAATGGGGGGTGGAGATGAAGGTGGGTTACGGTCAGTGGTGGTGGAGGGAGAAAGGTGCGAAACGGCTTCTCCCGGCGTTGCGCCAAGCCACGCAGCTACACCTCGTCGACATCGCGGAGAGACGGGCGCCCGCAATCCACCTCGACAACGCGACAATGTCTGCCCTGCCCCGAACCATTGGCCCGAGACTGCTCGCCCCCGCCCTGCGGCCCTCGACGGCGAGGGTCATGGCCCCAGCCTACCGCTCGTATGCGACCAAAGAGCCTGGGACCAAGACGAACCCCAGCGATGCGCCCGAAGCGCCAGTCAACAGCGCCTCGACGCAAATCCGCGAAGAGAGTGCCGCAGCGGGCATGAGCCACAAGCCAGACTACGACGCTGTCATCGATTACCGAACCTCGTGCGTTGTTGTCCCAGAGGTTGCGTCATAGAATCCATCTAACACCACCAGCAACTTCTCCCCCATCCCCAAGCGGGTCATGGACGGGAGTGAGCCTGGCGGCAGTGTTCCTGCAGCCGTTCTTTCTGGCGCCCCCACCGATCTCCAGGCCCGTCAAGTGCGGTAAGTTGGAGTCCACTGGCATGTCCCAGCTGGCTCACCAAATATACTGACAAAGCAAAGCATCTACAAACCCACAAAGACGGCCACACAGTCTGGCAACTGGAACTCTTCACACTGGCTAATGGACTGGGATGTCCTGCCGAAGGGTCACCGATGGGAGAACCAGCTGATGGGCTGGCAATCCTCGGCTGACTTTATGAACGGTCACCGCATACAGTTCAAGACCAAGGAGGATGCCATCAACTTTGCCAACAAGCAGGGCTACGAATACTTTGTTCAGGAGCCAAATGAGCGCAAGTTCCGCCCCAAGGCATATGCTAACCTGTTCACCTACAAGCCCAAGAAGCTGAAGATCATTTACACAAAGTAAGAAAGGGGCTAGGCCAAATGGAATCATTGTCTTGTATATACTGCTTCAACTGCATTTTCTGCTTGCTGTCAAAGTTTCTCTTTTGTCAATGTGATGTCCTCATCCTAGTGCACGAGACCGCACCTCCCCACTGACCTTCGTCACATGCAAAGTTCTTAAGCTTGCAGTGACATGACGTTTGCCATTTGGCTATCTGAGATGATACTTCAGGGACAGACGCCACACCTCCGATCACAGTAGACTTTGCAACCAATCATGCCGGCGCGCAGATGCGAGACGTGGAAGCCAATGGCTCCTTTCATATCCTGAAAGTATACACATGATACGCTCCTTCCTCGTCTACGAGTATATAGACCTCCAACACAAAATATACACATTATACGCTCCTTCCTCCAACGCAAGTACACACACTTCCCTCCTTCCTCCACAAATACCCAGAATAAACGCTCCTTCCTCCAACGCAAGTACACAAACACCCGCTCCTTCCCTCCCCATCTCGTCTGTCCTGGCAACATCGCATAGAATCCCACATTCACCGCCGCACCATGCAGCTCAGTCCAGCCCTATACCTGCTTGTCCCGCTGCCAGCCTCTCCCCTTGCCTATCGTCATTTACTTCCCGCCCACTCTCACATCCACATGCACTATTTCACTCATCCGGCAAACCTCATACACACTTCACTTCCTGTCGGCAGCAACAAAGCCCCTCCACACCCGCAACATATCCAACGCCGCCGCACCTCCCTCGCACAACTGCAAAAAATTGGTACATTTATCCACTACGCCACAGCAAGCCCTTGCCGTGCGCAAGAATGGGTCGCGGAGGCTACGACACCACAGACGCAGCCGCGTACAAATCGTCTGCGGCGGCAGATGTAATACGCGAGCACAACGCACAACGCGCCAGAGCAGAGGTATGTACGCACAGGTTGAATAGTACTTGGGACAGTGTGCTAAGAGTCTGTGTCAAGGCGGAGGCAGCGGAGGAGATGAGGAGGGATGAGTTGGCGAAGCTGATTCGTTCGAAGAAGAGTAGGGGGATAAGGGTGAGTGAGATTGTAGGGTTTGTTTGGTGGTTGGTAAAAGTGTATTATGTATGTGGGGGTTTTTGATATTAACTGCTATGTACAGGATGCCCAGAAGGTGGCCAAGGCCAAGACCAAGGAGGGCGGGGAGAAGGATGGGTCTGGAGGGACTGGGGAGGGCAGTGCGGCTTAGACAAGCCTTGAGCAGTGTGGTTCGTCCGCCGTGTGGTATCGTCGTGTTGTTCGCCTCTGGATAATAAGGCGATGAATGTAATGATTGTAACAACATAAGCGTGCAAGAGGGTCCATCGTAAGAAGTCGTGACAAGGCAGAGTACTCTTTTCTAGTTGTGCAAAACGTCCTGGTCCATGAAACAAGGCTGAAAGACATTCGTCAAGTCGTCGTCATCCAAGCCAGCGCCCAACTTCATCCCATCAAGTTGACGGCTTCCGCCCGTCTAGCCGCACCCGTCACCCTCCTGCGCTTGACGACGAAGCGCGATCGACTCACGGCACGAATAGCATTTCTGGTCGACTGGAAGAACTTGGCGGCCATCTTCGCATTCCCAGACTCATTCGGGTGCTCGCCATCCGTAGTGTCGGTGAGGACGTTGAAGCCCTCATAGTTGTCGACGAGATAGACGGGCGAGGCCGAGGTAGCCATTTTATGCGTGTACGTGGCAATGGCGGCATTGAGGTCCTTGATGCCCTGAACGGCGGCGGCAGGGAAGCGAGCAGGGTCCAGGGGCAGGAGGTTGGAGAAGACGATTTGCATGTTTGGATTGTTGGCACGCATCTGCGCGATGAGAATGTCGTAGGCGGCGAGGATGTCGGCCACGGGCTTTCTGGCGATGAGGACATCGTTGGTGCCGAGGAGCATGAGGATGACGTCAGGTTTGGCGGCGGCGAGCCATGTGGGAAGGTTTCCATTCTTTGCAAAGTCCGTAGCGAGGGCGCCAGGGAGGCCTTGGTGGTTTTGGTCAATGTTTACGCCCGCGCAGTTGCTGGTTTGGGAGCCGACAAAGTCGAAGTTGTTGACGCTGATGGCGCGGAGCGAGGTTTGGAGATTGGCGCGCCAGCAATGCTGGAAGGGGGGGGAAAGAGTTAGTCATGGTGGTTGAGTGGGTGGGTTAGAAAGGGCGAGGACGTACTGAGGCAATTGAAGCCCCGAATGGCATAACGTTGACGACTCTTGGTGCCGCGGAGGCGAGGCTGAGAAGCCCGAAGAGGGCGAGGGAACTGAACTTGACCATGTCGTGTCTCGAGTCACTGAAGTCGTTTATTGAAAAATCGGCTTCAAGTGAGGATTCAGATGGCAGCGGCGAGGCTGGGTGACTGATGAGTGACCGACTAGCTTGAGCAGTAAATCGGTACACGAAGTGGTTGGAAGCTATGTATACGGTATGGCGAGCAGTAGCGCAAGGGAATGGAGGGAGTGATGGCACCCGGCAGTGTACCAAATGCTTGTTGGACCAAGCTTTACAGACGTCTGGAAATGTGACTGTAATTCAGACCTGCAAGAATGATGCGGAAACTGCTGTCAAGTATGGTACCGATCAATCACCGAGGCGACTATCAAATGCTCATATACTTCTCTTGCCCATGAAGACCCATTCGCGCTAAGCAATCCAGACAAGGCACATGGATTGGGCATTTCCCTATCAGTCCAAATCCTCTGTCCACCGCAGGGTACCATGGTCCAGTGCGAGCGGCTCGTATGTCGGCGATAAAGAGCCGACGGCAAGTAGGTCATCGTGGAAAAAAGGCTTGTCTTTATAGCGTCGATATGAGTGTCCACTGGCCAGGACGCACTTTGATCCAGAGCCATCTCAGCGCCAGCGCCTTTCACCATTTGAATATCGTCGAGATGAACTAGTAGCCGGGCCGATTAGCTGAGTGACTGAACCAATCACAAGCGATGTCCAGGTGGGGGAACGGGAGCAGCCGTCATTCCCAGGCTCTGGATTAGTCAGGAGAGAAGGGTCTAAAAAACGACTACAGTATAGTCTACTTACAGTGGCCAATTTATAGGACGGTAGTTTCGTTGGTGGGACAATCTTTGGCACGTGTCGACGACTGGAACGTGCTACTGTTATGAACGGCATTCCCGCGTTACACTCCGTTCGACCATTGTGTCTGTGGTTGCACGCAGAGTATCACTGCTCTATGCTCTATAGACGCACTGTACTCTGGCTATACAGTAACACTCCTTGACACAATAAGCCCGAGCAGCTCATGAGCAAGTGCTGACACAAATATCGATCGACAATGGGCCGAAAAGGGTAGTGTACCTTACGGAACAATGGATTGGACAAGTTCCGGATGATTTGGGCTCCGGGGATCATGCACCGGTACCGTAAATTCTCCTTTTGCTGTACACACCTGCCTCCATACCGGTAGCCCGCTCTCGGAAGAGCTACAAAACTCTATCCCCAGCTCGTCGGCGTCGGCGGCGGGTGTGAGTTGGCCATTGTCAAGTGGCATCGCGCCCAGTCTTGCTCAGCCGTTCATGGCAGATCTTGAGTCTCGAACCTCATGGGAGGGCGAACCAGGCATAGCGTAGCCCAGCTGGGTAGGGTGAGGGGAGCAACAAAGGAAAGGCGTGGGCTGAATTTAGCTCAAGGTTCGCTGCGCAAAGCTTGGCTGGCCATATCCGGACCTCTCCCGGCACATCTCCGCGTCCACCCAATAGCCTTCAGACCGCGTTTGCGCCGCACCTGCTCGAAATGATGTTTGTCGTGTGTGTGTGTGTGTGTGTGTGTGTGTATGATAAATGAATCCACAGTAAGCCATAATTTCCCGTTTGCTATATTCAGACCCCCCTATTCCCATACACCAGCCTGGAAACACGTCGATACTTCCGCAGGCTTCCGCATCCAGCAATCACAACGACAACAACACGAGCAATGGCAAATCTATACATCACGCCCACGGCTCCCTTCTCTCCTACCCCACACTGTAAAATATCCCGACATGCATGTACTTGGCGTAGGGGTAGGTACCCATGTTGCCTACAGGTTCCAAGCCTCCAAGGCGTCAATCACCCCTCCCCAAGCGATCCACGTCACCCCATCGCACATGATCCTCAGCCCAGCCAGCCCTACACCTCCACACCTCCACCGTTCCAGAAGATCGCGCCAGAACGGTGGACGCCGAAGACAGTATTGTACTAGGTGTGTGTATGTGTGTGTGTGCATGTGTGGATCAACTGTTTTCCCCCCCCGCGCCGCCTACCTAACATGCGCGACCCACCACCACTCCTAGCAGCCCGAGAATCTAATCACCTTGCACCAGCGTCCGTAAACAAAAAACGAGACCCTGATAAACTTGAATCGCCGAGCCAAGGCCCCTCCCCCCAACCTAAGCTGCAGCAAGCTCCGTTTGTGCATTGCGTGCTGCGCTATTTTTTGTTGTCGTTGCATGCATGTGCATGTTGTTGACACGTGATAAGAGAGAAAAATAGGTGTAGTTACTTATCATAGGTAGATACACTGTCTCTAGCGTCACAGAATAAATGAGAAATAAGCTGACAGTGAGATATCTCTAACGACCAACTAGCAACACTGGAACAATGCAAACTGCATTAATGTAGCTGTGGAATCCCAAGCCCTTGCCGTACATCTATACTTTACTCTTCTACAATTACAGCCTTGCACCGAGTCAAGTCTTGGTAGTAGTGTTGGGCCAAGTTAAAGTTCGTACACTGAGGCCCGCCATGTGGTTTCTTGTTTATTCCGCGACGCCCCGTACTTCCTAGGGAGACGGAGGCGTGTTGGAATGTCTGCATGTGTATTGTGCTGGAAAGTCCAGACGTAAATTCCGTTGTTCAATCATTCTTGTCCTTGTCTTTGTCTGTACATCACTTTTCCAATTTCCCAAACATCCCACCAGCACAGCCGCATTCCCACCACCCAAACCGCCACATCCTCAACTCACGTTCCGCGAAATCGAGCGTCAAGCTTCGCGAGGTGCAAGGGATGGCCTAAACCCAGTAGCGTGGGTGTAGACGTGTGCCAATAAGCGGGAGAGTAGTCTTCCTTCCTTCGACTGGGACTTTTTTTTCGTTGTGCAACTGCGTTCTCGAATCGGTACAAAGCCCGGCTTATCTGGATGCATTGTATCATGGAATGTATTTCAGATTGCAACATGTCGGATTACATGCTTCACTTTTGATTTCTAATACACCATCTAGCAGATCTTTTCAATGCGGCATTTTGTTCAAACACAGCTGATGCTACAGAGGCTATATTCGAAGTTTGCCGTTGCTACTGTTACATAGCAAGCCAACCTTTGTGACGGAGAGATACATCCGCCATTGCCGTTCCTATTGTTGTAGCTTCTTCAGAGGGTAATTTCTTGTGACTTCGAGCCCTTGGTGCTCGAGGCAAATGAGCACCACTTGCAAGGAGACGCATAATGTCCTCATTGGCACCTAGTTCTCGCTGACAAGACGCGACTTCGTCATTAGCACCGTCTGTACTGTCAAGTCCATAAGCATCAAAGTCGATCCCACTCTCATCATACAAGGCTTCCGAGACAAGTCGGTTGTTTTGCGCGTCCACTATATCCTCATCAGATTGTCTATACTGCGAGGCTGGGATGACGGCGATACCGTCGAGTGGGTCAGAAGTCTGTTGATCGGTATTTTCGAGCTGATTCTCTTTGTCATCGTGTTCAAATTCCAGAGGAAGCGTCACAAGTGCCTCTTTTGCGACCTCGTCTTCCGCCTGCTCCGTCCAAATGTCAAAGGACTGGCCCCGTATGAACGGCCAGGAATCTCGATCGTGGTGGAAAGATCGGGCACCGGGAAACGGCTTCCAGACATCGAGTGACCTCTTACGACGTATGCTGTGCAGGGGAGGCGTAGAGACCGATGGCGTAGGTGATGTCAATCTTTCACATGTGTCTGTCAATGGTTAGTATACTGGCCGAGCTTGTGGTTACCATGCCAGCCAAGCAGGGGTGTCCAAAGGGGCAGACGGGATGAGAGACGCATACATACAATCTGTCTGCAGATCATGTGTTGGACTCATATGCGTGATTACATTGATGCTGTCTCCGCCCGTGGTAAGATCCTCCTCCTCCCCGAAGGCAGTCCCCCCCAAGTCACTCGAGTTCATGATTTGCTTGGAGCGGTTCCTCCTAGTATCCTGTTCCATCGGCTCACTAGCGTCTGAAATACTTTCTTTCGGATTCGTTCTTCTTCGCTTGGAAGATGATGCTGCCACTTCCTCCTCATCAAAACTCAATAGCTCAAGTGCCTCATCCTGAGGATGCACGCTCATGTCATATACCTTTTTCTCGCCAGGCACTCTGCGAGAAGACCGCCGAATGGGCAGTGACGATGATCGGGATCTTTCTCGAAGACGCCTCTTGCCTTTCTTGGCGTGCTGGTGCTGAGTCACCCCCTTTTGGGCGCCGTCTTCTTCAACACTATCATCACTTGAACGCTGGGTATCTTTATCGATAGACACCGGGAAACAATCGATCGAGTCATCAGAACTCGGTAACTGCTCTCCCTGAGCTAAACGGCGTTTGGCTGCCTGCGACGGTCTCATACAATCGTCCATGGGATGATACTTGAGATCATAAGCTAGATTTTTTCCCCTAGATCCACGCTTTCGTAACGAGTAGAACAATTTCGGCACTGAAGATGGAGGCAGAGAATCTAACTTTGTGACATAAACGTCAGTGTACCCACTTGACATGAATTTGCATTGACTGCAAGGAGATGGAGCGAGTCAGAGTACCAACACTTACAGTCTCATTGCTTTCAGACACAACCTCTACGTCAATCACAGCTTTACTGAAGCCTTGAATTTCATTCTCCTCGTCTTGCCGGTGTGCTTCCATCTCACGCGCCATACCGTCATCTCCCTACAGTAATCAGCCAACGCTCCAATCTTCAAACCCATACATATCGATTACAGCGCCACCTGCAGCCCCCCGTCCATCATCTCCGAACGGATAAGCGCTCACGGTAGCAGATGAGGCGGATAACGAGGGAGAATTCGCCATTATATCGCGTGAAGACTGATGTGGGAATTTGAAACTGACGAAGCAACGAGCTCAAAGGAATCACTCCATATCTCAACGACGAGGAATTGGTATCAAGGAAGAAGCTTGACGCGTACAATGCGGTTTAATTCTGCAACGCTGCTATCGTGGGGAAGGCACGCGGTACAGGCCGCTCTTGCTTCCAACACGCACTCACATGACTTGCTGGCGGGTGAGGGAAGGAACGGGACTGCTCATGGTGAACAGCATCAGAGAACTGATTCGCGATGTACAAGTGCCGGCAATGCGTGAGCTATCGCAAGAAACATTACCAAAAAGGGTGGGTTGTGATTGTTGTCAGCAAGTACCTTTGGATGCAAGAAATAGTATTAAAAAGGGTGGGTTGTGATTGTTGTTAGCAAGTACCTTTAGATGCAAGAAATATTACTAAAAAGGGTAGGTTATAATTATTATTAGCAAGTACCTTTAGATGCAAGAAACATTACCAAAAAGGGTGGGTTGTGATTGTTGTCAGCAAGTACCTTTGGATGCAAAAAGTAGTCAGGCACGGTATCACACAACACACCAGTCAATACGAGCAAGCGCCCACCGTCATTAACAAAGACAACGAGGTTGTATATTGTCCCAGTACGCTCAGTCTCCAGAACCACAGCAATAAAGTAATATTTTTCAAGTTTCAAAGATTCGCAAGGAGATGATGATGTTCGCTCAAGGCAGCCGTGCAGCAAGACGGATACAAGGACAATGGACTCCCTCAATCGCTACAAAATGCACAAAGTGAGCGACAAGTGTCATGTCAAAATAGTTCAACCAGCCTTATTGCTTGATCGTGACATGGATTCGATACGCCAATGAATGGGGACAGAGGAAACGCTAAAAGGCAAATCAAACAAGATGGGATGGGGCATGGCATGACTATGCTCGGGCATGCATCCGCGATGTCAGCCGAACGGGAGGCATTACAAAGTCGACGTCGTCGTCGTCGTCATCAGCATCATCGACCTCCATGTCGACAATCTTGGGCTCTTGTGCTGTGGGCGTCATGCCTGCTAGCAGCGGTACCTTTGGCTGGGGCTCCGTCACCAGCGTCGGCAACGAGGGCTGTGGGTAATGGTCGTTGGGTGGTGTTTCGAGCGAGGCGATCGATGTGTCGGAGGTTTCGTGTTGTTGGAGTTCTGGGGTGTCGTGAGACTTTTGTGCATTGCACTTGACCACTTCTGTTTCAGCAGTGTGTAGTACATCGCCGAAGTGTTTGCGAACTTGGGCCAATTCTTTTCGACAGTCCCCTTCCCTTAGGGTGAGATGTGCTGCCTTCTCGCAGAGCTCTTGTGCCTGTTCCAGTCTCTTGTCTGTTGTTTCAAAGAGGGCGATGGGAGTGTTTGTGCCATTGGCGACACCCAGCCGGCCACTTGTCCTTGCAGCCGCCCGGGCACGCATCGACGACATGCGTGGCCGATAGCTAGACCTGGATACGAGTTCCTCCTCTTCGCTGTGGCCAACGTTGTCGTCTTCGTCCTCGCTCGAGCCGGTCAGGGCCGCCAATTCGTTCATCTTGGCCTCCATCCGGGCCTTGCGGAGCAGGTTGCGGCCAACACCAATTGCGCGTACAAGCAGCTCGAGCGACTTCTGCATGTCTCCGTCGTAGCTAACGACCACCATTGTGCGTGGCCGATACCGCGAAGGGCCTGAGATGCGAGCGGATAGAACGGAGGCCGTCTTCCTCTTGCGGCTTCCAAGCGGGTCGGGGTGAGCGCCCGTTGTCGGCACAGCTTCCTCTGCAATGGCATCCATCTTCCCCGTTCGCATCGTCTCTACCGAATCCGACGTGCTCTTCGCAAAGGGCGACCGTGAGACTGCGATGTTTGTGACTTCCTCTTGCATGGCTGCGACCTTCTCCTCCACCCGAGCGATGTCTTGCAGCCATTGTGGGATGTTGTCCTGCAGAAATGTGAATGACTTGGCAATGTCCGACATGGTCGATGGATGTCGTTCCTGGGACCGGTGGGTGGAGAGGGAGGCGGTAACGCGATGCGGCGGTTGGCGGGAGCGGGAGCGGGCAGCAGCACCAATGCGCGCGCGCGGGGCAGGTCAAAGGGCAAATCGGCCAGCGAGCAATTGCAAAGCGAAGGGTCCAGAAGGAGAGAGTTGTGGTGTGCTGTCGAAGGTTCAGGCGTGGGGCGTGAGGCGTGAGGCGTGAGGCGTGAGGCGTGAGGCGAAGGTGGTAGACGGAAATGGTGTAAAGGGAGAGCGGATCTGATGGGGGGAGGGGGCACGAACGAGCCTCTTAAGGCGACGTTAGTACGCAAGTATGCTGTATTGTATGTATGTAGGTATGTATGAGCGGAGGCGGGCTGGCAGGCAGGGGCAAGGCAGACACTCTTGGACTCTTACTCTTGGAGTAGACTAGGGACTACTATTAGATGCGGCCGATGGACAGACACTGTGGTCTGCTCCTGATACGAAGGTGCGATTGCCAGTCTGCACTCCGTCTGGCTACCGACATATGCAAGCGGGACTACGGTTGTACAACAGGCCCACGGCATTCGCATTCGCATTGCATGGAAGAGGGGACGGGGGGAAGAGTAGGATCAAAGGAAATCCAGCATCCATCAGCGGTCGGGGGGAGAATGGAAGCACCAAGGGCGTGGTTCGAGAGAGACGGGGGCCTACTCTTGGCGCTGATCGAACAAGGCCGGGGGCGACTTTGATGACAAGACACGACCAAATGCCTCCTCATTCCCATTCTCATCTTACTACCCGGTATACTGGCCCAGGGCCTGCCTGGCACGGGCGTGGTTCTCGCGTGTGTCTCCTCGCTTGTCGCTGTTCTGATGCTCTCCACCCTCCTCCATGATCCATCCATCCATCCATCTGCATCCAGCTCCTCTCTGCACGCCGTGGAGAGAACACCACGCTACCAATGCAAATGCATCAAGGACGATCATCTTAGCTCAGCATAGCAGCTCCCTGCGCCTGACTTGGGGAGCGGGGCAAGGGGGGACCTGGATGCCTCGACTGTTCTTTACGTTGTCTCGATGCAGTATACACCTCGTTGGGAGATTGACACCAAGGCCCATTGATGTATGCATCCTCTCACCTCGTTGGGAGATTGACACCAAGGCCCATTGATGAATGCATCCTCTCACCTCGTTGGGAGATTGACACCAAGGCCCATTGATGAATGCATCCTCTCACCTCGTTGGGAGATTGACACCAAGGCCCATTGATGAATGCATCCTCTCACCGCAGCCCGGTGATCCCACCAATTCCATCGATCCCCTCTCTAACCACGCCGCAATCCTGTCCCGTCATCTTCACCGCGCGCCTGGCCGTCTCTCGTTTGGCGGCTATTCTCCAATCAATAGTAAGCATACACGGCGTTGACTTGCCGTCGTCGTAGTGCGCGCCTCACCCGTTACAGACGGAGGGGGGAACAACACATGATCATGGCAGATTTGTTGAATCTGTATAGTGAGTAGTATACTGTGTTTGACAAATCCAAGAAATCGAGTACAAACCCCCCCCCCTGGAGTATGTCGCAAACTTCATCAAGTAGTCGCTTGAGTGGAATGAGAACCACTCAACGAAGCATCCGGCCGGACACACTGCCTTTTGCACACCCTTCCCATACCACAACCTACTAGCATTCGTCCAACAACAACTCAACTACTCTAGAGTAGCAACTCAAGTACCCACCGGCTTCATCGGCACTTGCAACCTCTACACCTTGACTCCAAAACCACAACCTCTCCCTACCCTCTTCACCTCTAGCAACCAAGCACTCTGCAGCCACACCCGACCGATCCAGCCCCCCTGCTCGTAACCAAGCACTGACACGTCCACCGCTCCACAATGCCTCCAATTACCCGCCTGGGAACACACTCCCCCCCCAAAACCGTGTCAGACAATCCCAGCAGCAACACTGTCGTGCCCTCCGTCCAAAGCATACCGTTTTCCTATTCTGGAACCAAGTCCGCCTCGAGCAACGAGAGACAGGATAGGCAAAGCACCTAACCTACACACCACGAAACCTCGCCATTGTGTTTCAAAAGCATCAATCTACCTGCTACTCCACAATCGCATCCAATCTCTCTAGCTGTTTGCTTTCGCCGCGGCTGTGCGCGCATTGTATAAATTCATTTTCTTCACACTGTAGTTTGAACTATCAAATGCACGTTTTTTTTTAATTGTTGGTGCTGCGCAGAATTTTACCGGATGCTGTTTGGTTGGCTTGCGCAGAGTAGGCCTGGGGACGACTCGCCGACCTGAACCAACTTATGGGGAGAGAAGGAGAGAGTGGAGTGGGAAAGGTTTGAACAGTGCACGCACAACGTCTAGCGAGCAGCTGCGCTGCAAGGTGTGAGCGCTGCGAGAAACGTGTCACACCATCCAGGTCTTTCCATGTCACAAAGAGTTTGTGGTAATCGGTCGACTTGATCAACGTTTTGTGACGTGTAGTACGTTTTGGGAATCCTTTTGCTTGCTTACATCGGTTGAAAAGCTTGTTGCGCAAAAGAGCAGGCAGCAGGGGTTGGGAAGAGAGTTGCAAGTTGGAATCAAGTTCATCTACCAAGTCTATGCACAGCACAAACATGTCACGGCCATAGTTCTTCGGTCTTCCAGGTAGCCTTTCCTGGCGTAGAGTCATCAAATGTGTATCGATATCTTCTTCCCTTCGCCGGGTCGCTGAGATCGGTCATCTCGACTTGATCGGGCACGATGATGACCAGTCGGAAGTTTTTGCGTGCAACAGAGTCGTGGAGATCATTCGCCTTTGTTCCCAGCTTGAGGTTCTTCTCATCATAAGGTTTGTCAACGGCCTGTCCTGGAGGTGGGTTCTTGAAAGATCCTGCAGCATGTCAGCATGTAACGCATCACCCAAGGAAAAAAAACAAACACTCCATGGGTAGTATACCTTTGATGCCTGGAGATTGGTTGCCAAAGAAGCCAGTCAGCTCCTTCTGCCAGCTCCAATCCTGCTCCTGCCCACCCTCTGAAAGATGCCTCATCCTCTTCCCCACCTCGCTCTTCACCGTCCTCACTCCACTACTCTCCCCATCGCCTTCAATATCATCCGCAACAACAAAAGCCCGCCCTTTAATCCTCCACTGCGTCCCAGCCTCTGAGATCCAATACACCGCCTCAACAGGACCACCCCCACCACTACCCTGAACCTGACCTTCACTCTCCGCATGCCCCGCACTCGTCGCAAAAATCTGCCTGACCTTCTCCATGCGCACATCCGTCGTAAAGGTAGGACAATCGCTCTCGTACACCCGAGGGTTGCGCTCCGCATCATTGTGCTTGTTCTCCGGCAACTCGGCCCAGAAGCCACGGAAGATGCAGAATCGCACGCGCGGAACAAAAGGTACGGGCGCGCCCGGGGGCGCCGAATCCAGTGTGCCTAGTACAAACTCTGGTGATTTCATCTTGGAGAGGTCTTCGTGGAACTGCTTCTTCCATGGTGCAGGCGGTAGGACGGACGCTTCGGGTGCGGTGGACGACATGGTGCGTAGGAAGCGCGAGAGGCGGCCGGTCGCTGTTCGTGAAGCTATGATGGCTGTTTTGTTTTGAGATTGGGTGAGTGGTAGAGTTGGTAAGTATGATTGATGGCTAGGCAATTAGGAAAGTGTAGTGAATTGGGGGCTTCTGATGGATGGAAAGTGATGTCGTCATGTAACCAAAGCATCACCTCCACAATAGTGCGATTTGATCATCAGAACAAGTTAGCCCAATTCCTCGCATCGGACAGCTCTTATTTTGACATCGTACTGATGGGGGTCTTTCTTTGGCGGAATCTGAAATGTGCTGATACTTCACCTGCATTGTAATGGGTCGTGAATCCATGCTAGATTCCTGATCATCGTTCGCCGGTCTTTCGGAAGTCTTGCGGGGAACTTTGGCGCACAAGTGCAACGCAATCACGCACTCCATCACTCCACCTTGCCCCCCCCCCCCCAAATGAAAAGCATAACCGTTGGCTAGAAACAAGTAATCCCTATACAAGTCCACCTAATTCTCCACAATAGACCCATCCAGTCTGGCCCATCTCAACAACTTGCGAATAGTCCAGGTACTCTTACTCTTCCTAGCACATGCCAGCCACGTCGTACAATCAATCGCACATTACCGCCGAACCGTTTGGCAAGTCAAGATCTGTGTGTCACCCCGTGTAACTTCGATGCAGCCATTTCAAGTGACACACGTCGGCGACTTGAACGACACTCGCTTCGTGGGAAATGAGTAAAGGTGGAGAAAGGGTTTGCTTTTTGGTCTCCCGCGCATGCGCTGCCTTTCTAGAAAGACGTGGTTATCTGGGAATTGTGGGCATGAAGCCACCGCCTAAAATCTATGTACATGTGTAGTGGGAGCGGAGCCACCCGGCGCGCAATGGTCATACGTGCGTTTTGGATTGCTGTACAATCGCGGGAAGTCTATTCTTGCCACGACGTAGTCACTGGCGCTCAAGCCTTCTTGAAGAAACTCGCGATGCTCCCCTGGCCCTTCTTGCCAGCTGGTTTCCCCTTTGCCGAACTGGAAGGCTTAGCTGGTGCGGGCTTCTGTTTCTTGGGCTCCGGCTCGTCTTCCGAGAAGGATTCCCAGACAGTCTCCTCTATGGTCACTTCGAAATAATCAGCGTAGCCAGAAAACGCGAATCAAAGACCACTCACCCAGGTAGCCATCTTCATCTTTGACCTTTTTCTGTTTCATGACGCGTCTGCGGCCACGTCTTCGACCATTCTGAGTCGTACTCGCAGGTGGCGCCGCGGTAGCTGACTGTGAGGCGTCCGGCGTGTCGGCAGTGTCAGTCGGTGTGGCTTCAGCCTGGGGCTCGACCGTAGCTGGCGCAGCTGGCGCATCTGGCATATCTTCGTCTGGGGAAAGTTAGGGTGTGGTACATTATCATTGCAGTATCGGCTCACCATCGTCCTCCATCATCTTTCGCAAACGTTCGGCTCTTTCTTCGCGAGCTTTGCGGGCAGCTTCATTCTTCTCTTCATCAACTTTAACTTCTGGCTCATCATCAGGGTCTCCTTCGTCTTCCGACATGCCTTGCATAGCATCTGTTGTAATTAGCCTTCAGTTGCTGGATGCGAAACTAGGGGCATACCATCTTCAATCGGAGCTGGCGTAGACTCTCTGGATTTCGCTGTCTCCTTGGGCTTCCCCTTTGCCTTTGCGAAAGACTTGAATATATCACCTGCCGACTTGTCCTTCATCATGCCCGGCTTGGAATCCGACCTCTTGACTGTATTCGAATCCGTAGAGGGATGAGATGTTGACTGACCAGAGTTGTTGTCTTCCGAAGCACTACCTCGACGAACTGGGACAACCGTCTCTTTCGATTTTGCACTTGTCATTGGTGTAGTCTTTGCGGCAGGTTTAACGGTCGACTTTGCAGTTGCGGTTGGGGCTGGGGGTGCGTATTTGGCAGTTCTTCGCTGTACATTGATTAGACAAATCATGTTATAGACAGATGGAAGAAGAAATACCTGTATATAGGGGTTGTGGATAGACCCATATAACCTCCACCGCTGCATAGGGTCTTCGTCTGGATGCTCCGTGGTAATTTCGTGGTTGCAAGTCGAAAGAATACCTAAATTCTGGGGGCATTCAGTAAGCCTGGTTCATCCGTGACCTCACTGGAAGCAGTACCTCTATTGGACCGGACTGTAAGCTATAAATATGTATAGACGTCTCGTTGTCGAACTCAGCGCGAGTTTCTACACCGGCAATTAGCCAGCGCATGCTTAAATTTATAGATTACCCACTCTCCAATTCTTCTTCACGCACCAGCACGATGCTGAGCTTCTTTGTAGACTCGACAGCTGGCTCTGCGGCCTCAGGCATGGAACTCATGAAGGGTGAGCTGCGCATGTCAACATCGTCCCCAGTGTGCCCATTACAACCATTGAGTTGTTCGGTCCTTCGCTTCGTGCCGCTGACAAGGTAGGTTGCGTGTACAGAATTGGGCTTCTTCGCATTTTGCTTCTGGTGAAAGTCGAAAAGCATCCTGCATTGGGTCAGCTGTATGATGGTGTCTTTGAACCTGAATAGCTACCATTTGGCTGTGTTCACATTCGTCTTGACAGCCCGACTCAGCAGCCGGTAGGTCACGGGTTTCTGCTCGACAAGTATCCTCGCTGCAAGATAATCTTTGTACTGGACCTCGGACATTTTGCTCTATGTTGTTGTCGATTGTGTTGCTTCCTTCAACCCAGGATCATGACAGTACTTGGGCAGAGCGCGTCGCGGGGCTGACTAGGATTCACGCGTCAAAGTGTGACTGCATGACTCGCACGCCTGCCTCCATTACTGCACAGTCACCATCACCACTACTGTCAGATCCAAACAGGCCCTTCGTTTTTTCAACATGAGCGCCGGCGATGATGACGACCTCAAGTTGCAGCGAGCATCTGCGTCATTACTCTCAGACTTTCGGCAACTGTTACCGCGCTTACTAAGGAAACGTAAGCATGGCTCAGTGGCAGCTCAAGTGCGCCAGCACGTTCGAGAAGGTGACATGCACAAGGCTTGTGATCTGGTAGGAAATGGGCATGCCTAGACTGTACTGTAAGCTTACAGCAATAGATTGAACCCTTTCAAGAAGATCCACAGATCCTAGATACTCACTTGAAATCTTTCATCCCACCATTGGTCGACGCCTTCCTCGAAGCAATCCAAGTAACGATCAAGGATGCTCCTAAAAAGGGCTTTGTACCTCTCACGCATGCTATCTGTTGTATACTGAATGTTTTCTGCAAAGTCAGAGGCGAGAAGGTCATCAAAGGTTTCTTTAACAATGAGCCCCGATATCTGGAGCCTATCCTCAATCACTTGGAGACCTTCCAAGGGCCTCAAGCAGAAGAAGAGAAAGGAATAGGTCAACCATCTATAAGGCCGTGGGTTGAACGCCATATTCTGTTGCTATGGCTTTCCCACCTTCTTCTAGCCCCGTTTCCTCTCGACTCCATGTCTGCTCTCGAATCCTCAGCAGCTACGTCAGAGGCGCTTGGAATACAGCTTCCGGTCGAGAGTCCTGGTATCAGTCTTCGAGTACTCACCATATGTCTTGATCGTCTTCAATCCGCGTCCAAGGAGCGGAGCGCCGCTGCAAATCTCCTCGTGAGGCTTTGCGTACGTCCAGATATGCAGGAGCTTGGATTGCTGCACACAATGGTTGAGTGGTCCCTATCCTTCTTCTCAAAGATATCGGAGGAGCACACCGATATCCATCAGTGTCTGGGTGTACTGTCGTTCTTATCTGGGCTCGTCGCTTCTGCCACCAATGAGGAAATCGGACCTAATCTCGCTGCGATATATCAGTCGTGCCGGAGGATCCTGGATACGCCTGGTCTCGAGTTCGTCAAATCTTCTGCTGTGGCACGCAAGCTTATCATCAAGACATTACGAACAATTGTGATCCACTGCCTGCAAGCGACAACACCACCTTCTGGCCTTGATCCAACGTCAGCTCTCGAAGAAGTCATTGAGTTCCTACTGGAAGCTTTGGCAGACGGTGATACACCAGTGAGATATGGTGCAAGCAAAGCACTCAGCATCATCACACTCAAGCTTGATGCGGAGATGGCTGGGGAAGTGGTAGAAGCGATCCTTGGCTCATTGACCGAGAACGTATACTGGCAGGGCTCGAAGCGCAACTTAAATAGCGTTAACTCATTACAATGGCACGGACTGACCTTGACGCTGTCCCAGCTCTTGTACCGGAAAGCAATATCCAATAGCCATCTTCCTGATGTCCTCAATGCATTATTGCTGTCTCTTGGCTTCGAGCAGCGATCGCCCACTGGTGGTTCTATTGGTACAAATGTACGCGATGCAGCCTGTTTCGGGATCTGGGCTCTTTCCAGGCGCTACTCCACAGCAGATCTTCTCGCAGTAGATATTACAGCGATCCGAGCCTCAGAACACAGAACATCGCTACACGTGCCGCAGGTGCTCGCCATCGAGCTCGTGATTTCCGCATGTCTGGATCCAGCCGGGAACATCAGAAGAGGCTCCTCAGCTGCTCTCCAGGAACTTATCGGTCGTCATCCCAACACGATCGAGGAAGGTATACCGCTGGTTCAAATTGTCGACTTCCACGCGGTCGGCTTGAGGCAGAGGGCCATGTGTGAAGTGGCTGTCATGGCCGGAGAACTACAGGCCCTGTACTGGGAAGCACTCTTTGAGAGCCTGATGGACTGGAGAGGGACGGGATCTCTGGATGCAGATTCACGGCTCTTTGCCGCGAAAGCTGTAGGTCTCCTATCTGCCTCACAGTCTCCAAGCTCAATTCAACGGATGTCGAATGAAATCAAAGCCAGGCTTACTGCTTTGCGACCACGAGAAGTGGAGGAGCGACAGGGTCTCGTATCCGCTCTTGCAGCGCTCGCCAGATCTGCCAATTCGTTGGTAAGCGCCGACCATTGGAAGGAATCTTGTTGTAGTCTGTTAGAACTTTGGAAGCTGTTTGAAAGCGAGCTCAATTTCGACGAGAAAGCATTCATGTCACCAACGTTGCGACCTGGGTTCACAGCATCGTCAATCTGCAACTTGATCGGAGCCCTCGCCGCTATGACTGTGAAGCTACCACAAGAGTTGCGGCCGGAAAAGATCCCAGCACAACAGATCACACGATTGCTCAACCTCAGTCTCGGACGCAATGAGGAACCTGTACTAGACGCAATTTCCGACGCGACGCCGTCTATTCTACAACTACTCTCTACGCTAGAGACCGCTGACCCTGAAGGTGTTATAGCTGCGTGGCTGAACATTCTGGAAAATGAGGCCTCGTACAACGGTCGTCGATGTTCGGGTCAGGCAGTTGCCCTTGGTGCTTCATACGGTACCCTTGCCAGCTGGGGAAATAACACTGCACGAGCCGCGCTAGGAAATCGGATTGTCAAGATACTGACGTTTAGATGCACAGCTGCAGTTGCTGTTGAAGCTCGAACAGTAGCCCTGCGGGCATTGGGCACTCTGTTGAGCGGCAGTCTTGCCGCAAGGTCTTGCGCGTCTACCTACATAGCCATGGACGCAGAAGCACAAATCGGCAGTGCCCTCCATGTCGCTCTCAACGACTACACTATCACGGAGCGTGGAGACGTCGGCTCGCTTGTACGTCTCGAGGCACTCAACACTGTCCGCTGCGCTTGGACATCTGGGAGACTGCAGGACGAGGAAAGTGAATGGGGTCACAAGATCTATGCAAATGTCCTACGACTCTCACTCGAGAAACTGGACAAGATGCGTGTCACCGCTGCCCACGTTCTCCAGCATGGTCCACAGAGTACAAGCAATGCCAACACCAAACTCCCCACCGACGACGTCTCATCCCCAGCCTACTTCCTAGCCGCGCTCCAGTCCCTAAAGCGCGCCAGGAATGCTCGAATCAGAGAAGCAATCAGCACAGGCTACGTCAATTCTGCGGGCATGGGCTCCGAGTCCGTGGTCCAGCATGCTCGCATCGCGCTTCTGGACTTTATCGACACCCTACCTACCTCGAGTACTGGAAATACTTCGACCTCGAACTTCTCTCTCCTCGACTTTGCTAGCTGTCTGACTAGCCTGCTCAAATCAAACCTCGATAACGATAGAGTGCTCCTTCCTTTACTCGAAGTCTTGGCCTTTTTATTCGACATGCAAGTCCTCGAGCGCCTGCAAGACACGTCATCCTTTAGGTCGGTTGTACACCCATCTCCTCCCTCCCTCCCCTTTTCCCACGTCCATCCCATCCCCATTATTCCTTCTCGACTCCCCCCTTCCCCCCTTCCTTCCTCCCTTCCATCACCTCCCCTACCCCTTCTCTCCCCCCACCCATACTAAAACCCCCAGCTTCCGCACCCTCCTCTCCCTCACCCAAAAATCCCACTTCAAATCCTCAAACATGCAGAAATTGCATCTCGCACTCGACATGTACCGTGGTCTTGCAGGTGTGCCGGCGACGCGGCAGGATACGCTGAGGAAGGTGGTGGGTATGCTTGTGCATCCTTTTCCCAAGGTATGTGTGTTTTGTTCTTGTTTGCCTTGCCTTGCTTTGTTCTTTGGCTGTCGGGGTTCTTTGGTGTGGAAGAGGTGCAATGGGTGGCAGTGGCAGAGAGGAGCTGACACGTCTATTAGGTGCGTATCACGGCGGCGGAAACATTGTGGTTGGTTACGGGCGAGGAGGGGCTGAAGAGGTATGATTGGAGTGTGCCGAGTAAGAGCCTAAAGGGGGCGGTGGAGGCAGTGGGGGTGGCCGTATTGTAGGTAAAGTCCGAGTTGGAGCAAGGACGAACAAACAAATCAACACCAAAAGAGACTCGAGTTCAAGTTCATGCATGCCTGTATGTACATGTAACCATTACTATCCATTCAAGTCAAACCCCCGCTCTCCCTCTCCCTCTCCACATTATCGATTCAAAGGCTTTTGAAACTGCGAGCCCGAGCTGATGGAATTATTCTTCTCGCGAATCTGTATGGTGGGTGTCGCCAGCTCATTGTGTTTTGCGGCTTGAATGGCCGAGATGGCGAGGGTGATGAGTGTGAGGATTTCGGCGGTTGCGGCGCCCATGGCTGTGTAAAAGGCTACGCCCTGTGTGGAGATTGGTGTGTTAGTATCCATGTTCGAATTGTGTGCGTGTATGGAGGAAAGGGGTGAACTGACCTGCTCCTCGCAAACGGCGCGGTACTGATAACGCCCGTTGCTGAGCATATGCTGGTGCTCGCACGAGTACCGGCCCAGACTAGCCTTGCTCGCCTTGTCCAACAGATGGAAGACGACCAAGGCCGTAATCCACATGATGACGCCAAAGCTGCCCGCCACAATGCGGTATACATCTCTCGAGCGAAACGGGCGGCGAAACGAGCGTTTAAATGACAGCAGCAGGATGGCGACCGAGGCGAGGAAATTGGCGGCCGCAATGGCGAATAGGATGATGGTGGGAGCGAGGTTGGTGTGTGCGGGCCATACCATGGGTAGCTCGCCTTTGCGCAGGTCAATGTACCGGTTGCCGCGGTAGATTTCGAACGAGTGCATGAGCATGCATACGACGGCGCCGCTGAGCACGATGATGAGCAGGCGCAGGCAGGAGCGCATGCGGCTCAGCCAATGCGCCCGTGGCACGATCGAGAGCTCGATAGACATGGGCAGGCGGAGGGTGAAGGCGCCGCGGTCGCTCGCTGCTGTTGATCGGGTGGTCACGGGCGAGAGCGTAGTCGTGGTTGTGGCCGTGGTCCTTTTGTTGTAGGGTGTCGGTGGGGGAGACGAGGGTGAGGGCGAGGAGAGCGAGGCGGACCGAGAATGCAGGCAATACGTCGTCGTGGTCATACTCCTTTTTTGAGAGAGGGGGGGGGAGAGACAGAGAGAGAAAGAGAGAGACAGGGAGAGAGGAGGGGAGGGGAGTGAAGGCTATAGACGCGGGCGTGGTTGGGCTGTGGGATGCGCGCGGCCACCGCTAAAGGGCGTCGTTTTCCTGTCCTGCTCTTCCTCCTGTCTCTCTCGCCGGTTGAGAATGGAGAATCCAGTGGGGGGGAGGGGCACGAGGCGGAGAAGCGGGCTCTCTTGCAGCTGTGGCGAGGCGTCGGCGTGGGGGAGGCGGAGAGAGGCCTAGAAGAAAGAGAAAGAGAGAAGAGGTGTAGTGAGCGGCGGGCGCGGCGGAGGAGGAAAGGATGGCGGTTGCTGCGACATGTTCCGGTGACGGCTGGGGCTAGCGGGATGCGGGCCAGGGGGGGGCGGGGAGGGGGTGCACATGTATACTATGCTATGCTTGATGAGGCTGAGATCGATGAGGGTGCATCTTGCCATGTACTGTACGCACAAGTAGCACATTAGTATCTACCTCTACCTCGAGACTGCGATTCCCCTCAATCTCCATCTCCATCAATCAAAGTCAACTGCTCTAACTTACTCGACCTACTCTATCTACCTACTCTAACTGCAGCATTGCTTGTATCTATCAGCACAAGTCCCCGTCACTTGTACTGTATATAGTACAGTGTTACCCATCGCCCCAAGTTCCTTCACTCCTCCTCCACAGCTCGACTCCCCTCTGTCCCTCTCTCCAGAAGAATCTTTTCCAACGCAGCAATAAGGCTGGGCAAGGCAAGCAACCACGCGCAAAAAACGCCACAAGACACCATACCAGCGCGCCACACAAGCAACGGGCGCCCAAAGACCAAACATTCTATTCCACTCGTCTCATTGGCTCCCTTTCAGCCTCCCGAAATCTCCGCTCTCAAAGGTTTGTACTCTACATGGCACAGTATGTAGAGTAGGTATAGGTAGCATGTGTGTCCTGATTCCCACTGCAAGTCTACCTTTCTGTCCTGCGGTATGTAGGTACGTAGGTAGGGGACCCTAGCCTGTTCCTCAAAACCCCATGACATGTCATCTACAATGGTAATTCCCCTGTTCTTCCCTTCTCGCACACACACCTACAGGTGCATGAGTACAATTGAAAAACACCACACCCCACCATGACAGCAACAGGTAGAGTACGACTATAACCCTCGCGATCCACAACCCTGGCCCGACGACGCACCAACGACGCGCGGCCCTGGAAACACACGGAGCCAATCACCATCTCCTGTGGCGCCAGTGGCGAGCAGGGGTGTCGCGTGTTGGTGTTGGCGTCGGTGTGCTGTGTCACGTGTCGAGACTTTTCCTCCTCCCATCCTCACATCGACGGCCTCGAGTCTCGAGTCTGGACTCTTGGTCTTATTGGAACATGCTGACCCTCACAAACTCTGGGATTGGATATGTATCATGTCAAAGAAGGGGTTAGTGTGATGCAAAGGGACTGTAGCGATAGACACGAGTCATTACGTAGATTCATCCTACACACGCAGTACTACTCACTGCCAAACATTCCCACTTTCACTCCCGGATGCACCATCCACTGCCAAACATGGTCACTTTACTCCCAAACGCTCTATCCACTGCCAAACATGGTCACTTTACTCCCAAACGCTCTATCCACTGCCAAACATGGTCACTTTACTCCCAAACGCTCTATCCACTGCCAAACATGGTCACTTTACTCCCAAACGCTCTATCCACTGCCAAACATGGTCACTTTACTCCCAAACGCTCTATCCACTGCCAAACATGGTCACTTTACTCCCAAACGCTCTATCCACTGCCAAACATGGTCACTTTACTCCCAAACGCTCTATCCACTGCCAAACATTCCCCACATTCCCACCCTCACCCCCCAAACATGCCCTCCAACCCTCCACCCAAATCCTCCACCCCCTTCCTCTCAACCTCCCACACCTCCCTCTCCCCAGAGGCCCTCATAATCGCATCCAACATCTCCGCCGTCTCATGAATCTGCCCTGACAACTCAACTTCCCCATCCGGCCCCTTTCCCTCTCCACCCTTGACCCTCATCCACAGCGACCCCAGCCCTGCCACCAAATCCCCCCTATACCGCGGAACCCTCGGCCATGCATTCTCCATGACGCTGCGTAGCGCACTCAACGTCATCCTTGCCAAATCTTCATGCACGAGCACAAATGGGTCTCGCAGGATACTCGACAGCAGAGGCACTGTTGCGGAAAGATGTTTTGCAGATTCAATGCCGAGTTCGTGTGTCAGGGTTGAGAGTTGGGAGAGCAGCAGGGTGGAGAGTTGTGGGTAGGTGGTCGGGGTTGGGAAGTGGGTGAGGGGATGGAGAATGCCTTGACGGTAGAGGTTGTCGAGAAAGTGTGTTTTGGTGTTTATTGGCGAGGTGGATGGCGTACTAGATGCATCGCCCTGGGGAAGCAGGTGGGCAAGTGAGAGGAGGGCGGGAAAGACGTTTGACAGGAGTAGGACGGATTCTTGTTTCGGCGTCAGAGAAGGGATGTACGTGAGGAGGGGAAAGAGGGAGTCTGCTAAGACACGGTGGTATCCCGTTCTTTGGAGCAAGTCTGTTGGTTTATTGGACTTCATGGGATTTGTAGGAACAGTAGTGTCTTGTCCAATGGTTGTTTGCTGCATTCGTTGGAGTAGCAGAGTGAGCAACTGACATCCCTTTGCCTTGGACTCTACTTCGGAATCATCAATCATTTTAAGTATAGGAGGCATCAGGAAGCGCCATTGTGCTTCAATCTCCTTCCTATTCAAGGCGCCGATTGACCACGTAAGCAAGTCCAGAACATGGCCATTTCCAGCATCCCTCCACGGCGATGGCTGCCGCGAAACTTCCAGTGCATTTGACGCGGACTTATTCTGTGGGAAGAAAGGTGGGATGGTAAGCTGGAGAAAGTGTGAAGCCAAGCGGGAGGAAAGCTCACTGTCGTTCTTGGTGCCCCGTGATACCTTGACGGCCTCGATAGCTTGGGCTGGATCCGTAGTATCGGGGTTGCGCAGTTGCCATGCCATGACGACATCGAGTGCGTCCTTCATCCATGGCCCGGGCTTGGTGTTGAGCGCTTTGGCGAGATCTGTGCCCTTGAGGAGGGGCTTGAACGTATCTACGTCTTGTACCCCGTGTTTGAGGACTTGGCCGATGAAAACAGCGTAGGAAACAAGAATATCTGTGAAGGTTAGTACAAAGAGCCGATGGTGCTTCGGGGGAGAAGCCATACCCTGCTTGGATGTCCGGTCCAGTACAACCTCGTACAACATGTTGAACAAAACTTGCGTCCGCCAGGTAGGACCCCAGCGCCTTATAGCCATACCCAGAGTGTCTCTCGCCGTGAAGTCATTTGAAGGATCGATTGTATCGGGTCGGCGAAGGCCTTTTGCGCACTGAGCTACGTGATTCCTGATCTCCTCACTATGGCTGAGCGAAGCGGTGATGACGTCGCAAACCTTGTTTGGAGCCTTGAAACCCTCCCGAGCCACAAGATATGCGGCAAACAAGGGTCGCTGCGTAGGTTTTGGATGCGGGATCATGGGCGCATCAGCCCAAGGCATGACCGTCGAGCATACCCAGGCTAGGTACTTTTCATCATCGTTTCGAAGCAAGTTGTCCGGGATCTTGGACGGTATATCGTCAGCCTTGGTCACGATAGATTCCACGAAGTCGTACGCCAACTGAAAGTATGCAGTCTCTGGCTCGCAAGCGAGGTCCCTTGTAGGATCTGTAAAGACGGTGCGATAGAGACCAAAACGATCGATAAGTTCCAGTGCCATACGAGATCTTGGACCTTTGAGCATCTTCTCCAGCTCGATCCCCACGCGTTCTCTGCTTATCTTGATCTTCAAGACATCCTGGATCTCCGGGTTGCCCATGGCCTTGGCTGTCTCGGGTTCGATGGTATAGTCTAGACGACTAGCGAAGCGAATCAGTCGCAAAACTCGTAGTGGATCGTCCTTGAATGTTTGATAGGGCTCCAATGGGGTACGGATGATGCGCGCAGCCATGTCTTCATGTCCTCGCTTTGTAAAGTCTTCGACCTCGCAGGTGTGCAGGTTATAGAACATTGCGTTGACAGTGGCATCTCGGCGCATAGCATCTTCCTCGGCAGTACCAAACTCCATCTGCGGATTGCGCGAAACTTCATTGTACGTCTCCTTCCGTAGGTTGACAAGATCCAGGTCGATTCCCAGAATCTTTGTAGTAGCAGTCTCCAGGTTCTTTGATTTCTCAGGGTTCGCCTCAATCTTGTGCAGACCCGGTGCAATCTTCTTCGTCCTGTCGCTATCTGACAGCTTCTCGCCCTCTGCTATGAGGCCATGTTTTTCAGCGTTACCAGGGATCCTGAGGTACTCCTGCATCTTGAGGCCAAAGTGTTCCCCCGTGAGTTTGTTGATGGCGAGGTCGATGTCATGACTTTCAATGTTCAAGAGCTTATCGCGGACCCATCCTCCCGTCCATCGTAGGATAATTTTCTCGTTCGCGACTTCTTCTGGGACCTGGACGCTGGTGATTTGCTCGGTAGAGGAGCTGCTGCCATCGATGTATTCAGCGACATCAAGCAGAAGCCGGCGTAACTTGGACTCGACCTCGGTCAGTTCGAGTTGGACGGACCCCATATTGGACTCGGTGGACTTGGTTCCGTACGGGTGTATTAATTTGGGAGCCTGAATTTCTATCTTTCTCCGCTTGGCGCTCCGCTCTTGGTGGGTTGGAGAATATGGTGGTGTGGACATGCGAGATGAGTGCAGAGGTAGTAACCAGGAAGAGAAGGGTTTGTTATGAGGAGCTCTGTGGTTGATGGAGCGAAAGGTGGGCGAGTGAATTACAGGCTTCAAGCGCAGAGAAATTGTGGGTGGTGAGGAGCAGCAGCAAGACAAACGGCAGCTTCGACTAGCCCAAGACATGCATGCGCCTGAGTGAAGGAGGGACAGGCAGGTGAAAGAGAAGGTTGGAAGGCTACAGCAAAAACGGTGTAAAGGTGAGTTGGCTTAAAGGAGAGTGGGAGCTGTGGTTTGCATGTCCGCACACAAAATACACACACAGGGATAGTTTGTGGTCAAGGCAAAAGTGAAAGGTGACGACGATGATGGAATAGGTTACCGGTTAGCCGTGCCTCCGCATTCCGTCCACTCACATCTCTCAGCGGCCGCAACCCAACGAACTACGAACTACGGACCACGATGGACGATGGACGATAGACGATAAGACGATTGATTGATGACAAGCCCATTCGAGACTCTCTCCTCCCAACACGCCGTCCATGCAGTCGCCGCCAGGATTCCATACCTACATGCCGCCGACATCTGACTCCCCGCGCGCACTCACAACCACACGGGCGCCCTGCCCACGCCTCCCATGCCGCCGCCGCCCTACGATGTTACGCCGCCGAAACTGCCCACGTACCCAGCCAATATGGAGGCGTCCATGGTAATGCCCAAGCTGCGCGGGCCGCCGGCCACCTCCTCTTCGCTCGCCTCTCTGCCCTATCGCAGGTCCAACCCCAGCCTGTCCAAGCTGTTCGAGTCGACCACCACCATCTCCACCTCCCGTCCCAGCTCTGGCACCGCCACGCCTACGGGCACCGCCGCTCCAGCCTCTGTCTTCTCTCCCGGCTCGCGCCTCAGTGGCATCGGGACTCCCAGTAGCCTGCCCCCCGGCGTCTCGGACCAGTACCGCACCCTGATCCAGCAGGCCTTTGTGCCATCCGTCGCTGTCCTGGCCGATGCTGAGACCGAGGAGCTCATCCGCGGCAAGGGGCTCGAGGGGGGATTGTTGCAGTTGCTGCGGCCCTTTGGCGAATCTGTGCCCGGCAAGGTCACCATCAGGGACAGCAACGGGGCCAGCAAGAGCTGGGAGGACTTTGGCGTGCGCTTCATGGGCGTGGATGATGCCTATGCTGATGTGCGCATGGATGCGGGTAGTCAGAGGAACTCCACGAGCTCCATAAAACGACCGCGATGGACAGGCGGCGATGTGGCTCAGATTGAAGAGTTGGTCGACCGCCACCTGCAACACTCCGAGTTCAATCGCCAGGCCCCGGAGTCAGACTATATGAACATGGGCGAGCCCTCTGTGCAGACTGATAGCACGTCTTCTCCTTTCCACACCCTCTACCTGCGCAGGCTGCTGTCAGGTCTACCCATAGTACCCCATGAGACCTTTTCACATCCTGTGGCGGGCATAATAGCCATCAGCTCACGAAATCCACATCCTATAGAAGAGCTACGACGTCTATACAACAGACAGCATGATGGAGACCTGCGCTTTCCCCAGTGGGTAGAAAATGACTTCCTTCGCTACTATGTCCTGATACATGACGAGGAGACGGGGGATATTGTCAAGTCGAACCAAACATTCGACTCGATGAAGAGACATTTTGGTCTGCATTGCCACCTGCTGCGGCTGAAAAGCCAGCAATGTATACCGTCAGATGATGACAGTGTACGATTGCCAACTTGCGAATGGATGTCAGCATCAGAGGAGCTGGCAGAGATCCAGAGGCGTGGTATGTCTCCCTAGACCATCTGCTGAGAAGACTCCAGCAAATACTAACCATGCTACAGAAACCGCAGACGACATCACCGACCCAACCCCCTACTTCCCCGAGTCAGACATTAGCAGCCTCCGCACCTTTATCCGCGAACTCGTCACTCAATCCATCATCCCCAACATGGAGCGCAGCGTCGCGACCTGGAACGAGCAAATCCTCTCTCGCCGCCGCGGTCTCTCCGGCCGCTTCATGTCCCTTTCCAAACGCTGGGCCCCCTTTGGCAGCTCGCGAAACAGCTCAGCGTCCTCGACCGCATCCTCCAACTCAAACTACGACAGCCTGCAGGGCTTCTACCGCCCAGACGCCCCAGAAGCCATTATGCGCCGCCTCGCCGACTACTGCTTCATGCTGCGCGACTGGAAACTCGCACTCAGCACCTACGACATCCTCCGCACCGACTTCCAAAACGACAAGGCATGGCGGCACTACGCAGGCGCCGCCGAAATGGCCGCCCTATCCGCCCTCATGGCACCCACACCCCTCTCCCCCAAGGCGCGCGCAGAAAACATCGACTCGTGGATCGAGGCCGCCTCGTACTCGTACACGGACCGCCAACGCAGCGCAGCCCCCTACTACGCCCTCCGCACCCTCACCCTCGGCTTCGAACTCCTGCGTCTCCGTGGACCCGGGGCCGCAGACGACGCCGCCCGCTGGGCCACGCGCATCCTCGAAACTGGCCTCGTGGGACCCGTCGGCCACGCACTCATCACCGAACGCATATCCGCCTGCTACGCCATCCGAACCGGCCTCGGCTCCGGCCCGCATAAACTCGGTAGCCGTCGTCGCAAAGCTGCGCTCTGGGCCATGCTCGCTGCACATGATTGGACTCTGCGCGGTAACTCCTTGCAGGCGGAGAAGGCGCTCGACACCGCCCTCGGCCTGTACAATGTCCACTCCGAGACGCGCGAGGGCGAGGTGCGCAGACTGCCGTTTGCAGATATGCAGCGCTTTGTGGATGGGTTGCGGCAGCAGATTTTGGGGCTGAGGATGGCGAATCAGGGGTTTAGTGAGGGGGGAAGGGAGGGGGAGGAGGAGGGCAGGGGGGAAGGGCATGCTGGGGATGCACAGATGGGGCTGGAGGTCGACGAGGCCATGGAGACGTTGGATAGTAGTCCGAGGATGAATAGGAAGAGCTTGATAGGGGCTGCTGCGCCTGTGCTGCGAGACGATGGGTCCTCGAGTCCGACACTGGAGAGGCGCAAGGACGAGTTGGATTCGAGGAACGAAGAAGGGTTTGAATGAGACGAGACGAGATTAGATCATGCGACTTTGGGTCGTCGTGCTTATCTTTTTTTTTCTTATTGTAGATTTTCACAACATGATAGCACGAGGGTCACGAGTCTTCTGAATACATGGCTACATCGGTCACGTTTTGCACAATTCATCATGGATCGATTGAAAGCGGGAAGAATGAGTGGTCATCGTATTCGCGGATGCCCATTCCATACTCAAAAGATCAAAAGGGAGCCTGGAGCAATTCAACACTCCTCTTTCTCTCCCTCTCTCACTGTGTTAATGTAACGCCAAGCCAAGACTGTGCGCAGGCCCAAGCACTTTGGCACCCCGTCGTCATAATGGCAAATGCAGTCATGTAGCCTTTCCATGCTTGTATGCTATGCAAGAAGAAGGAAAATCCGGGAATATTAAGCGCCCATACTATGCATGTAGAATGGTATAGCTCGTGGGGTATCGTCATGTCGTATTGGTATTCGTGCGGTCAATGCAGATTCATGTCTTCAGAGCGTTGGTGTCGTCAACGGTGTCGATGGACTTGGTCGGCGTTGCCGTGTTTGCTTCGGCCGAAGCCTTGCTTGGTGTGACCTCGCTTGGTGTGACCTTGCTTGGTGTGGGTGCTGACACCGGTAGTGGGGCTGGTGTCGAGGACCGCGACTTTACAGATAAATCAATGGGATCTGTTGTACGCAGGCCTCGGAGTTTGATGGTCAGCTTTTGCGGCTTTGCATTCTGCTCCGCCAGTGGAAGTTCGGGGCAAGATTGCTGAGATGATATCAGCCCGCCGTTGGATTCATCTGATGAGCTTTCAGTGCCTTCCGGTGTCGAGTCTGAGTCGAATAGTGGCAATGGTGACCGCCGCTTACGGGCTCTGCTGTGTTGGTCATCGTGGTCTCCATCAATACTCGGGCTTGAGCGCTTCTTGGTGATCATCTCTGATGTGATGTGAACCTGGGGGGGACCAGTGTGCGGTCCGGCCAGGTTGCGAACTGAGGAATAATGCTCCCAGCTCTGGCTCCTGTTAATGCTGGCGTGTGTGAGAAGGTAGTTGGGTTGCTTACATGATATGCAATGTGTAGTGTTTTGCGATGATCAACAGAGGCAGCATCATCATTAGGCACATAGTAGTTGCGTGGTGAGAAGAGGTAGGTGTAGTCAGCCTGCCAGAGGCGAACGTGCACATTCAGGGCCGAAGCGAAAGCGGACACCTCCATGTTATCGGCCCACTCGCCCGGTTGCCCCATCTTCTCGACATGGTCTTCGAATTGCTGCTGCAACTGCTCCTCGGTGTAGTAGGTGGTATCGATACGAGTGTGCAGCGCAGCGGTGGTCTTGCGTTTGGGATTCCTCCGTACGTTGTTCACAGTCATGTACTGACGGTAGAAATCCGAGTTGTCTCGCATGTGCTCAATAGTCGCCGTGCGCAATACCTCATTCATTTCCTGGTCGCCATAGAGTTGGTCGGACAGGGCGTTGAAGAGGCAGTTGCCTTGGGCAGCGTCAGCCTTGGACCAAAATGCAAAAAAAAAAGTTCAATTGGGCTCAGCTCACCGTCACCTCGTATCTGACCGGCATACAGAGCATTGGCCTCGAGTATGGGGAATTCAGGTGAGTTGGCCCGATGCTTGCGTTGCGGCGTCATGGTTGCGGGTGCAGGGAGGGTCGCGGAACAGGAGAAGTTGGTGTATGAGGAGAAAGGCACACAGGCGGGCTGACGCGGGCATTGATGAATTTTGAGTCAGAGGGCAGGTGGAGCAAGCGATGCACAAGGCTGGTGAAGTGAACCACCTTTACGGTGGTGGAGGCTATTTTGCCAGTCGGTGAACGTGAAGACGGAACAGTCGCGAAGGTCTGGGTAGCACTGAGCAGGAGACGGGACCGCAACAAGGATGGTCGCCAAGCGTCCCAGGAACAAACGAACAACGCCCTTTGGCCAAAAAGCAGTCTCAACACCGGGAGCCTGGAAAGTACAAATCAGCTCTGACAAGACTTCCCGAATGCAGCAGACTAGAGAGTGACAAGAGACCAAGGTCTGGAGCAGCCTACAGCCTATGTATACCTTTGAAGAATGCACACACGACGCCTAGAAAAATTTCGACGTACCAACCAGCCTCGGAAGCAACAATGATGTCACGGGCCACAGCGAGCTCCCTACGGTAAGCACCCAGACAGCTAGTCTCTCTCTCTGGGCCCGGTGCCGAAGGAATCCCCGCTGCTGCGATGGGCAACAAAGTGCTTCCGGGTGGACACACAGCCAACGACGCGGAAGTTGAAGATGGGGTGGGGGAAGTTGAGTTTGGGGTTGGGGAGTATATGTACAATAGGTAGGTAGTGCTAGATGATTAGGTAGAGTAGGTAGGGGGAAGCAACGAGGAGGAGAGCCAGCAGGCTGCCCGCACACAACGGGATGATGTGTCAGTGTGGCTGCAGACGGTGAAGGTCAGGTCAGATAAACAAAAGCTCGCATGTGTGTGTGTGTGTGTGTGTGTGTGTGTGTGTGTGTGTGTGTGTGTGTGTGTGCGTGTGCGTGTGCGTGTGTGTGCGTGTGTGCGTGTGCGTGTATGTGAGTGTTTGTGTATGTGTATGTGTATGTGTGTGTGTGCGTGCCATTTGTCTCGTGCCAGGCTTTTGGGGGGGCCGGCCAGGGCAAGACAGTGTGCCGGCGGAGGGCCAATAAGCGAGTGGGGGGGGGGGGGGGGAAAAAAAAACCCCCCCGGTATGTACCCCGGGGACCCCTACCCCCCTACCCTACCTAGCTGGAGACAGACTACCTTGAATGACCCCGCATCATGAGAGCCCAAGAAAAAACATCCTCGTCATCGTCATCATCATCGACAATAACAACATCATCATCATCATCAAAACATCACGAGAAGGGAGTGAGTGTGAGTCAACGCTACAAAGCTGGCGTCAACCTGAGCACAAGTATCACGCCCCACCCACCGTACCTACTGTACCGGTACCTAGTAGATATACCAGAGAGGCTGCAGACTGCAGATTGCAGTCATGGCCTCCAACGTTGCAAACGTGGTCGTGGTCGGGTAAGAGCTCACAACTCACACTCCTTTACTACCTACTCTACTGTACTGTACTCTGCATCATACAGCCATTCTTGTTGCCTCATCATGATTCCTCGCAGCCCTCGCCATCAACATGGACGCTGATGCATGTTGTCAGTGCCGGCGTTCTGGGTCTTTCTACTGCTTTGGCCCTGTCCAAACACGACGGGCTCAACGTCACCGTCGTGGCAAAGCACATGCCTGGTGACTATGACATTGAGTATGCATCGCCGTGGGCAGGAGCAAACTTCTTACCAGTCGGCAAGCCAGGCTCGAAGCTGCAGGAATTCGAAAAGGCAACATGGCCGGAATTGGATAGAATGTGTCGACAGCTTCCTGAAGCAGGCATTCATCACCAGGTGACGAGGACCTATGGCAGAAAGAAAGACGCAGGCACGGCTACAGGCCAGTGGTTCGAGGAGTTGACCAAGGAGGATGCATGGTTCAAAGACCTTGTCCCCAATGTCCGTTGTTCTTCCCACCCCCTCTGCTTCCCCTCCATTTCCCCTGATAGCCGTCGTCTCCATCGGCTTGTCTGATGCAGGGCGCACGCTAACATGTTCTTCAGTTCCGCCTTCTTCCCAAAGAAGAACTGCCTTCAGATTGTGATACTGGCACAGAGTTTACATCGGTATGCATCAACACAGCCATCTACCTGCCCTGGCTTCTTGGGCAGTGTGTCAAAGGTGGAGTCACCATTAAACGAGGCATTCTCTCCCACATTTCCGAGGCTGCAAGTCATCATCCCTCGGGCCAGGCGCATGTTCTTGTCAACTGCACTGGGCTTCTGGCCTCGACACTCGGTGGCGTACTGGACACAACCGTATATCCAGGGCGCGGCCAAGTCGTGCTGGTGCGAAATGATCCCGGGGTCATGGCCACGGTCAGCGGTACGGATGATGGTAGTGAAGAGGCTACCTACATCATGCACCGCGCTGTAGGTGGTGGTACGATCCTGGGCGGCTGCCTCCAACACAATGCATGGGAGTCTCAACCTGATCCCAATCTTGCACAACGCATCATGCAACGCTCCATAGATCTGTGCCCTTCACTCGTTCCCAAAACAGGAAAGGTTACCGAACTCAGCGTCATCCGCCATGGTGTCGGCTTGCGACCGATGCGCAAAGCAGGCCCACGGGTGGAGAAGGAGAAGATTGGCAACGACTGGGTGGTACACAACTATGGACATGCTGGCTATGGCTATCAGAGCAGCTGGGGATCTGCATGGGAGGCAGAGAGCCTTGTGCTTGGAATCGTGGAGGACACTGCAGCTCGGGTACCCAAGGCCAAGCTGTAGAGAAGGTAGTCACTAGAGCCATCGTCGCTCACAAAGATTTTCAAACATGGTTGCTGTGTCGAATGCAGTAGTGCATTAGTCTGAGGTATATAACAGAACATGTGGGAGCCCCGGAGGAAGTGGGCAGGTACCGGTAGGCGGTGAGAGAATTCTGCCAAGTTCAAATTGCCAAAAAAAAAGGCCCTGGCAAAGTGGTCCCCAGGGTCCCGGACATGTTGATATTGATTGCGCCGCCGGAGTCTGGGGTGTGATTGTGTGGAGAAAGGCCGGTTGACCTGCATGGCTACAGATTGACTGTGGTAACCTGTACTCTAGTACAAGTACGTAGAGTACGGGTAAGAGTGTACAGACTTAGCACACTATGGGACCGTACCTGCAAAAACCCGGCATCTCAGTGGCCGGCGGCGATACCCAACCCCACAAATGAGCGAATGGAGGGTGGGTTGCTTACCTACGACGCCTAGCGGCTCTAGGCCCGATGACCGGCTTTCATCATGGCTCAAAGCAGATTTTTGAATTTCTTGACTCACCCAGCAAAACACACTTCCACCGTCTTCAAATAAATATCCGCCTGTGCCCTCCCTCCCTTCCCTCTTCGAACCTTCCCACCTTTTCGACATCACGTCCAATTGAGCCAAACATGTGTGGACCTTGCAACCCCGAGTCCAATGGCCAGGCCAATGGCACTAGCAACGGCAATGGCTCTGCTGCTGCCACGGCAAATCACGAGGGCTTCACCAGCGTCAGGTCGTCGCATAACCCTCACCCCTCGCACAAGAGCCCCTACCAGCCCGTAGGCGACTTCTTGTCCAATGTCAGCCGCTTCAAGATTATCGGTACGTCAGCAAACCTGTCCTCACAACCTGCCCTTGCCCTCGGCATGCATGCGCAATGGGAGAGGCACTGCACTACACTGCACTGCCTCATCGGGAAGGAAATTCAAAATTGCAAGTGCGAGAACGCAGAGCGCTAACTTCGCCACGCAGAGAGCACACTACGAGAAGGCGAGCAATTTGCCAACGCCTACTTTGACACAGAGGCCAAGATCAAGATCGCACGAGCACTCGATGATTTTGGTGTGGACTGTACGAAATGCCCTTGTCCATCTTACAATCCACAGACTCGACGCTGACCACTGGCTCCGTAGATATCGAGGTGACCAGTCCCGCTGCATCCGAACAGTCAAGAAAGGACTGTGAAGCCATTTGCAAGCTCGGAGTAAGTTTCCGAATGACGCCAGTGGCATTCGAGAAAAAGCCCGCTAATCATCTGCTTTAGCTCAAGGCCAAGATTCTCACTCACGTACGATGCCACATGGACGATGCCCGAATCGCAGTCGAGACCGGTGTTGATGGGCTCGATGTCGTCATTGGCACCTCGAGCTATCTGCGCGAACACAGTCACGGCAAGGACATGACCTACATTAAGAACACGGCACTGGAGGTGATTGAGTTTGTCAAGAGCAAGGGCAAGGAGATTCGCTTCAGTTCCGAAGACTCGTTCCGATCAGACCTCGTTGATCTTCTGTCCATCTACAGCGCGGTAGACAAGGTCGGTGTCGATCGGGTCGGTATTGCTGATACGGTCGGCTGCGCATCTCCTCGGCAAGTCTATGATCTGGTCAGGACTCTGCGTGGTGTCGTCTCTTGCGACATCGAGACTCACTTCCACAATGACTCGGGCTGCGCTATTGCAAATGCCTACTGTGCGTTGGAGGGAGGTGCGACGCATATCGACACCTCGGTGCTCGGTATCGGCGAGCGCAACGGCATCACACCCCTGGGTGGCTTGATGGCCCGCATGATTGTTGCGGACCGCGACTACGTGCTAAGCAAGTACAACATTAAAAAGCTCAAGGAGCTAGAAGACTTGGTCGCCGATCTCGTCGAGGTCAATATTCCCTTCAACAACTACATTACTGGATTCTGCGCCTTCACCCACAAGGCCGGCATTCACGCCAAGGCCATCCTCAACAATCCTTCGACGTACGAGATTATCAACCCCCAGGATTTCGGCATGTCCCGCTACGTACACTTTGCCAGCAGGCTTACAGGATGGAACGCCATCAAGAGTCGTGCGGAGCAGCTTGGCCTGCAGATGACGGATGCGCAATACAAGGAGTGCACTGCCAAGATCAAGGCCATCGCCGACATCCGCAAGATTGCTCTGGATGACACGGATGCCATCATCAGCACTTACCACCACAACTTGCACGCCAAGGAGGATGTTCCTCTTCTACCTGGCATGACCGCAGAGGAGCAGAAGAAGTTTGACGAAGCCGAAAGGGAGCTCAACGGCGAGAAGGAGAAGAGGCAATTGGACGCCAAGGCAGATGCGGATGCTGAGGTGCCTGCCAACAAGAAGACAAGGACTGCTGTTGTTGCATAAAGGATTGATGAGCCACGTAGGGAAGTGGGGTCTACTGGCGTTTTGCACGTTTCATTCCTGTATTTTGGGCGGGGTTTTTCTTTTCTCTGGCTGTCTCTGCATCTCCTGTTTCATCAAAATGTTGTCGTTGTCTGATGCGCTTCGAGAATTGACGAAGCCTCTGTTGTACCCAAGAGCAAGGGCTACGCATATGAATCCAAAATGAGAAACCGATTTTTTCGCCTGCGTCTGAACAGGTGATGCTATGACAAAGGCAAGTAAGCAGCAAGTGCAGCTGTGTAAGATGTCGTGTTGTTCATCGCGATCGGTCACCAGGTTGGAGGCTGCAGACCCCCGCGGACTTTACAAACGAGGGGCTCGCACGTGAGCTTTCCAGGGTCCACCTGCAACTACGGGCGATCGGCCAGAAGTTTAGGTTGCCCGTAAGCATGGTTTCTACTTGCCGCTCAATATATACTCAACCTTGGTGTCTCCTCTTCGGCTTTCGCTACATACTCCCCCTTCTCTCTTCTTTCTTTTTGACAAGTTACTCATAGCCACCATGAGCTCTACCGTAACGGTGACCCAGCAACCGGCGATTACGGCCGAAAATGTATTGCGACTGTTCCCCGAAGTCAACACGAGCCTCATCGGAGGCTCTCACAACTCGGCTACAAGTGACAGCGCGCTAGAGGGTTATGATGAAGAGCAGATTCGTCTCATGGACGAGGTGTGCATCGTGCTGGACGATAACGACATTCCTATTGGCAGCGCCACCAAGAAACTCTGTAAGTGATCATGGCCGATCTGACATACGTCCAATCTTGAACTCGTGCTCGTTTCGCGCGCTCTCAGCACCATTCACTGACGCAGACTAGGCCATCTGATGGAGAGTATTGACCGAGGTCTACTGCATCGTGCTTTCTCTGTCTTCCTCTTCGACTCTCAGAACCGACTCCTTTTGCAGCAGCGCGCGACCGAAAAGATCACGTTCCCGGACATGTGGACAAACACTTGCTGTTCACACCCACTAGGTATACCTGGCGAGACCGGCGTCGGACTCGAGGAATCGGTGCAGGGTGTACGTCGTGCGGCGGTACGCAAGCTGGACCACGAGTTAGGCATCAAAGCATCCCAAGTCCCCATTGACGACTTCAAATTCCTTACTCGGATACATTACAAGTCGCCCAGCGATGGCAAGTGGGGTGAGCATGAGAGTAAGTCTATGGTTAGCCCTCGAGCTGTACAGAGTACTCACAGTCCCTTAGTCGACTACATCCTCTTTATCAAAGCAGACGTAGACCTTGACGTGAACCCAAATGAGGTCCGAGACTCTCGTTGGGTGAGCCAGGATGATCTGAAGACCATGTTCAAGGACAAGTCCCTAAAGTTCACGCCATGGTTCAAGCTGATCTGTGAGAGCATGCTTTACGAGTGGTGGAACCACCTTGACTCAGGCCTGGAGAAGTACATGGGAGAAACTGAGATTCGACGCATGTAACGGGGAGGCCGCATGACCTGTTACCAGAAATGACAAGCACTGTGCCGCATGCCTGCTCACTACGCTTTCTGCCTTGTTTGTAATGTTCCAAGGCCTGGGAAGACATTCTCGGCCAGACCCGCTCGCTATATCATAGTGAGGCAACCACTGCAATCTTGTTTACATAGATATCAGAGGTGCTACTGGACTACAGTCATTGATCAACGTTGATTCCCCACGCCCGCAGCCGTCGGATGCAGTGGACCCGTTGTGCGTGCATGCGCGTCTTGCTCTCCTATCATTCGGCCGGAGACGATAGTCTACAGAAGCCAGCGCCCCGCACCACCCCTTTGTATGTATTACGAATAGTGCTATCATTCATATGGAATGCCGACTATAAGCACCCGTAAGCCGATGGATGCTCTAGCCATTAGTCTTGCTTCAGCTGTAACAGAGCTTGTCCACACAGCTCCTTGAATGTGTAGACAACCAAACTACACTTGGCTGATTTGGGCAAGGCCAGCCGAGGTATCACCCCCTCAACGTCTTACCGGACGGCACCCTATGCCTTCAACAACCAGGTGCTTGCCCAGGTAACCTCTGCTTGCTGTGCCACAGACCCGGCTTCCAGGATGTCTTCAGCCATGTTCAGATGCCACATGGATCCAGCAAGCGTCCGAGTCGGATCGGACCGAACATGATGTAGAGAATCACGACACCAAAAGATAACGGGGGGAGTGCACGTCAAGCTAGTGGATCGATACAGAGATAGATCCCGCTACAAGGTACAAAGTACGTCAAGCATGGCCTCCACCTCCATCTGTATGGCCTGGTGGGCCGATCAGGGTAGGGGCGGAGTGTATCATGGCCCCCGTGTCCTCCCGTCTGTGTCCTCCTTCAACGGCATCACGCTGAGCTTACCGGTACCTCGTGCATTCGTCCATGGCCATTCTTAGCTTTGCACCAACCATATCTCGGTGACTATCCCACCCCCACGTACGTCCACATTCCACTGCAGCTGGACTTCGCTTCACAACCTCTTACGCTACACAATCGCTGCCGCCCTACGTTGGCCAAGCATCGTACAGCAATCCATAATTGATCTTGTGACAAGTCCTCCGACGAGTCAAAAGCAAGACGGATTCCTTTATAGCTAAACATCGACATCCACCAGTTCATAAGTCCGAGACAGCGCATCGATAATCGCATCTATCCACACAATTTAAGCAAGAAGACCTCGTCGGTCCTCCTTCTATCATCACATCAACCTCGCAAAGGGAGCTCATCTAGCCCACCCTATTGATGTCGGTTGATTCACGACAAGCCTTCACCTCCCTACGCTACCCATCTCGAGTCGAATCCGTCTCGAGATCGCAGCTCTCTAGAGAACAGACAGGAGATAATACGCGCCCAGCTGAAACATAAAGCAGCAAGACAAGATCTGTGAAAGGTATATGATGAGCAACGGCAAACTATGCTCGCAGGGCTCTTGCTTGGCCCGATAATTGTAACTTGCAATCAGAGACTAATCAGCACACAGTAGCCTTCTTTTTCTGGACTGACGGTCTTTTCAAAGATACAACAGTAAAGACAAAGATCTAGTTCAGATCAACGACTAACCCGCTCGCCTATCAGCTCGCCTGCAAAGGGCTATTCACGCTGGCTTACTCGACTCAATCCATAATCAAACGAAGCGGCAGATCCCACCTGAATACTAGTAAAAATCCACGTCCACAACCGCAATCATGGCGAAAACGTTTGCTCCTGTTACGCCCGTCGCTTGCAATCACGTGGAGCCCAGGTCCGCCGTGAAGTCTCCATCTGCTTCTTCTGCCGTCAACAATGTTTCCATGTGCATCAGCGATGTCACACCGGCCAGCTTCAAGATTCTGAAGCAAAAGCCGACATCTATGCCTGCCACGGCCACGGCCACGGCCACGGCCACAGCCACAGCCACAACGGCCACTGTTGCTGCCATGCCTCCGCTCACCGACGGCGTCCGCGTCGTTACGGCTGCGGAGTACAAGCAGGCGGCACTGTGTTTGGCAGAGGCGTTTGCCGAAGATGAAGTAGCCATGTATTTTATCGATGTGCCAGATCGTGAGCATTGGACTAAAGAACAGAAGTGGGCGCTGCATGTTGAAATCATGGAATATGTCACTTATGCTCATATCCTCAAGGGACTCGTGACTACGGTCGGAGACTTTGAGGCCGTAGCACTATGGTATGTTCTCCCTCCTTCTCTTCAAAACATTCCCCTACTGGAAGTCGCAATCCCCACACACACAACCACATCTTACATGACATCGTCCCCAACTGACCTCCCCATCCAGGATGCCCCCAGGCCAACACACCGACTCCCCCCTCACCCTCCTCCGCTCCGGCCTCTGGCGCCTCCACTACCGCCTCTCCCCCGAATCTCACACCCGCTTCTTCACCGAATTCCTACCCCTCCTGCACACCACCATGACGCTCGTCCTCGGTCCCCGCCTACCCCAAACCTGGTACCTCGTCTACCTGGGCACGCGACCGGGCGCGCGCGGCCGCGGCCACGCCCGCACCCTCGTCGAGCATGTCACGCGTGTTGCGGACCGCGACGGCCGGCCCTGCTATCTCGAGTCGAGTAATCGGCGGAATCCGCCGCTGTATCGTAAGTTTGGGTTTGTGGAGAGGAGGGTGGTGGTGTTGCAGCGGGGGAGTAGGAATTTGGAGCTTGATGTCATGGTTAGAGAGCCTGTTGGGGGTGGGGGAGAGAAGGCGTAGTGGGTTTGAGTAGGTGGTCTTGTTTGGATTTTGGTGGGGAGCGGGGAAGGAGATGGGAGATGAAATGAGTGAGTAGCATACATTCAACATGATGCACTCGAGGGTGATTTCAGTGTCCACATACCCATGCCCTTTTCAAAGACAAGCCGTGTTTGACCCTTTACAGATTCTTCAACAGCGTCTCGTCTTCCTGCTTTTTCACCAGTGGCCAACTTTTTACACACTTGTATACTCTCCCTCACAATCTCGACATTCATTGCCCAGATCAAAGAAAAACTATCATCCTCACCACCATTACACGCGAAAAGTCAAGTGTCTCCGCCACCATTTGTCCATCTGTCTTTACGTCGTCTGCCCATTTTCCCTCGTAAAAGCCAGCGTTGACCATCCATCCCACCCAGCAATCCCATCCATCATCCACCACCAATGCCAACGAAAACAGCACCTAGACTTGATACTGAGATTACGAAATTCAATGTGGACATGATAGAGCGCAAAATCCGTTCTTTTCTTTTTCGACTTGAACTCTTGTATTTGAACCCCCGGCCCCGTCCCGCTTCTGGCTTTCGCTTCTGCTCTCCCCGCCTCACGAGGCATCAAACATGCAGACGCACATGTAGTATTTAATCCGCGTCTTTGTTTCTACAGAGGACCCGAACAGACAGGGTAAGCAACCACCATGGAGCAAAAAAAGGCAGACAGGCAGGCAGGCAAGCAAGCACAAGAGAGCATTGCTTGTCTGTACAGTGAGTGTCTTTGTACAATCTGGCCTATACTATACATTGATACGTACGCCCCAAAACAGCCCTTGGAATGCCCAAGTGCAGCACGAAAGAAAGTAGGGCCAAAATAGTGAGAGGCAACGAATGCCGCACAATCGACTCAAAGGGCGGGGCGAGGGGGCGGAGATGGAGCGGGAAAGACCCTGGAGGCCGTGCTATCTACATACGCTGTAGGCCAAGGATCTGACATTGCAAAACGGCTAGGGACTGATGGTTGCGACATGAAATGGTACGCACGGATTAAATGCTGTCTGTCTGCACGATTCTTTCCTCGAGAGCGTCGCCCATGTCCGACTAATACATGTTGGGTGGACCTGGGCGACCCTGCTGCTGCCTTGGCCCAGGTCCGCCGAATTGGCCATCAAACATCATCCTAGGGTCTTCTCCACGCATGCCAGGCATCGGTGGTCCGTAACCCGGTGGTGGGAAATAGCCCTGAGGCGGGCCGGGCATGCCGTTCCCAGCCGGGCCACCAGGACCACCAGGGAAGCCCATGCCACGCATATTACCCCCAGGCGGTGGGAACCCTGGCGGGTGACCTAGCGGAGTGTTGCCAGCTGAAAAGCTTGGCCCTCCAGGTCCTACTTGCTGCGGGCCTGGCCCACCGAGACCTGGAGGCTGGCGCATGGGACCTCCAAAGCCGGGCGGTGGGGCGATGTTGGTTCGCTCCTGTGGTGTGGGAGGCATGCCTTGCTGACCTCTTCCACCCATATATGGCATATCTGGGACGGGCTGGGATGGGATGCCCATATTCGTCGTCATGCGTGGATCGCCACCCGTGTTACGGCGCTGGAGACCCATGAGGGGATCGTCATGACCAGGAAAGCCCATGGGCATGCGGTTGTTCTTGACGCGCATGGCCTCCTGTTGTTGCTGTTGCATATTAAGCTGTTGTCGGAGCTCTTGCTCGCGACGGTCGTTCTCTCGGCGGAGAATTTCACCTTCATTGTACATACGAGGATCTTCCATGAAACCGGGAGGGATACCACCGCGACCTTTAGGCTGCTGTTGTGGCTGCTGTCTAGGCTGATCGAAGAATGCCATGTTATGGCTTTCCTGTGGAGTGCGATTTGCATTGTGATTGAGCATTTGGGGAGGTGTAGCCCGAGTAGGTTGTTGCATAAGGGTAAGGAGAAATTCTCGTTCACGCTGCTTCGTCGCCTGGTCCCGATTTGCGTCCTCGCGACTACGGCTGTTTAAAATGGCTGCAAGGTTTGAGTCTTGAGGAGTGTGTCTCTGCGGCGGTGGTTGATGTTGGAAATGGTCTTCTGGGTGACTGGACTCAGGTCGCGGGAGCCTGAACTGTTCGGGATGTGCGTTTTCTGGTGACATGTTATGGAAGCGAGATTGTTGTGGCATCCGCTGCTCAGGAGCAGCAGTACGTTGTGCCAGAATGCTGTCCAGAATGCTCTGCTGTTCCACAGTCCGTGGAGGCAGTCTATTGTGTTGAAGCTCTGGCGGCGGCGATTGCTGATGGAAATCCAGCGAGACACCTCCGCCATGGCGACTTCCATTTGTACTAGTTGGTATATTTGACTGCGTGGATGTTGGGCCACCGACGTTGACTTGTCCAAGCATCTGCAGAATACGCTGAAAGCCTTCCTTGTCGGCATTGGCTTCCATGACAGGAGCTGGCGAGGCTGGCTGAGGCGCAGGCGGTTGACTTGACGTGCCAGGCTCCTCTGGTTTTGCGAACATGTTCATGAAGCGTGACTTCTTGTCTGCCTTGGGCTTCGCAGAGATGACCTCCGGGGGTGCAATGTCGCCTCCTGTATCTCTGCCCCAATTTCCGAAGAGGATGCCCTGTGTAGAATCCACACCAGAGTGGCCATGTAATGGCTGCGTCAACATAGGCGGCACCGTAGCAGAGGTCGCGATGGCCCTGTCCGTGGGAGCATCTCGGGCGTCGTCCCTGTCCTCTGCTGGTGCATCCTTGGCTCGCATCTGCTCCTTCCAACGCTGAAAATCCTCTTGTGTGCGGGGCTTGATTTCTTTCTTCTCTGTCTTGGTGTCCAACCACTCTGGCTCTTCTTCGGCCCGGACATTGTTTCCCCCCCGCGTCCAGTCCCGCTCCCTGTCACGCTCTCGCTCGCGGTCTCGGTCGCGCCAGCCACCTTGTAGACCTGGCTTGGTATCCTCCTTGACCTCCTCACGGCGACCCCATCGCGGCTCTGCACGTTCGCGATTTGTACGCCGATGGGATCCCTCAGGCTCCAGCTCACCATCTGCCTTCTCGCGGGAGCGATCGCCATTGCCGTTGCGAGCAAAGCGCTCAAAGTCTTCTTGTCCTATGCTTTTGCGACCCTTGACATTCGTCCAGCCCTCACCTTCTTCTCGTGGCATGCGGCGTCCATTCGCAAAGCCCTTGTCACGAGGGCGATCGACATCACGGTCGCGCGTCCATCGCTCGTTCTTCTCACGCGGAAAGCGGTCGCCAAGATTGTCACCGTCCATGGAAATGATGCCGGCACGCTCTTTTGCGTCTCCCGCTGCCTTGGCTGCTGCACGAGAGGCAGAAGCAAAAGCTAGTTTGGGAGGACCGAGGACTGTGTCTTCGCCGGGTTCTACAAAGTATTCCGTTAGCGGCCGACACCGTACCCTCGCTCTTGACACTTACGCATGCTCTGTCGACGACCAAACTGTCCCATAGGGTTGATCAATGGGCGTGACTCATTCGTCGCACTGGTCTCTCCTTCTCGTGCACCTCGGGCGCGGCGCGCGGTGCCATTATTATTCGCCTGGACGTTGTTGCCCTGGTCCGCGGGGACCTCCATCCATTGTGAGATTTCAGGCAGGCCATCTGGCTTCTTTACCAACGGCGACTCCTTGAGAGCCAACAATTGGTCCTCAGAATAGACGGGACCTCTCATGCTCACAGGCCAGATGGGCGTGCGGGCAACCACTGTATGTGGGAGGTGATGGGCTGTAATGAAGTGCGAGCGGGAAGTGTCGAACGTCTTCTAGTTCCTCAGCGAGAGACGCGATAGGGGAAGGCGACAATGAAGCAAGGCTGGAGAAAAGCGTGGCTGTACGGGCACGATAGAGGGGCAGGTTTGCAGACAGTCGTGTGGAGAGCAGTAGAGTGCCCGTGGCGAGAGTAAGCTGGTTGCTTGTGTTGGTATAAATGTATGTGGGCGGGGGAGGGAGGGAGGGTGAATTGATATGCGAGCGTGTGTGGGAGCAATAGGATCGTGTGGCCTACAAGCGTGCAAGTGATGTCGGTCGCGGTACTCGAGGGGTTCAGGTGGGATGCAACGTGGATGGGGAGCACACACCCCTGCTGGGTAGCGGCGTTGAAAAGCGGAGAAGCAGGTGCTCGGCCAGGTGCCGATGGCGGCTGTGAATGTCGTTCGAGCGAGCAGGTGCTCGGTGTATGGTATTGGATGTGCTTTGGTCAATGTGTAAATAATAGCGGGCGGTTGTAGTTGTTGTGCAATGTCTCAGGGTTGGCGTATGTTAGCTGGTGTTGCTGTATGCGCAGTCCGCTGTTGCCAAGCAAGCACACACATTGCGGAACAAAGTAGATGCGTCATTAGCATGTGACCTGTCTCCTCTCTCTCGTTTCTCACCCCGACACTACCTTCACACACACACGCACATACACACGCACACAGAATTGGGACTCTCTGTTCTATCTTTCAGAGGAGCAAGGGGCATTTTGAGTAACTTGACATGCCTATAATATGGAACTTGTAGAATGCTTCATACATATATTTCAGTAGTCGGCCTCAAAAGTCACCTGCGGGTGTCATCCATTCATCAACCGTACATGCGAATAACAATGCAATGGGAACAACACCTGATGGAAAGCATACAAAGGCCAGTAGTAGTGTTCTTATCAAAGGCAGAGCCAAAGCGGATTTTATTATTGCTAGGAATCAGTTCTCGATCATGCACTACTTCGGCTCAGCGACGCCACAGTCTCTTTCATCGCACCACTGCTCCATTGCGCCACCTTGTCTTGGTCACATGTCTCGTAGACACGCGAGGCAAGCACCCGAAGGGCTCGATGACGAGAGTCGTGGCCATCGAGCATGATCTGTATCCATGACATCAGCCCACACCTGGTGATAAGCGTAGTACTGCCTCCGACGTGCGTAGCTCGAAGTAAAAGTCGCACAATCTTCTCTTTGGCTGCCACAGCGCAGGATCTTGAGCTATAGTGGCTGAGCAGTTGCTCAAAGACGTTACTCCTGCGAAAGAGCTCCATGTCTGTTGACGTTCGAAGCGAGTCAAGCAGGTAGTCGAGATACCACTCCACCTCTGCATGATAGGCGCCGTCGTCGTTGGGCTCGGTGGCCACGATGCGGTGCCAAAAGTATCGCAAGAGAGAATGAACATCCCATGACGGAGACGCAGTCAGGAACCTATTGATGATGCTGAACAGTGGAAGAGTCGGATCGGCCACGATACTGGCGCAGCGGGCTGCCAGTGCCCCGCCCACGTATGGAAATGGCTCCGAGCCTGTAGGATCGACTGACTCGAGTATCTCCCCGAATAGAAGGTAGAGTTGCTGCAAGTCGTGATCAACGTGACTGGTTTGTTGTTTATCCTCTGCCCTGTATTGTTCTCCCGTGTTCTGATTGGAGGTACGAAGAGTGGCCATGAGTTGCCGAAGGCTCTGGATGGCTTGAATGCGGATTTCTGCGTGCTCGGAGCACAGGCAGAGCAACAACTCTCCTATATCTCCGTCATCAATGGCTTCTGCCAAATCTTTCTTCCTCCATCGTGTTAGACCAGTGTGCCTCTTGTCTTCCTTAGGCGGCGCTTCGAGATCGACATCAGGCCGATTCTGTGCGGGCTGCTCCGGTTCAACACGAGGGACTGGGGAGCTCGTGGATCTTTCCGAACCACTAAAGTCGGCACCAGTGGCCAGCTTCAGGGCTTCTTTGGCCCTCTCTTTCCCCATTTTCCACAAAAAGGCGTCCTTCAGGACCTCCTTATATGCAGAGTTCGCCGCCTCCATCATCGTATCGCGAACACCGCTCAACAACGTCTCGTCTTCACCTATGAGCTTGAGCAAGTAGAGAAGTCTGGACAACCATTGGGCAAGAGCATCGGACGCGCTGCTTCTTTGGGCGTCACCTCCTCTGAAAGGCCATTGCTCGACAAATGTCATCAGAATAGCACTAAACGGTCCGGAATTGTCCACAGATCGCGACAAGCGCACGCACATGGTGTCTAAGTCATCGAAGTACTTGATTGGTACTTTGATGAAACGTGCACAACAATCATCAAGGAATTCGAGCACATCGTTCGAGGGTGCGTCTGATCCAGAAGTTGCACGTAAACTTGCAATGAGGGCATCCAAAGCATCAGGGGAGGTCGTTGTTTGCAGCATCTCCTGATTGTGTAATACTTCACTTAAAAGACTTTTGATGCCCCCATACGTTTCACTATCCTTAGAAGTGACCAACAGCTTAAGTAGAGTGACGAATGGTGAATGTTGGAGTGATTCTGAAGAGGTCAATCATGGTGTTGTGACAACAGTATATGGGCACTTACTTTGCTTTTGCCACCAGCGCATCGCGGGGGATAATCTTGCCATCTGAATCCAGTGTTCAAGCTCCATGACGCGGAAAGCTTTGACATCCAACGAGGATGCAGACTTCTCTGCATCTACTAGGGCGCTGCAAAGCGGAAGTGAAACGTCAAACTTTTCTTGCAAGGCAACTTGGGGTGTTACCTCGTAGTAAAAACGTAGGAGTCTTGTTATCGATTCACGCTTCATGTCTTTGACTCCAGGTTTCTTCAGTGCAAGGAAAACAGTTCGAATTGATGGACAACGTCGGCTGACCTCGGTGATTAGGCGCTTGCTTGCTTGCTCCCAATGCCTAGATGCTCTTACAGCACTAGCGTTATTCAGCTCTTGAACAACTGCCTGAAGCTTTTGGAGAGCGACAATGAGCACACGAATAGCGAAGAGCTGTACCAAGTCGGAGTTGTTATTAAGACACTTTGTGAGGACCTGCTGGTTCAGGGGTTGGGGGAGGATACTCTGAAGTAGGATAGGCACTGGAGGGGGCTGATCGCGGTAACCTTTTCTTGCACCAAAGTATTTGGGAACAGGAAGCTGAATAGTCTGGAATAAGAAAGCGGAGTATCCTATCCAGGTCGCAGTGAGTTTGGGATCGTAACTAAAGTCTCGTCGTCTGATGAAATAGTCTGCCACCAATTCAGGACATGCCTTGAAGATATCGATGACAAGTTCTTGATGCAACGTATTTGCGTATGGCCTCAGGCTCTGCGTAAACTCTGAAAGGATGATGTTGCGAATTCTACCCGTCTTGCTGTAATTTTCTGCCGCTTCGAGGCCCAAGTCATTACCGTACTCTACTGCATCGTCCATTTCGGCTTCGTCATCGTCTGGTGTTGAAGGATACATTCCGGCTGTCGGTAACATTACACCATAGGCAGGATCCGTACAGACAAAACGTAGGAATTCGTGGGCCAGTTGATCTGGTGGGCTCTGCCCTTCTGTGAGGGAGCCCTCTTCCACCTCATAGCTGTAGAGAGAGGCTATCCGTGCCAGCGTCTTACCGCTCAGTATACGGCTTTTGATGTGGCGTACGATTGTCTTGTCCTGGAACACATGGCTCTTAAAGACGTGCAGAATCTCATGTATCAGAAACGGAGGGTCTGTCCGGATGTGGTCGAAGACGGCTCGCACCACATTCGTATTCGTGACTATCTCGCTCTTGGCACGTTCGTCCTGGTACCTCAGATGCGTCAAGAGATACCTGATGGCTGTTGTACGAATGCTCGGCTTTTTGACGTGGTCGTCAGCTGATTGTTCCCGGCCCAAGTTGATGTTCCTGCCCAGGATCTTGGGTTCGAGTGTGAAGTCCCGCTTTGCGTATACAGCCCTTGCGTGTGCACCCTCGTTAAATTTTGTGAGCTCAGTCAGCAGTCGCAGTGCCGGAGCAATGACTTTCTCTTGATTTGGTGCGGCCGAAGTACTGCGAACAAAGCGACGAGCAATGGCGGGCTGCAACAGTGTTTTGGCGAGGAGGGTGCCATAGTCGAGGAAGTCTGCATGAGTGGAGAAGATTTTGAAGAGAAGGGCAAGCACGGCGGTGACCTGGGAAATGACAGCATCGTGATTCGTCTCGGCAGCGTGGTCCCAAGCCTGAGTGAGGTTCTGCAGAAAGGCCTTGTCCTTCTCATCGCGGCCACGGCCCCGGTCCTTCTGGCTGTCGAGGTATTCGCGGAGGATGGCGCGCTTCCGGGGCAAGTCGTCGTCGTCGGTCGAGTAGAGGATGGAATCGAGGAAGCGCTTAAAGAGGTTCAAGCCGGTGCGAAATTCGCTCTGGTGGCTCTGGTCGAAGAGGAGCGCCTGCTGCAACTCGCGCGCAGACGTGACTTTCTCCTCTGTGCCTCCATTGGGGTGCGGCGAGTCGCGCTCGATGCTGCCATGAGTTCGCTGGCGCTTTGCATCGCGTCCAGAGTAGGCAACACCCTTGCTGTTGGCCTCCAGAGCCGTGCGTTTCCCCATATTCCCAATGTTTGCCCAATGTTTGCTCCTTGCGCCTTTCTTGCGCAGCTCGAAAACTTCGGCGGGTTTGGAGATAATTTCGGACAGGGATGTGGATTCGAGACAATTGACATTGGGGCTAGCCTAGGTAACTTTGGAACTGGCCACGCGCTAAGCCGGGCCAACGTCACCCCTCATCTTCTTTCCATGCTTCCTTCACTCGCTCTTCACTCACTCTTCACTCACGCTTCAATTCACCACTCTTTATTCCTATTCAGCCACTCCGCAGCTCCCCTGCGTGATTATGGCTATTTCCCTAGATATGTCTTTATGTTTATGTGATACATGCGCGCAAAGTGATTTATCCCGCCTCTCTGTCTCTGTACTTCTGCCGTCATCTCTTCTTCTCTTCTTCCCTTGTATATCATGATATATAATGCATGCGTATCCTACGCTCGTCATGTCTTCTTTTCTCCTCCCTTCATTATTTCTTAGGCCCTCCTTTGTCTTAATTTCTCTTCACTTCAGTCGTGTCATTACATTCCATAGATTCACGACGATCGCCGAGCCCTACCCACACGATGTCACCACGCAACGAAATTTGCCTCTCCTCCAGCCCGCGCGGCCTATCCTCAGCCAAGCATCAGAGTGTGTGGCATCTACTCCTATGAGTTGTCGAGAGGGCCTGGAATGATAATTTATTCCATCTGCAGCAGCAGTGCAACGAACGCGACGGCATCCGTCAAGGGAGCAACAGTACCGGAGATTCTCACTCTTCACCACCACCAAGTTGCAAAAAGAATGCCATCACTGCCATCAATCGAATGCCACCATCACGAATCGAACTTACAACGCCACCGGGGCCAAAAGAAATGGCAAAAATGACAAACTCAAGTACAAGAGGCAATTGCTAAAGCCCGGAGACCCAGCTGCTTTAAATGAGGGAGGCGAGCATGTAGGTTCAGGGTAAACAGGTGTTTACGGCAGCCTCTCGACGCAAAACCCCATTCCGCTACACTGTCTCTCTGTCTGATGAGATATTGATCAACTGTTGCTCTAATATACTAGGATAAATACAGTACAAGTGGCCAACAAAGTGATCACGGCGCAGCAGTCGCTGTAGTCAAGGTAAACGCAAGTGACTAGGCGGATATCTGAGCAAACGCAGTGCGGCGGCTGGGGTCCGCCTTCACCTCCCAACACCACATGCCAGAATCTTGCCTGCGTACCTTGACTAGATAAGGTGTTGAATTGATTCGCCTAGATCAATTTGCATGTGCTGGAAATGTCGCATCGCTCGCATCATAACATCGGCGACATTGTTGTAGGGGGAGTAGCAGTTGGGTTTAGCTAGGAAGCACCTTCGAGATACCTGCTGTTGGCAAGTTGTATTCTTAGTACACAATGGGAGCTATTGACAGAGGCTCTAACAATATCACAACCCGTATGGGGTACTAAAAGGGCTATGGGACCATGCTCGGTGGGTGTAAGGCTCGAAATCAACATGGAACCGTGGTTGGATTCTTTGCTCTGGTCGATGACTTCCAAATATCGCAATCACGCTTGCTATATCTTGTACACGAGCACGCCAAATAACTGATACACTGGGATCACGAAGTCGGGTGTGTCAGACCATTGGTGGTGGTCTCATACATCCCTAGGTAGGATGGCCTCGCTAATACTTCGTGGTCTACAAAATAAACATCGCATGCTTGCACCAAATCACAAGACCATTGTAGTTGCATTTAATAAATTTGTATCAAACATGTCAAATTGGCTGCTGATATAATACAATACCACACCAAACCCCTTCTCCACATCACCATCCCATCGACTGAAGTTGGCACGAGCTTTCCCAAAGAGAGAGAAACAGCTCGCTCCATCATATGACGTCACATGCACCACCTCACCACCCACCACCCTCTTCCTCCAACCACCCCCAAAAGTACTTCTGGACTAGTAGTATTTCCTAACGGTGCCGGTCATCCGAGACCGGCCAGCCTAACAATGTCCGAAAACATCTGCTCTCGAGCCCCATACGCGCTCGCGCTACAGGTAACCCAGCAAAGTCCTTCCCGTCTCCACAAACTTCGAAGATTGCGCCGCTAGACCTCTGGTATGACGAAATGGGTGTGCCGGCATAACCATTCATGGGTGGTGGGCGGGGGGGTTGTGTAGGATATTCATCTGCCTACTGAACATAGATAGGTAGCATGTTCTGAGATTCCATTGTCAACGTATTAATTAATTTTTTCTTAATTGCACTAGATATTTTTCGGCGAGAATGAGAATCCGGGAGAAGAAGATGAAGCCGAGGGAGGCGGATGAGGGGAGTGAAGAAGAAAGACCGCCAGCAGAAGTAGGACTTCGTGACCGTCTTGCGCATTTTACTTGGTATGTGTCAAGTGTGTCGAATGAGAATTCGTACGTATTCTGATACAAAAGTTTCGCAGGCCATGGTTCGCCGCCACCATGTCGACGGGTGCGCTCGCTGTCGTGCTGGGTAATACGCCGAATACATTTACCGGACTACGGACGATTGGAAAATGCTTCTTCATCTTCGACATTATCCTGTTCCTGCTGTTCAATGGACTGATGATGACGCGATTCATACTGGTTCCGCGCAAAATATTCGCTTCACTGCATCATCCGGTGGAAGGACTCTTCTTCGGGACGTACTGGGTGTCTATTGCTTTGATTCTAAATTGTGCTTATATCTACGGTAAGGCCGAGACTGGTGATTGGCTCAACAAGGGGCTTGAAGTTACCTTTTGGATGTACTGTGCAGCCGCTTTCATCGTGGGCGTTGCCCAGTATGCCATGTTCTTTCACCTGGAGCGACTGAGCGTTGTGGACGCGGTCCCGGCTTGGATATTTCCCGTAAGACTGTTCGAAACACCACATGTGGTGGATGCGACTGACTTTGCGCGACTAGATCTACCCACTCTTGGTCGTCGGAACACTGGCAGGAACTATACTACCCGGACAGTCAGAAGACGCAAGCTGGAAGATGTTTGTCGGTGGTGTCTTCTTCCAGGGTCTTGCCTGGCTCGTCTCCTTTCTCATCTATGGCATCTACATACAGCGACTCATGACCAGCAATCTGCCGTCACCGAGTGTGCGGCCTGGCATGTTCGTATCCGTCGGGCCCGCTGGTAAGTCCTGGGCACTACAGTGAAGCTCCGACCTGGCCCAGACGCCTGACATCTACAGGTTATACTGCAGCAGGAATGATCTCGCTCGCCAACCAAGCGCCCACCCTCATATCAGCAAACTACTGGACAGATACCACGGTCCCAGATGGAGAAATCGTCCGCATAATCGGTATCATGACTGGCCTCTTCATCATCCTCTTCGCATACTGGTTCTTCTTCATCACCGCCATTGTCGTCTTGGCCGGCATCGGTAGGATGAGCTTCTCGCTCAACTGGTGGGCTTTTATCTTTCCAAACGCGGGACTCACGCTGGCGACGATACAAGCTGCAAAGGTACTCAATAGCGAAGGTATGAAAGGTATAGCTAGCGCCTTGACGATATTGTTGGTCGTCATGTGGCTGATTACTGCTGTCTTCTGCATTCGCGCGGTCTATCGGGGGGATGTGCTCTGGCCCGGTAAAGACGAGGACAAGTCTATGGAGAGACTTGCTTGGGGTTGGAGAGGAAACATGGGTAATCCAGAGGCGCGTAAAATCATCCAGAGGATCAGTTCTCCAGCTTAAGTCAGCGCCACGTTGTTTCCTTGGTTTACCTTAGGATTCGTCGTAGACAGGCAAGACGTTTGTAGTAACGTTCAGTGCATGTCAACCCATGTGTGAAGTGTGAATTCTCGGTTCCATTGGGCGACGCTATCTGACCTTTCTTTTGAGCCACGCAGAGTAAGCAAGCAAGCAAAAGATTTCTCTTATAGGCACAGGATGATCAAAAGCACGATCGTTGAGCAAGGTGCAGTCTTCGATCGAAACAAGTAGCGCAGATCGCGGAGGGGAGGATAGGGATAAATATACAAGTAGGTACATACTGGTACTACAATACTGTGTTATACTCTCGGGCTCGGCGGTTTCAATATAGATTGTGGGGAACATTGGCGGTGACTTGGGTGAAGATCGGTCTTGGGTCCACAGGTGGTGGGCGGCGTGGCTGGGCACATGACCTCGCGTGGCCTCTGGCGGAATGCTTGGATCCAAGAGTTCCCGCCTGCATCAGAGAGAAGAATTTTGCTCGTGCCCATGTCCATCAAGGCTTCTAGACCTCTTCTGTTTCGGACTCGAAGCTGTGATGGTGGGTACGGAACTTGGCAGCGTAGATGGCATGTCTGGGCAGGCCGTGATAGCGTGAGTAGGGAGGTCTTGTGTGGTACACGTTACCAATCGATATCATCGTGATCTTGGGTGATACGATGCGTTACGGACAGAGTTACCTAGCAGCCAGTCTATCATCGTGATCGGTGTCCTCTTAAACCTTCTGACTGTGTTGTTGTCATCTTCGCGGACCGAGACTATGCAGTTTCTTCGGCGGTCGTGGGGGAAAGGCCTTGGGATAGGTTGCACAAAGGGTTGCTAGGAAGCAGTACCGGCCCACCATCGATCGTCATTCCAACGTCAAAGTAGGTAGCGGTGCCCCTCACCACCAAATTTTCCCATCACCACCTCCTCCTCCTCCTCCTCCTCGGCAAAGTGCTGTCTGCTTGCGGCTTGCAGTCATGCTTTGATACGTTTGAACTGATTCACGACATGTTCGAGTCTGTGCTTGCTCCGACGACAAGTGCGAACGGCCGTCCCCAGAGGCACCGGACAGGTCGTAGCACCGTATTTGTAAAATTGTACACAGGCGGCGGTTCTACTCACCCGAATCGCTGACCAAGTTGTCGTTTTGCTGCAGTCCATCACCAACTACCCTGCGGTCACCCTGGTAATGGTCGCACACAACTTCAGCAGAAACAAAAGTCTGGACCCCGCGACCGGCCGCAATAGCCATCAGTCTTGCACATCGGTTGGTCTTTGCCATCCTTGGCCGCTGGCGGAGAGGAACTGGTGCGGGGCTATTCGTCGCATCGGACGCATCAGAGGACGTATCGCCGTGTCCGGGGACGGAAGAAGCGGCACAATCGGGTCAACTTGCCACGCGTAATGCACGATTGAAGGCACAAGGAGACCGGCGCTGGCCAGGCAATAAAGCGCGTTGGCGAACCATTGTTGGCTGACTTGGCTGCTGGCGCACTGTGATTCGTTCATGGCTGGATTGCGGGCGTTGCTGGTCGCTTGTCTTGTCGGGGTAAAAGGGTTTTGGCGCGGTGCTTGGGTGGGCTTACGGTGGAGCATGGGGGTTTCCCACTCGCATGATATGGGCATTCCCCAGGCCTTGGGACTTCGTCTAGAGGCAGTATATAGGCAAGGCGTTCCCCACATGAAGGAGAGAGGCAGATATCACAGCATTCCCATTTGAGACGACAACATACATCACGTTACTACCATCTCATCCTCATTCTCAGACTTGATTTACATCGTATCAACATCTCCAAGACGCCTTCACTACTACAGTACCTTCTATCACCAAAGACCATGTCTTCGCCAACAACCCAATACGTCTACATTCCCAACCTGGTCGGAAGGCAAATGCTTCGCATCCCTCTCGACGAGGTCGAGGCAGAGGGCCAAATTACCCTCTCCTCTGACTGCTCCACCATGAACAACACCACATCCTCCACCTACTCTCGCGGGTCATCACCGTCTCCGAGCCTCCAGAGCGTCGAGAGCGTCCAATCAAACGAGTGATGATCTATCCACTCAAACACGGGTTACGCAATTCAGGGAGAGAGAGAGAGCAACCTTTGGAACATGAAACACTCCTCTCTCCTCTCAGTTTGTCAGATATCCACCACGAAACAAAACATGTCTAGAGTATTCGATGGATCTTCCTAACCATGGGGTCCCTCCCCACCCAACCGCCAAGCACATGTCGAGCCGGGCCGAGCATACCATCTTTCTTTCCTTTCACGAACCTTGACATCATCACGACGCAACGAACAAACCCCAGACTCGGGTTTCAGACCAAGAACAAGCCGCAACACGCACCGTGTTTCCCCTTGACTTTGAGTTTGAGTTTGAGACGCACAGAGACAGGGAGAGGGAGACTGTGTGTAGAGTGTGAGAAATTGAGAGAGAAGATCAGCAGCGTGAAAAAGTTTTCAACAGAGTACCAGGGATGAGCAAGATTTTTTCTTCTTCGCTTGCTTCGTTGCAAAAGGGCAAACTTGGGAAAGGGAAACAGAAGTGGCGATCATCGTGCAAGTACCGCAGTACGCAAAGCGCAGAGACGCAACGGGGCATTGAGGAACATGGAGGCTTGGCGGGTGTGGGGTTGAGGCCGGGGGTGACTCTTTTTTCTTTTTTTTTCTTGACGATGATCTTGGATACCTTTGTGATGGGGTAGAGTACCGTAGACTTTTATTTTATAATGATACGATGTTTATCACGTCATGATGCGTGGGGTGTCTGATGGCACGTGTCTGAATGTCTTTGTTCGCATTCTCGGGATTCGGGGAGTCGGGGACAAAGTAACCCTAAGCCATGTCTAGGAGTACCGGTATAGAGTAGTGTCTCGCCCATCCCAAAGATAGAACTCACACAAACTGGTGCACTAACAACCATAGTGATACCAAGTATGTAGGTATCTGCAGTACTGCAGACTCGCCGTGGATAGTGTGGAATAGGAAACTCCTCCTTGTAAGCAGGCCATACATGGATTGCGTGGGTTTTGGTCGACGTGAGGTGGTCGTAGGCAGATGAAAGTGGTGATTGCAGTCAAGGCAGTGTGTAGCGTACTCCAGTGAGCAACTCTAGAGTATAGCAGCTTGTCCTGGGGGTTTGTGACGACGAGGCTGAAGATGGGTGGAGGGCTGGGCTGGGCAATAAAAACAAGCCTTTGCGAGGATCGATCTGATTCGCGCACGGGCTACAATGAGCGCGCAAACGAATACGAGCTGGGAGGGCGGGCGGGAGCTAAGAATAGCGACAGGCTGTCCACCGTTCTACTACTAGGACCAGATGAGTTGTTTGTCTTTCCTATTTGCATTTGCCATTACCGTTACTGCGGTTAGTGGCCATTTTGATTCCACTTCCATTCGCCTCTTTTGATGAGGCAGCGGTTGCATGATCCTTTGTACCTAGGTTAGCTGTCCCTACCTAGCTTGCTTGGAAAGCAGCCATCAGCCGAGTGATCCGGACAACAGGAGTGCCAGGCCCCATCTTCGTTTTGTCTTCTTGCTGTGTCTGTTCAATGTTGCACGTCAGGACTCAGGTGCACACCGAGGGGAGCCTGGCTTGTCTTTTCGCGGGTACCTATGCCGGCGGATGTACAACGCCAGAAGGGCTCATGATACCGGCACCCACCCATGATGCGGCTGCATTGGCAACCCAGCATGGCTTTACGCTATCAACCCTACCGTACGCCTACCGAACAAGCTTTGATTGCTGCTGCTACTCTGACTCTGTGCCATGGAAAAGGCCAACACAGGCGCCCGCCCCTGTACTGCCGGCTTCTTTCAACTCCAGCACCCATCTCTACATAGCCTGGGCATACGAAGCGCCACTAAGCAGCGCGCAAAGCTTCAAGGCCAAAGCGGGCTCCTCAGGGGCATGTCTGCTGGCGTGCAAGTGTTGCCCATGGATGAATCATGACTCTCAAGCTGACGCGTTATCGGAGGCTGAAGACGGATCTACCCTTGCGACCTGTCCACCTATAGTCTTTTGCTTCTGGGCGCGCGTGTTTCGGACGGGGTCGCTGTCGCACTTGGTCGCAACTTTGGCAGTGCCAGACGGCGGTGATGTCACAATAGGCGTAACAGCCGTGCCAGTCTCCGCCAAGTTACCCTGCTTCACTTACTACTCTCCGCCTGTCTCCATCCATCTCCACTGATTCCTTCGCCAACAACCCTCACCAGCCTGCCGTGGCGCCGCCCAACAAAAGGTGACGCAAGTGCGACAAATCAGCTGTAAATTGTACGTACTCCAGCTACTACTCTACCGTACTTCCTACCTACCTACCTACCTACCTAGCCTCCACTGCCCTGCCTAGCCTAGCCCTCCCCCTTCATCGTCGACCGCTAACTCACCAACACAGTAAGAGAGTCCATACTTGCTACTACTACCACTGCTACTACTACTTCTACTACTACTCACTCCTCCCCCCGCCCCTGGGTTAACTTGCTCCCTTTTTGGCTGTTAACCATTCCGCTCGCTGGATACCTACTACACCACCTACATACAACCACATTGCCACGCCACCTACCCTCGCTTGTAGTCTCGGTCTCCGATTAGTTGTTGCGAGTACTACTAGCCCAGCTGCATTCCTGCCATCCGTGTTTTTTTTTGTCTCCTCTGGTTTGGCCCAAACAGCCATCAGAATATTCCCTGACCGCGGCTCACGTACATCGCCGAGTGGCCTAGCCATATCTATTTCCGCAATCACGACCATGTTCCTCCCCTCGTTACGCACCCAGAGTATCGCCATCCTCTCCCTATCCCAGCTGCAACATGCCATAGCACAATCCATCTCCATATCCCCTGGAACCACGGCTCCTGATAGCGCATCCGACTACATCAACCCGTCCTTTGCAGGCTTTGGCATTGAGCCCTCCAATCTATTTTCCTTCACAGGCGACGATGTGCCAAATCAATTTTCCGTGCAATTACTGCAGAATCTGGCAGATTACTCGGGCGCCCCCGCGCACATCCGGTTAGGAGGCAACACCCAAGACTACATGGTGTGGAACGAGACCAACACCAGGATAGCATGGACGCCCAACAGAAACTCCCAGGCACAGGGCGCCATCGCAGCCGACTCCATCATCATCGGTCCCGGCTACTTCACCGCGCTCGACAGGTTCCCCAAAGAAACACCCGTCACCTTTGGCCTGAACATGGCCTACATGGCCGACGACTGGGAAGAACGGATTGTGGCTTTGGCGCAGGGCGCCGTCAGTGGCATCAAGAATGTGAAACTGTATTCGTTCGAGGTTGGCAACGAGCCAGACTTGTGGCTGCAAAATTCCTTCCGTACCGCACCCTGGAACGGACAGACGTACACGAATCAATGGCTTGACCGATGCGAGGTCGTCTATGAGCGCGTTTTGAAGCCTGCCGGTCTTCCGTCTGCCTTCTTCGAGCCCCCAGCTACCGCATCGACCATTGGAACGACATTTGAGATTTCACAGCTCGTGGACGATGGCATCATGGAGGGACGCAATGGCGACAATTATATGACCGTGTGGAATCAGCACGATTACTACTACTGTACGTTCACTTAAGCTCCATGCGTCCGTACACAACTAACGCTTTGTAGTCATCGGCGTTACTCCAACCCCCCTGACCCTGGACAATCTCATGGACCTCGACAGCACCAACACGCAATTCGAATACTGGGAGAAACAGGTAAAGATCGCTCTAAACACAGGTCTTCCCTACGTGTTGCGTGAGATGAGTTCCGTCGGCCCTATTGGTATGCCCGGCGTCAGCGACACGCACGGTGCCGCGCTCTGGACCCTCAACTTCTTCCTTTACGCAGCATCCATTGGCATTTCCTCTGTGCAGATGCACATGACCGACAACTCCAACGCTAGTGCATGGCAACCCATTCCCATGTATGGTCGCGACACCAGCTTTGTACGACCACAGTACTATGCCCACGCTGCCGTTGCGCAAATCATCGGCAACGGCAACGGCACCACCCAAATCTCCTCCCTCAAGACCAGTAATGTTGGCGCCGCTTACGATGGCCGCATCCGTGCCTACAGCGCCTACGCCAACGACAACCTCCAATCCATCACCATGATCAACGCAAAGCAGGCCAACTCCACCTCGGACAAGGGTACCTTTACCTTTAATCTCAACCTCGGCTCCTCAAACGCCAACAAAGACGTCTTCCTCTCCTACCTCACCGCCGATGGTGCAGAATCGCAGACCGGCGTAACGTGGAACGGCATGAGCTACGACGACGTCACCGGTCTTGCTTCTGTTGTCGACAACCAGCAAAATGTAGTCAGAGCCGACGGGCAGGGCCGTATTGCAGTTCCCGTCCGCGACTCCCAAGCCGTCGTCGCAAATATCGGCTGGCAGCTCGGTGTCAACCTCGTCCTCAAGCCCGACGGCACACAGTCTAAGAAGAGTAGTGCAGCTTCGTCATCCATGCCTGGCGCCAGCCTCGCCTTGCTCACTAGCACGCTTGTGATGGTGGCCACGTTTACCATGTTTGCCAGTGCCTGAAGGGGTTAGATGGGGGATTTTTTTTATTTTATCGACACGACTCTACTTGCATCCTACGACCTACATTCCAGCCTTTTGGCGACGACCATTTCTAGCCTTGTATTCATATACAAGATGATGTCGTTCTTCTCCTTTCCTTTGTCTCATAGCATGAGGACCACGGGCATCAGGCATCACGAACGGCGTTTTTAGCATACACTTGGATATCTGGGCATTTTCAGGCGGTTCGTTTCGGGTTCGTTTCGTCTGGGTTTGCGTGTGGGGCAGTTTTTTCTTTCTTCATTTTGCATTTCATCTAAGAACATGGGGGGTGGGGGTTTGGGTATATACGTATGTATTATGGATGGTGAGGTTTGGGGGATTGGGATGACAGAATGCCCGTGAGATCAACCAAGGCACTCCTGATGCAAAACAGACTGGGGATATCGCGACGAGCGCATAAAGAGTGTAAGTATATTGCGTAAGCGAGCGGTGGAGATAGATGAGTGAGTATATATAATATCATCACGCACGTGCATGTTTTATATACATGTATATATCATTACCATGGGCATCACAGTCACACGGCTTGAGCAATCACAGGCTGTTGATGAGTTGTGAAATTGAAGGTGACTTTTCATTCTTTGACACGAATTTACCAGGTGTCCATCTAAGCTCGCTGTCGTGCAAGTTCCCAGTCGGGATGCCCTGCTTGATGCCGTACATATCCATCTGGCCCTGCTGATGCTTATGCTGATATCTATACCGAGTCGCTTATATAAAAAAAAAAGTCCGATTTTGATGTTGCATGACCCAGCACTTGAGCATGCTTGAAGAGAAAGCAGTCTTGATGTTTGCTTTTTTTGGTCATCTCGCGTGTATGATGTAGTAGCATGAGTGGATGCGGTCGTAAGCCGGGTGGACATTTTGTTCGCCGCCTGCCTCGCTCCCTTGCACCCTTCTCAATTTCATGAAAGCGAAACCTGCGCCACGTCGATGACGGCCTCCTGCACCGAATCATGCTTGGCATGTTTTCCCGTACCCACAGTGCAACCTCCCGGTACAGCCGCAGCTTCCATCCCCTCTGGCTCCTCTGGCAAGGGCGTCGCAGCAGCCTCCATCAGCCTCATGTGGTCCAGCTGGTCGAAGTAGTGGGATTCCAGCTGATCGCGGCGTCGCTCGCCTTCGTGGCGCTTCTCCTCTTGGTCCCGGAGGAGTTTGCAGTAGCTGTCGGAGAAGGGGCGGGCCTCGCAGGGCCAGTGGAAGACGCGGGCGCAATCGAGATAGATGCGTGGGTCGTTTGTGATGTATGGGCGAGGAATGCCGGGGACTTGGATGATGTAGGGCATGGTTGTTATTGTTGTTGGTGGTGAGAGAGGTGATGCTAAAGACGTGTGTGTAGTGATTGTGATATGGATCTTGTGAAGAGTGGAGGGGTGTAATGTTGATGGGTGGTGGAGTTGTTGCGAGTAGCGCTTGAATGATGTGGTGGTGAGTGATAGAGAGAGAGGAAGAGAGGAAGAGAGTGGGAGAGAGAAATCCGAAAAAAGATACCGGCGAATGTTTTCAGAATAATGCAGAGCTTGGATCAGTGGGCTACAGGGTAGAGTCACGATAGCTGGACACGTGTGGAAGCTGGTTGGCTTAGCAGGTTTGGTCAGTGGTAGATGTTGGTGAGGCGGCGGTGAAGGGAGGGCTGGCTGGATGCTCCGGAACGCGTCGAGTTATGCAGGAACAGGAACGTCGTGGATGCAATCATGGTGTAACACCCGATTTACAGAATGCCCCGGAATAATATACATGGAGCGTGTCAGCACCGGGGGATCCCCACGATGCCGAAATGGGGCGGGGGCGTCGTCCATGTTTGATACACAGGTGACACACAAGACGGACAAGACTCGCTATCCTGATTAGTTTTCACTTTCTACCAACTAGAGTAGGTATCTGGTATCTGGTATGTACTAGGTATAAGGTGCCCCAAGGGGAAAGGCTGGTGGACGTTGGATGAGGCTCAACTGGCTCGCTGTCTGCCGAGTGTGGGGGGGGATGATTGTCTCGACTTCTCTTCTTCTTCTTCTTCTTCTTCTTCTTCTTCTTCTTCTTCTTCTTCTTCTTCTTCTTCTTCTCCCCCACAATGTGGAAATGACTCAATTCCGCAGAGAGGTACCTAACCTTTGCAGGGCTTACATAAGCCAAGCCAACTTCACCCCTCCAAAGCTCTGGGTGCAAATGCACACTAAGATAACATACTCACTCCGCTATGAACTGATCCTCATGTACAAATCCATTCGAGCTACTACAACGAGACGATCGCTGCTGTTCATCTAAAAGAGAAGAAGAAAGAAAAAGGCAAAAAAAAATAGCCTCCCCTCATAACCCACAGTCTCCCGCCATGAGCGCCAACACTGGTACCGACTCCACTCCGTCCTCGGATTTCGACGTCGTCACGGCATACCGACGAATCCTTCGCGATGATGCCGAGCTCACCATGCCCGTGGCCGCCATAGAAGCACTGGTCGAGGCGATTGCGCAGAGCTCCGTATCCACCGTGGCCGAAACCCTGGCCCTGCTCGAACGCCATACCGCCGCCCTCAAGGCCTCGATTGCGAATCCCATCTCTCTGTCTGCTGGCACCGACCTCTTCCAGCGCTATCTCATCACCACCCTCAACCGCCCCGCCAGCCTGAACCTCGGCCCCGACGACGACTTTCGCGCAATTCGCAACCACCTACTCTCCAATGGCAAGCTCTTCGTCGAGCGCGCCAAGCAGAGCAGAGAAAAGATTGCCAGCTTCGGCAAGCATTTCATCCGTGACGGTGCCACCGTGCTGACCAACGGCGGCTCGCGTGTCGTCGGCGCACTCCTGCGCCGTGCAGCTGAATCGAGCACTCTTCGCTTCAATGTCGTCTACGTCCTGCCTTCCTCTGCCTCGTCTGACTCTCACGAGGGCCACCAGATCGTCGCCGACTTGCGCGAGCATAACGTGCCCGTGGCCACTATTCCAGACTCGGCCGTCGCATACTCCCTAGGCAAAGTGGACATGGTCATTGTCGGGGCTGAGGGCGTGGTGGAAAATGGTGGCATCATCTCGCGTCTCGGTACATACCAGCTGGGTGTATTGGCCAAGAGCAAAGGAAAGCCTTTTTATGTCGTCGCAGAGAGCCACAAGTTCGTCCGCTTGTATCCCCTCAGCCAGTTTGACCTTCCCATCAAGCAAAATATACTCGATTTCAAAACAGCCAATGATACTAGGAGCAAGGAAGACGGTCCGCAGAAAGAGGACGAGCAGAAGAACCCGTTCGACGAGGCCATCGCAGACATGACTGCCAAAAAGTCGTCTTATGATGGAGAGGGCCTCGAAGCACATGATGGAGTAGACTTCACCGTAGGCTTCCCATCTTTGACTGCAGAAACTATACACTAACACACTTTAGCCTCCCGACCTGATCTCAGGCATCATCACAGAGTCTGGTGTTTTGACTCCTTCTGCAGTCTCTGAGGAGCTCATCAAGATATGGTTTTGAAGCCCCTAAGCCTTCTCTCTGTCCACATCTCTGAATATCCTTATCCGTCCCAGAGACCCGTTGAGTTGGCCGTACGAGCCTCCCACCGTCTACTCACACCTGATAGGCGCTTCGATGTCGCTGATTTATGGCCTAATTCCTCACGCAATCGCCGTGTCCGGCGAAAAATGTCCGACCAACAGCGTAGGCTTGCAGTCTGACGTAAGTCTGGGCTATACAGTCAGCTTCTGACGTTGTCGATTCGATAACAGCGCAACAATCGAATGGGTCGTGCAAAGGGAAAACGTGACTTGAAGGTGGCTTCTTAAAGCCCCACGAGGGGGTCTGATGTTACAAAATCCTGCATGATAGCGAGGGAATTCAATCAAGACTAAGACAGCCGGCATGGACTGTCCCAACGATTCAATTCTGGCCTTTCACATAACCAATGTCTCTCATGTGACACGTCACCCAACTTGACAGTGTGATTGCACCACTGCCCTCCCTCCTTCTTCGCAGTCTCCTCAACCCCCACCACGCCAACAATCTCACCACAGATTCCCACCCCTAGAGAAAACATGCCCTACCTCATCCGTCCACCTCCAACATCCGTCCAAACCAACAGCTCGCTCCCCACACACATACTACAAACTTTTGAGGCCAAATCGTCAACCTTACTTAACAATCTCCACGCCTGGGGCTGGAGCATCACCCACCACCAATCCAGCGACGAAACCTACCTCTCCGCCCTCCAAGCAATGGAAAGAGCACTCAAAAAGCGAAGACGACGCACGCAGATGATCTACAGCGTTATCGTGGGAGAAGCCGCGCCGCCTTCATTAAGGGCAGCCTTCGAGGCGGAAGCGAAGGCGATGGGGATGGGGAAGTTGTACGGCGTTGAGGATAAGGATGGAGACGAAGCTATCAGCGATGATCAAGAACAGCAAGAAACGTGTCATACAGTGGAAACAGATATGTGCAAACGACCCGGGCACAATGCTGACACTTTGAATACACCTCCTCTTCCTCCTCTCTGCTGCCCTCCCCCCACTGATCCAACCGATATATGGTATACCGCTGAACGTGGCCATCTCAGGGCCATAGCCCGGGATATTGATCAGCGGTGGAGGGTGCTACCTTTACCACTGTCACCATCAGCTAAATCACCAGTGGGCGTTCATGGGGATCATTCAAACGAGGAAGTAGGAAACAAAAAGCAGAAGAAGCTGGATAGGGTGAAGTCGCTGGCGGAAAGGTTGGAGAAGAGGGTGGTATCTGAGCAGAGGGAGACTTTGTTGATTCCGTTTTCGGTGAGGGCGGTGGGGCTTTTTTAATGGGGTTCAATTAGTGAGGGTGGACAATGAGATGATTTGGCTTGTATGATCAGAGTGTCACTTGTTTCCAGGCCATGGGCTACGACCTATCCGCCACATAGTACGAGCTATGACATGCTTGGTCAAACACCTACAATAAACCCCCGTGTAAGATTCTACCTCCCTTAACTACTGTAAACCTATCCTGTCAGGAATAAGCATGAGCAAAACATCTTTTCTCGTCCCGCAGTCTTGAGGGATTTAAGGTTTCACTAGCGCAAGTGGACATGGTTTTATACTGCTGAACTGGAATTTTGTTGGGTCTGAGGGGTTCGGCTCAGTTTCCATGGGTTCAATGCATCACTCTGGCTTTAAATTATTGTTTTTTTTTGAGGGAATGTATGACAGGTTTGCATGCATGTATGCGGTTTTAGAGCTTTTGCCGGGGGGGCTGATTGGCGCAGTACCAAGGTGAAGGTTTCTCCATTCTGAAGTAACATTTCTTGACAGATTAAGCCTGTAGGGAGAACGTTTCGTTTTCAATATTGAGATGTCTTGAAATGTTTGGTTCTGTTGATTTGGTTCGTGCAAGAGTATTATTACCAATAGTTGTAGCCAAGGGCGTTGAGTAATGATGCGGAAAATATTAGTAGACGGAGGCATTTGAGTTAAGGTTTAGCTTGCGGTAGAAGGAAAAATAACAACCATGTCATCCCACGTGTGATGAATAAAAGCGAGGAAAATTGTAAGAACTTTTCTCCCCAACCTTGCTACAAGAAAGAGTCTTAACTTGTTTTATAATTTACGTCAAACTATAAAAATACATACTCGTAGCTGTGAGTTCACCCTACTTTAGAGTTGAGAGACGCTGTGGTTTTGCAGATATTCTGCTGGAACAGCCTGAAAAGGGCAGGTTTGGCTGTGAATTAGACTTAAGGAGATAATATCTTAGACGAGACTATAGTGACTGTCCTGGAGATTCTTGGTGTTCATTACTCAGGCCGAGTATATTATGTCGACATTTCCCGCCTGGAAGTCCGTCAGATGATACAATACCATATCCTAATTGTCATACCGCTCGATTACTACCAATAAATCTTTCAAACACTGCTCGACTATGGCGCAGCTAGTTAGTAATATTGACATGCACCACCACACAACAAACATAGCCTGCGTCTCCGAATCATCTCTTACCAACACATCCCAATCCTCGCACAGCGCTACATCCATACCCACTCTCCGACCCCCAAAAACCATGACCCGCTCCAACCCCCAAATAACACACATAGTCCGCATCCCCCTCTATTACCGCACAACCTCGTACCCCACCCCCCCACCCCAAACCCACCACCCCACTACAATCGCAACCCACATCGCCCTGCGCACCCACCCCAAAACCACGCACCGTAACAACAAAATCCTCCAGGACCTGCGTGCATGGGGCTGGACCGTGCAAACCCTGCCCCCCACGGCGCCCCCGACCACGCCAAACACGACGCTCAACGCCTGGCTCGATGCCTACGGCGCCATGGCCAGACACGCGTCTTGGGACGCAGATATCTGGTGTATTTGGCAGAGGGAGCATGGGTGGAGGATTGGGCAGCGGGAGGGCGCTGCGAGGGCGCAGGCGGAGATGGGGTTGAGGCTGGGGGAACGGACGGTGCGGAGGCTGAAGAGGCTGGGGAGGTGGTTTGAGGGCGGGAGGGGGAGGGAGTGGATGGAGGGCGAGTTGCGGCGTGCGGAGGCGAGGCGAGAAAGGGAGAATTTGAGAAGATATGAGGGGGAAGAGAGAGAGATAAAGGAAGAGGAACAGGAAGAGGAACAGGAAGAGGAACAGGAACAGGAAGAGAAAGAGGAAGTCGGAGAGCATGATGAGTATGATGACGGAGATGGTGCCGAGGGGGTAGAGGGTACGTCCGCAAGAGGCAGTTTTGACCAGCCAGAGGAGGGCCTACACAAAGACAGGAGGGACAGTGCGATGTTTTTGTGAAATTTACACGGCAAGGGTGGGTAAGGAGAGCAGAGAGCCAGTGTATTCTGCAAGAAAGATCCACGCGTGGTGCAGAAGTAGAGAACAAGTCCGCGAACGCTGGGTTTCTTTGGCTCGTGAGTGGGAGGAGAATGGAAAAAAAGGTACGACGAGTAATATGTTTTGTATTTCTCTGTGGCGATGCTGTAGTCTGTTATTGATATTCTCCAGACTTGGCTCAACATTCAGCCAGCCCTACCCTCTGTGGGTATCCATAAAAAAGTCTTCTGTGTAGCCGTAAACGCCTTCCATTCCAAACCGTTGCGTTGATCCCCATTCGTGCCAGTATTAATCTCGTCGCTTTTGCAAAGTTTTCATTCGCATTTGATTTCACTTCATCTACAACCCAAACATAATGCATCAATGTGAACATCTTGTAAGTCTTGTTTTGTTAATCGTTTTCGAGATCTTCCAACTCTCTTTGTTTCCTTTCTAGCTCCTGTCTCATAGCATCTGCCTCTCTCTTCAATTGCTCTCGCCTAGCTGCCTTCTCTTCCTGTGACGCCCATTGGCTGGTAGATGGACCCCCACTTGGCCGCAAAGGAACTGATAACGAAGGGTCAATGTTGCCGTCCTCTGCCCTCGGTGGGTTGAGAATCGAGGATATGGCATTCGGCCGATGGGGAACTGGGTTGGAAGGCATCTGGACCTGCTCCTCGTTTTCCATGGTAGCACTACGACTACGTTTTCTGGGAGATGGGGCATTGGCTTGCGATTTTGTCGATGTAAGTGGGATGGACGGATGTGACGTAATAGATGCATTACGGTAGTAGTGCGTAAAGTCAACAGCGAGTGGTCCTCGAGGTTCAGGTGCGTAGTCTTCCCCCCCTTCTTTTGAGTCTAGAGCGGTTGACGGATCAGGGGACACAGAGCTCTCTAAAGCAGGCGTTTGAGAAGACCGTGGAGGGGGCGAATGGTCTGCAATAGATGAAGGTGCTTGCGAGCCAGTATCGCTGGCTGGAACTATACGTTTTCTGCGTTTAATTTCTTGCTTCTTCATAGCAATTGGACGATGTGTGCCGTGAAGCTTGTAGTAGAGACCTGGACAAGTAAAATTAGCCGTTATCTTGTGGACATCTCGCAGGGTACTAGCAAGCCAAGAAGACATACCACAAGCATTGCAGATGATGTGACCAGCATCATCTCTTCTCCACAGGGGTGTGATGGTGGTTCCACAGTTCTGGCATGCCGGTATCGCACTGGTGGAAGATGTTCCATTAGAGGTAGTGGGAGCACTCCCATCGCCTTTGTTAGTGGAGCTGTTTGGCTGAGATACTGCATGTGCTTGAGCCAGCGCAAACTTTGCAGTTTTTGAGACACGATTATTGAAGGCCGGACATCCGCTGCAACCTTGCTGACCACCAGTACCGTTGCATCTACCACCACCCGGACATGTCCCAGCTGACATTTGATCTGCAGCGACATAAGTAGCAACTCGTGGTGAAGCCGCAAGATTTCCAGGTGACGTGCCGCTATTTTCTGTCGGGGACGAAGCCGAACTTGACTGCACGGGGTTAAATGGCTGCGTCTGAGTATTGCGTTTCAAATTCACTGGTCGAGACTGGTTTCGTGCTTTCATGTAGAGCCCACACGCATTACACAGAGTCTCACCCGTTGGTGATCGGCGCCACAGCGGCGTCTGAGTCGTCCTGCAATTGCTTCGGAATGTTAGCGCGCTTACCAACATACAATGGCAATTGCGGCATATGAGGGCGCGATTGCAAGAAACCTACCTGCAGATTTGGCCAGCAACAGGCGTAGCAAGCCCCTCAAAGGCCCTGGATGGGGTTTGAACAGATGCCTGGGTGACAGGAGTAGTCTGTTCTTCCGCGATGGGAACGGCATCCTCGAGAGAGTGGTAGATTTCTGGTCTTTGGTCTTCATGGGGAGTAGCAGGCGCTGGCTCGTACGAAGGTGCATCGACTTTGGTGGCGTTGTCGTGTGCTTGGTTCAGACGTCGCAGACTGTCAGCCATTTCCAGCTCGTCTCTGCTTGCCTCTCTGGAAAGATGATGTGGATGTGTGGGTGCTGGAGCCAGTGATGTGCCTCCGCTGCCCGAAGGTTGTGCCATAAGGCCAGTGAGCACTGCCTCTGAAGTCCACAGCAGTCAGTTGAGAAGGATCCAGAGCGATGCGCGTGCAGTGTTGTCTGGAAGTTGCACACCGAGATGCTGCGGTCAATCTGGAGATCTGACCGGTCACGCTTTTCCTGAAACCTAAAATCAACTTGATCTGATAATCCTAGAAACGTCGACTGGTATGGATCCGCGCAAGGAGACGCTAATGTAGGTGGTCGGTGTGATATGCGGGCCCACTGTGTCTTGGTATACGTTGCCTTGTCCTCTAGGAGTGTGGCACAGCGATGATAGCTTTATGCGGGTTCGGCGCTGTAAGGGAGATGGTTTGACGGAGCTCAATCCCTCTTCGTCATTATTCGGTGCAAAAGGTGTCTGCTGGTAAGGATAGGGTAGGGGTTGGAAATGCTACTGTGGTAGGCGGTGAATGAAAGGTAGGGGCCAATGGCAAGCCTGCTATTCTAAGCTGGAATATTAGCGCGACCAGTCCCCCAAGTCAGTTCCCAGCACCCCGATCAGCAAGCAACAGCGTTGAGTCAAAAGCAGCTTGGAAATCCCAGCGTTTCCATGATACCCGTTGCCTCTTGAATTCCAACACGAATGGAATGCATGCCCAGGCCTGACCAAAAGAGCTGCACAGCCAATACAATCTGTTGTGGCGTCAAGAAAAAGAAAAAAACAAATCTTCATCGGGGTTTGCACACCTTCATAGGTAACCAACGGAGCCCTACACCGCGCTTGTCCGCGGATGCACTTCCGTCTCGCCTCAGAGTACCGATTGGTCATAGGCCTCGGCAAGCCAGACTGGCCGAGTCCAATCAGAATTGAGCCATATCAACCAGATGACTGCTGTGCTACAGTACCACTTTCAGAAGCTCGTCTTCGTGGCACCATACATACAGTACTCTGTAGCTTCTGGACTCCTTCATCTGCCCCCCATTTGACATGGTGAAACTTGACCGATGAGAAGAAAAACCTCCGAACCATGCATTAGCATCCCCGATGCCTTACCGATGTTCCGTACACGCTCCACTCTATGCTCCGCGGGCCGCTAAAGAGACTAGCAAACACATGTGCAGGTGGCTCTATTCTTCTCATGTGCATTAGATACAACTACAAGATGATATCATACATTGCTCTGCATCTGTCATGCGAGAACTCGCTCTTTACTCCTTGATCTCCTGGATCCTTCTACATACAAGCTTAACGACACTTTCAATCAAGGACTGGCACGCCTGGTGTGACTCCATCATCCAAGAGAGTGCCGTACCCTAAAGCTGCCATACTAGGTTGTACCAAATTCAATACATGACGCTGCTCTCGATATCTATCGTGACTCTTATTTGAAGAGTGTGGGATGAACTGAGCGCAGGCAGGTATCAGACAACACGGTTGAGCTTGCCAAACCCAGCGCTCAAACTTGCTCGGCGCCCCATCCAGCATCGGCATCACTGTTTCCGGTCAGCATGACGAACTCGACAATCTCCTCAAGAGGACCAGGCATACCGCATGTTCGCTGGAGGTTCAATGGAGGGGATGAACTCCAGAGCGGCGTATGCTACACCAATGATACCGACAATGGTACCAGGAACGATACGGAACCAGCGCTCGCCAACAATGACGGAGCCGATGAAGATGTAGACTAGCCTCATTAGCCTTACATTTGCGCAACTGGGGGGATGCCTCCTTACAGATACCGCGACCGAGGAAAGAGAACATGAACGAGGCATATCGTGCCACTTGTTGGGGAATTTGGAATTCTATTTCCATCAGTCAGCCGCTGTTTTGATGAATTTCCTATGCTACATACCCAAAAGGGCGTTTCCTGTTATCCAGTCAGCAAGTGCTTTCACATGGAATTCAGCTTCCATCTTACCGAGACCGAATATTATCAAGTAAATGCCCAGAATTATGTGCGAGCTGTCCATGTGTTAGCACATTTGCCTGAACAAACGGTGGTGAAGCAGAGTTCGAGCTGCAACAGAGTTTGGGAGGAGCCTCCATAGTGGCCTTGCACGTTGGCCCGTGTCCTTGTTGGATTTTGTCCTAGATGAGAACCAACGTTTGAACACAGGGTTGTCTTGGAATCCCCCAAGCGCATCTAGGACACAACCGGGGCATAGCATTGCACACCAAGCTGGACAAAGATGTCAGGGGCTTAACAACATGGCCGCAGCCCCTGACCAGCCTTTGCTTGGGACCTTCATCACAAGGTTCCCCATCATGCTATGCCGCCCGTTATGCCATGCACCCCAAGATTGTCTCTGAAATAATCACGCCGAGGGTTTTGGCTCACACGCGCAGGTGACGCAGAGGCAGGGTGGGGGCGTATTGTGTGTGCTGTGCTGGCGGCGAGACTCACAAATCATTAAACGGGAACAACTTCGCAATACCGCCCAACACGACAAATACCGCAACGGCGAAATTCACCATACGACTATATCCAGACTCGTTAGCTGTTTCCATTGTACATGCACAAGTCGCAATGGTACGCATGGGCGAAAAGAGCTTGCTGGCTGTGCTGTTGCGCGCATATGAACTCACAAGATGTCGGAGAAGTCCATGGCGGAGGAATCGGCGAGGTGAGGGAACCGCAGTTTGGCGACTTGAGATGAAAAAGATGGGAGGGTTGTCGGGGGTTGGCAGCACTGGCGATGATGGAGACGAGGAGGTTTGCGCGGTGGGAAATGCGAAGTCTGATGGTGTCGTGTTGCGCAACGTTGAGGCTGGGAGCAGAGGCCAAGTTGCGCCGCTAAACGTCATGGCGGGTCCCATTGGCTCCAGCTTTAGTGTCGAAGGTCCGCAGCTCTCGCACGAAGCAAGCGAAGAACGCAGTTCTTTCACAGTACTTGGGCCTAGTCTATATATATACAGTATTGATGTCTTCATTCACGTAGTCCTCTTTGTTGCACATCTATCTATACAACGGCGCACCTCTATCGCAGCTTGCACTGATACGAGGCATAGCGCCGATGTAAATTCTATTAGACTGCCTAAACCGCCTTACACATGCATGTCTCGTGAGATGGACAAGCTGCATTTCGCTTTCATTTCGCCGTGAACCCATGTTGATACTTTTAATCTTCCCATTCGGGATTCTACACAAACTGTTAGGACAAGGCTACGCATGTGACGGGCTGGGTGCAACGTTACCTTTCTCAAAATGACCACACCTTCCAACACAGTAGTCAGGCTGAGATACTTTTCGTCTTCGAGTTCTGCCCTCTCTCCATGCGCCAGCAATACTGGTGTGCTCTGTGTTTGCCATCCAGTAATCGTCTTCGGCCTTCCAGCTTGGCCCACAATGTCCACGGCCTGACCGACACGCACGTTAAGTGTAAGCGGCTTGAGGTCCTCGTCCAGTGTGATGAGAAAGCGTGGTGACATGGCTGTCGCCATGTAATAGAGGAGATAATGTGAATCGCCAACGATGAAAGACTTGGCGTCAATGAGCGAGACAAGCACAGTAAGGAGACCGGCAGCTGCGACGCGAGACAACACTTGTCGGTCTGTGTGGAAGGGATTCAGTGACAATGTACCCTTTCCTGCGTGCAGGAGACCCTGTGCTATGCGAACCATGAACAGAGCGTTGGGATCGCGGTGGTAGTAGCTCGCTAATTGTCGTAGGAGCTGCGCAAGACGTGCGTTATTGGTGCCGGCGCCGCAAAGACCCATGGCGAAGATGGCGTTGATGGCAACATCGTTGTCGTTGTCGTGAGAGTAGCGCGAGAGCGTATCGTATATCTTCATTTGTGGATTGCTCGGGCTTATCAGTCCCAGAGCAAGGGGTACGGCTTTCCGGATGTTGGCCTCGCCGTAGTGCATCAAATGACCAAGAGTACGCAGAATCATGTCCTGTCCAACATCCTCGCCCATTGCCACCAATGACATACCAATGACAGCATATGATTGAAGAAGCTCGTCGCCCTTCTTCTCCTCACTGTCATCCTCAATGTGCTCGTTGCAGATGTGGAGTAGCTGTTGAATCTTCAACACGGCACCTGTACCTGCCCAGGCGCATACCTCGGTGAGTACAGAAGCGGACTTGGCCATGGGGTGATCTAGGGCCTTTAATGTTTCTAGAATGACATCCACCTCTTCTTGCTGGCCGAAGAATAGCAGTGCTAGGCCGAGAGACATGAAGCGCGTCCACTTGTCCTTGAGCTGCTTACTCCTGTCCTCGTCCAGGAGAGTGTGCATGAGCGCATCGGTGACCTCGCCATTGGCTGAACCGACGAAGATCATACCAAGCGACAGCGCTGCCATGGCAGAGAGCTGCATGTCGAGACTTGTGTCTGTTACAATAGGTAGAAGGAGCTCCAGCAACTCCTCCTTGTTCGAGCCAGCGTAGGCCAGCCCAAGGCCCATGATTGAGGCAAGGCGAATGTTGCGGTTTTTGTGGGACAGATTATCCTCATCACCCAAGAGAGCCAAAGCGGGGTCCGAGTCAAGTCGTACGCCAGAGTTGAAGATACCAGTGGCAAGCATAGCTCCGGCCTTGACCATGTCGTCGTCCACATTGGTGTAGGGATCAATCTTGTCCAGACCCGTCTCAACGTCCCATAGCAGCAACATACCCAGTGACGCCGTAGTCGAAAGCATGCCTTCCTCTTTCGTCTTCCACACCCAACTGCTTTTGCTGTCTGAGTTGAGCATCAGCTTATCGTTGCCGTATCCCGTGTTGACAAAGGCATTGACAAAGGCAGAAGCAAGATTGTGCCTAGCGGAGTCGGTATTGGTGAGGCCGGCTGTTCTACTGCTCTCAAGATGTGTCTTGTAGATGTCGTCTGGGGTTTTTGGATCCAAGATGTTGAGCTCCTTTCCAAGGGCCTTGAAGTGGTCAGGTAACCGCGTATTGTTGAGGCAGTCCTGAAGCTCCACATCGTCATCGTCTGAGACGTCAAACCAGATGCGCTGGCGAGCGATAAGAAAGGCCATCTGTCTCCGAATCGCTTTGTCCTTTGTCGAATTGAAAACCTCTTCAATTAGGTCCCTATCGTTCAACCGTATGGCCAGTGCGACTGCTTGTGTGTACTGGTTGTACTTGCGGTAGATCTGGTATGTAGTGCGGAGGAATTTGTCGTTATCGGGGTATGTGAGGAGTGGGACATTGCTGGCTATTGTCAGTGTTGTCCAGACGTTGATAGCTTTGCTCTTATCATCAATATCATCTCACCTGACCATGTACAAGCACACACGCGCATATGTATTCTCGTCAATGTACTGTTCAATCTGGTCAATCATCTCCAATTCGGACAAAATGTCTACTGCGTCGGCTTCGGCATTGTGCTTTAGGAAAAAGGGCACTAGGTTCGAGGCCAGGTCAGTGACATCGTCAGTAGACTGGTCGTCATTCAAGCGGTTCTGAAACTCTCGGCCGATCTCCAGAGCCAGATGGCGCATGTACTCATGGCCCCAAGACCCGAGATCGGTCGAAGGCGCTTGCAGGCGGTACTTGAGGCAGTCTAGGCGCTCTTCGTCCGAGTACGTCATGCCGAGAACAGACATCATGTCGGCGAGGGACTGTTTGTTCTCGCCTTCAGGCCACGATGCATAGGCCTTCTCCAGATTCTCGTAGTGTGGACGGAGGAACTTCAGAGGTTTAGGCACGGCAGTCATGGAGCTCGTCGATGTCTTGATGAAGTCTTTGATCTGTTCCAGCGCAGGCTTGTAGAGGCTGGTGTCGGATTCCTAGGAGCGCACGCACGCGCGCGGTCAGCGGCAGTGCACTTGATTGCAGTGGACGGAGCAGATGGACTGACCAATACCCGCTCTACCAGCATATCCAGCTCGCTCTTAAGCTGTTGATCTTCCTCACTGAGCTCCTCTATATTATTTCAATCAGCATATGGCCCACTATCAACATGACGACGATGGATGATTCCCGCAAGTCACACATACCGCCGGTAGTCGCGACCTTCTTGTCCTCGCCATCGGCCTTCGCCTCCTTTGCCTTTTCTGCATCGCTATTGACAGCTTTGCCTTTGCCCTTGTCGGCGGCCGTGGGCTTCTTCCCGTCGTCCTTGGCCATGGTGGATAAAGGCTAAGTGATGCAACTGCTAAGGCGGGCGGCGAAGTGTGTATGTGTGTGTACCGGGAACGCTACTCTCTGTGCAGCTGGATGTATGCGAGCAGGAGGCTGCGTCCTGAAGTGGAATGGCTTGCTGGGATCGCGTTCGTGGATGATGGGGGACAGCTGCTCGTCTCGGGGGGATAGTGGTGAGGCGAGAGCGGGCGGTGCAGACTGGTGATGGGCGGCGGATTGTTGTGTCGACGAGGCAGCTCTGCGTCTGTCGGCGTTACTGGAGTACACGCCCGCCTGTGCCAAGCCCTTTCTGGTCCCGCCGCCGCCCAATGATGAAGGTGCGCTCAGACCTTGTCGAAACCATCAAAATAATTCTCTGGAACGAAAGAAGCCCGCCGCACCCCCACCCTCAACCCCACCCCACTGTGCGCCAGGTGAATTATCTCTCTCCCCACCCGCCACGACCACCCACAACTACCAAGACCCACGCTGCTTGCTGCGCCGACAAAACAGGGCCAACATGAAGCTCAATGTCAAAAATATCCGTTACCTCACGCCAGACGACTGGCGGGTCCTCACTGCGGTATGCGCCCGCTCTCGCACCCCCCAGTTCCCTTTTCACAAAAACCAGACGTCGCACAGTAGAGGGACTAACGCTGATGAAGACCATGACAGACCGAAATGGGCAGCCGGAACCATGAAGTCGTGCCCACGCCCCTCATCTCCCAGATCGCAGCCCTCCGCTCAGGTACGGGTGTGCACAAGTGCATCTCCAATCTCGCAAAGATTGGCCTCATCGCCAAGGTTAAGAATGCAAAATATGACGGCTATCGGCTTACATACGGCGGGCTTGACTATCTGGCCCTGCACACGCACCAAAAAGCCTCGACTGTCTATTCGGTCGGCAACCAGATTGGCATAGGCAAGGAATCAGACATTTTGGTGTGCGCCTCGGAGACAGGCAAGCAGCTCGTCCTCAAGATCCACCGTCTGGGCCGGATATCCTTTCGCACTGTCAAGGCGAACCGAGATTACTTGCGCAACCGTCAGGGCGGATCGTGGATGTACATGTCACGCCTCGCCGCACTCAAGGAGTACGAGTTCATGAAGGCGCTGCGGCGAGAAGGCTTCCCCGTCCCCGAGCCCATAGGCCAGAACAGACACACCGTCATCATGAGTCTTATCGACGCCTTCCCCATGCGCCAGATTTCAAAAGTCGGCGACCCCTCCACCCTGTACGCAGAACTCCTAGCCATCGTCGTTCGACTGGCACAGCATGGGCTCATCCACGGCGACTTCAACGAATTCAACATTTTGGTAGAGGAAAAGCGGATATCCGAGGACGAGGTCTCTCTTGTACCGACGATTATCGATTTCCCTCAAATGGTGTCCATTGACCATGTCAACGCAGAGTATTACTTCGACCGTGATGTTGCCTGTATAAAACGCTTCTTCGATCGCCGTTTCGGCTTCACAAGTGACGAGCCAGGCCCGTTCCTCAAGGACGCTATCAAGATCATTACCAAGAGAGTGGATGTCGAGGTACAGGCCTCTGGCTTCAGCAAGAAGATGGCCAAGGAGCTGGACGTGTACATGAAGGAACATGGCATCGACGGTGACGGTGGAGGAGAATTAGGCAAAGGCAGTGAGCAGCATGATGATGACGAGGATGAGGAAGGAGAGGGGCATATAAACGACGAGGTTGGGATCAATGTTCTCGATGAGACCGAGAGCGTGGAGACGTCACTTGACGGTGGACCGGTTGTGGAAGACCAAGCCTCTGTCTCACTCTTCCCTACGGCGAACGAGCAACTGACATCGGCGACTATGGCTTCGCAGATGACTATACTCCAGATTAGAGATGATGATCCGTTGCCTGATCTCAGCGAGATGAAATCCCCGCCACAGCCTACCATAAGTACAAAGGTCGCCAAGAAGAAGGCTGGGTGGGCCATATGAGTTACCGGCCATCCATTCACTCCATTCCCTCCTCGAGCGATACCCCCCCTGATACCTGATTCTGCAATATTAAATCCGAGCTTCTAGCCTACGAAATCGAGCCATATTATTTGATCCTTGAGATCTCCTCTCCTCTCTTGACCTCATCATGCAAATCGAAAGCGTCTGCGACCCATGGCTTTGCGCAACCGGGACCCATATGATCATGTACTAAGTAAAACTCGCACGATATAAAAAATCCTCAATGCAAGCAGTGAGTGATAAGGGAACACATATGAGGGAAAAAGATCTATCATATTGTGTACTATCGAAGCTGCGATACATACCACAATAGAACTCTGACCCTAGCCACCTCTGATCGTACCTGCCCGTCCATCGATGAGAAAGAGATACACTGAATAGTCCACTAAAATCTTTGAAGCCGTTACCATGCCCAAATGTTAGCAAATAATCCTAAGATTGCATGCGTTGATGCATAGGCAAGCCGAGTGAAAAGAGATTCTGATGCGAGCCAGCCATGATGAAGAGGCCATGTTGGACAATCCGGAGCCAGAAACCGGTATTAAGGGGACCAAGAAGAAATGAGATTGGCCCAAGCAAAGAAAGAAATGGATGAAGGCCACAGCGAGCGGTCGATATGTCGTGTCGTTGTGATGGGGTGTGCTGGAATAGTCCAGCCTACGGATTGCCGGGAAGGCGCACTGCTGCGGCACTCTGCAATATGATGATGGCAACGTATGATCCATGTCTAAGATGGTCAGGCCTTTGATGTGTACGGCTGGTGGATGGTGAAGACGCAATCATGAAGAATAGGGCGGGCATGAAAGCATGGCAACAATGCGAGAGCAAGCGGAAGCTTTAATCATCATGGCCAGAGTGACGGCTTGGAGAAGCGTTCTTGTCCTCTGTCTTCACTGGAGTCGCGGGATTGGTCTTGGCTTCGATGTCCTGCTCGGATGCACCATCTTCGTTGTCCAGAGCTCCACCTTGGGTCGTGTGATACGTGGGGGGACGAGCGGGACCAAGGGTTGATGGTACAGTGGGAGCCCATGGCTGACGGTAGCCGCGCTGCATGTACATCTCAAAGTCATTTGTAGCGCTCTGAGAGACTGGAGAGATTGTGAGGTAGCGATCAGGTGTGCCTAGTGCCCTAGCCTGGGCAACACCGACCTCGTACTCTGCAGCACGGAACACACGGCCGGCGGCAGTCTGCTGCTTGAGCATCTTCTGCTCATGCGTGTCAGAGAAGCGGATCTGGATCAGATGCTCCTCGCCTCCAGCCTTGGCGATGGGCATGTTGTTGAATGTCTTGATGACCTCGTCACATATCTCGCGAGTCTCAAACCTGATCGTGGTTAGAGACGAAGCAAAATGACAAAATAGAAAAACCTACCGGGCAAATCCAACGCCACGACCTGTGCCAGCTGGGTCGCGAAGCACCTTGCTTGAACAGACCTTGTGCGGTGTGAAGATGAGAGCGAGTTCCTATACACATGTCAGGGTCTAAAATCAGCATGGACAATGAGGTGAACACGCACATGCTCATTCATATTCTTGGGAATGTTGGAGACGTAAAGATTGGTGTTGCACTCATCGGAAAACTTCTTGAGCTTAGAGTAGAACGATTCCTGGACAGCATCAGTGTCATGATCAACATGGAGGTCATGGACAAGGACAACGAACCCGGGCGAAGCTGACTTCATATCCAAGGTAGTGAAATCCACGGATACAGTCTTCAGCATCCTCGAAATTGTGGTACTTGATGAAACCGAAGCTGGAAGAGGATTCAGCATGTAGAACAGCATGATGAAGATAGAACTCACCCCTTGCAAAGATAGCTCTTGTTGTCGATGATGGACTTGGAACTCTGAATGTCCCCGAATCGCTTACCCCAGGAATGGAGCATCTCATCGGTGGTTTCGGGCAAAAGTCCTCGAATGTAGACATTGGTTTCGCCTGTCTTGTTCTCCAAACTGCGATCAAGTGGCTTGTGTGGAGAGCTAGGGGCTGGGATTGCGCGTGGAATCGGGGGCTCCTGGTGCACTAGAGCCAACAAGTGAGGAGGCAACGAAATCATAGCCTGCTTCTGCATGGGAGCCATGACTTGGTAGGAGTGTGCAAGTTGTGACGGCGAAGGAGTGGCGCTGCTCGTGAACAGGGCGCTCGGAGAGCGATCCATAATGGTGGCGCCGCCAGCTCCATAACGGTACATGCCATTGCTACCATAGGGTGTACCCGGTACGTCGTTTTCGTTGGAAGAGATAGAGTCGCGACGGGGTGTCATGAGCGACGGCATCTCGCCAGAGGACAGACGCGCAGCCCAGGCCGGGGCCATGGGGCTGTTGTCCACTACGGCCTGACCGTACTGATAAGCTGCCTGAGGTACATAGGTGGCACCACTATTGTACATGTTGGGCGAGGGCGTCATGTTGGCTTGCTGCTGATTGCCAGGCATCATCTGATACATACCACCCAAAACATGCTGGTTGGGTACCCATAGGCCCTGGCCCTGTGAAAGAGGCAAGTTGCCGTACTCGGATGAGCCACTGGGGAGAGTCGAACTGGCAGACTTGGATGCGGCAGACGAGCCGTAGGAGGCGTGCATGTTGAGTGCTGCCATGTTGCTTGTCAGACCCTGCAAACCGTGGTCACCAGGGGAGGACATCGGCACACCTCGAGGGAGGTAATGAGCCGAACCATGGCCCTGACCGTTCTGATTGTAGCTGTTGAGCATGTGCTGGCCCTTGAAAGCCGCATTGGGAGGGGCGTAGTTAGCTGGGCGAGGGTTGGTGGCCATTGCGAAGGACTAGCAGATGGCGTCTATTAAATGCCGAGCTGCAAGAGACCGTGCAAAGGCGAGACAGGCTCCGAAGACGAGCAGAGATGGACGATAGTCGATAGTCGAGAGTCTGAGAAAGACTGCGGCTAGAAGTCTCGAACGCGGTAGAGCAGACAGGCGGATTGAGATGCAGAGAAGAACGCTGCTCTGTGAGGCATGGTTAGCTTTTTATCCTCGGTGTGCACCGCCGGTGGGGAGCAGGGTGAGCGGTGATGGTGAAGATATTGGCAGTTCCAGGGTGAAGCATGTTGGGAACCCATCACGGTGAAGTTTGAAAGGGCCAGGCCATGATGTCAGTGGGGGAGAAGCACACTTACCGAGTCGTAAATGTCAAACTTTTGCAATGTGTGGGACGGGTAGTGACTCCAAAGCTGACAAGCCGGTTAGTCTTCCATTGCAGGTGGTAGAGTAGCACAGCTGTGGCGAGACGTTGAAGACTGACCTGCGGAAAGCTACAAAGAATGTGGCCACTGATGCGTATTGGTGAGAAAGTAGTGCTGGTGAATGCGTGAAAGAGAAGAGAAGAGAGAGGAAGAGGAGAGGAGAGGAGGGGGAGACGAATGCCAGAAGATATGGCAAGAGGAGGAGCAGGAGCAGGAGCAGGAGCAGGAGTGGGAAGGGGGGGGGAGGAGCGGAGAGGGAAGAGAAGAAGAAGAAGAAGAAGGAGGAGGAGGAGGAGGAGGAGGCGGCGGCGGCGGCGGAGGAGGAGCAAGAGGAGAGAGGGCGCTGTAGCGGTTGAACATGGTGGGAAGTGACAGGCGGCGCTGAATGGGAAAGAGCGCTTGGGGCGGACATCTGGAAAGTGACGACGGTGTAGGTAGACGCCACGACTGCATTGTGGGAAACCTCTGCACATGATAGCAGGGGGAACGGTTGCGATGCAGGAAACATGAAGGCGCGCACAGCGGTACCGCTGCTTACCTGGTTGAAACAATGGTCGCTGAAATGGATGCCAGTTGAAGACCAATATACACAGTGAGTTGGAGGTGGGGACAATGGCCCCAAAGACAATAGAGAAAACAATGCGCCCTAATAGGGACAAGGACAGCACGGCGCCGGGCTTCTTAAAAAGATACTGGGGAAGAGCTGCTCGAATAGAGATGTCAAAAAGGCTGCGTGTGGAGGAAGCTGCTGTGCGTATGTCGTCCCACTCGTCGTGATGCGAGAGGTACTGGTTTAATATCACCAGCGTGGACCAGCGAGTGCATCGACAGGTACAGCCGGTACGGGCCAGGGATTGGATGGATCCTGCCAGAGGCTGCAGAGGCTACAGACAAGTCGCCAGAGGTGCGAGGTCACATCAAGTCGTACCCTTCTACCCGCATCCCCAGTGGGCCACCTTGCCTGTCTGAGCAGAGTGTGTAGCAGACTGGAGACGACAAAGCGCCATCAACGGTCGTCTTGCTTCTACTTGCAGCGGCCCCCTCCCCGCAATGGCCAAAGCCAAAGCAGCCACACCGCCCTTGCAGTAGGGCTGAAGAACAAGGTCGCAAAGGCAACCTCCTCGCCAACGTCATGTTGCCGATCCAGAGCCCGAGCAAGTCGAATCATGTTTGTCTGGTGTGCTGCCTCCTGGAGTCTGGCCAACTTGCGCGAAGACGAGAAGTCGCCCCATCATCTTTTCCCTGCCCATCCTTTTCTGGCCTTGGGCTTGGGCTTGGGCTTGCGAGTTGCTACCAGCCATGGCCATCTCCGGCTCTGGAAAGGTGCATAGCTCTGTTTGACTTGGGATTGGCCTGCAGTATCATCGTGAGGGTGCACAACACAGGCTGTCTTTCTTACACTGAGCCACAACGGGCTGCCGCCTACCTGAGAAGGGCTTGAACACATCCCAATACGTCGGTACGACGTGTGCAGCACACTCGCATTCACCTTGGACGCTGGCGCATCTCAGCTCCATTTGGCCATTGCTGGTCTTGTCACACCCCCCAAGACCTCGTACCTCATTTGCTTGCCCTGCTCAGTACCCTCGATTTCGATACAGACCATGGATACACCTCTCGGATTCCGACTCTATATATCTGTGAGCGGCCTCCCCGCAGCTGACAGGCTCGCGTCATGTCATGTTAAAGACAGTCTCAGCCGTTTGCAACCGTAATGCACACCGAACGCGCCTCTGAGCCCAACTAAGCCTGTCCAACACTCGGGCACACTTGGGCACCATGAGAAACGTTGGACTTGTACAAATGAGGTGAGCGTAACTATCACCCAGCAGTTCGAAAGTGGAGACTGCTGTTCCAAATGAGTGCCAGTGGAAGAGCGCCCGGGGTACAGACCTTGGGAAAGAGAGATATCAGCAACAGGATACATACAACACCCTGCATTAGGATACTGCACAAATCCTTTCCGAGAGATGCCTTTTGAACATGTGCTACCGATCCGGCTCAATCGAGTACCGTCGAATGCCCGCGTGCGGTGCGGGCGCAAGCGCTATGGTTACCGTGTCGCATAGGTTGCTACCCAGCCATCCGAAAAGTTGCCAGCCTGTAGAACTTTGGGTATGGTGAGCTATCGGAACATGCTAAACCGGACCGCAAAGTGTGGAGAAGTCGGTTTGCACGCAGACCCTCAAAAGCTTCGTGGCGGCCGGGGCTCCACACTCGAACGGCGTCAAAGAAGCAGGACGGTTTGACGGTCCACATCAAGGCGTACCGGTACCTGTACTGAGTAGACTCGTCAAGGTGCATGCATGCCGTGTGCACTTGGACGCCTCGTACCTTGTTTCTACAGTCTTGATCTGTGGATACTGTTGGGACTCGAACTCTTCCTTGCTGCGTCCTAGTAGATGCCTTGTCAGACCAAGTACCTGGGAGTCGGATCCGTGCTGTAACAACAGCACGATTGAGAAAAAGACAGGCATCTCTCCGGCTTTGAATGAGACGCTTCCGTAATGTCACACAAGATACGACGAACATGGGCAAATTGAGCAACGACCAGCCATCCTATTTTTGAAGTTGTTTCAGTAAGATGCCAAGACCCTAGTGATCAGACTCCATCGTTTTCAGTGAGGAAGAGAGTATCGAAGAGTCCACCAGCTAAACATGGGGCATGGAGATGCTCCCTAACCGCGCCAATGCCTTGTTGATTGCCATGGCCAACGTGATAGGAAAAGTATTTGCGATCCGAAGTATCTGGAGGCAGACGTGATCGACAAATCATCACGCGGCGGAAATATTGTAAATCAAATCCCTGGTATGTGCGGCGTTAGGCTGCTGACTGGTGAGTTCGTTTGAGAGCCGAACCTGCCCTCAACTCAGTTGTCAGAAACGGACCACGCTGGTGTTCTGTCGGGGCTTGTGTAGACTCGATATGAAGTTGTGGGGGAGCCAGGAGGATGGCCTAGATCAGATGATTGGACGTGGTGGCGTAGTGGACATGCAGGTGGCAAGGTAGGTAAGGTTTGTGTGCCCCAGGGCCCAAAGGGGTAATTTCGCTTTCTGCCGCTCGCTAATGCAGTTGGCGGACGTCTGGACAAGCACAACGTCTGCACCAGAGGCCCACAACATGGTGTATCAGGCGAAGCTGTCCTCTTGCACCCATGACGTTTCGAACCAAGGCTTTAGTGTCCGGTCTCGCATTGCGCATCCTGTTGACACGTAATGTTAGTCACTATTGTGGCAAAAAGGGTCCAGGATGAACTGCAAGGCCAACTGTTTGGCTGTACTATCTTCATTCATAATGTCAAGGTATATAAACAGACGCTTTACATGAGTGGAGTATATGCACGAGATCCCAAAACCTTTGTTCAACCCCTTGTCATCATAATCCAGTATCACTGCAACACTTACAGGTAACGCCTTATCGCTCTAGTCTACCCTCAAGGTGTTGGGAGGAAAATCCCACCCCCCCACATTTCTGGAATTCATCATGACCATACATCTTCCTGGTATTGATTGGAAGCCCTCATTGCCTTGACAATCTCCTCACCCTTTGATTCAGACACGTTGCGGTACTTGGAGATGAGTTTGCCAAGGAGCGTGTTGACTTCGCGGGCCATGTGTGCCGCATCACCACAGACGTAGAAGTAAGCTTTGTCTTCGAGGAGCTTGTTGACTTCCTCACCGGCCTCCTCAATCTTGTGCTGGACATAAACTTTCTTGGGACCATCTCGTGAAAAGGCTGTGTGCATGATAAAATTGTCGCCAAGGATCTCCTTGTATTCCTACCTATCGGTTAGCCTTTGTACCATAATGGGCTACATCTGGGAAGACTTACCTTCCACTCGTTCGCGTAGATGAAATCTTCTGACTGCTTTCTGCAGCCAAAAAACAGAATCGTCTTGCCCACAATCTGACCAGCCTTGGCTTGCGCGGCTCTTTCTTGGACAAAGGCACGGAATGGTGCAACACCTGTTCCGGGACCAACCATGATGATGGGTTTTGAAGGATCTGATGGGAGCTTGAAGTTGGAGTGGCGGACATGAACTGGGACATGGATTCCGTCGTACTTGTTACGGGGTCCAGTGATGGCGTAGTCTAGGCCATGGGGGTCCGGGTGTGGATCGCCGTGCTGTTTTTGTTTCAGGGCCAGTAGGTAATTAGTCGTGACACCCTTGAGCACGTATGGTGCACCAGGCTTCTCAATCGACTCAACGACAGCAGTGATGGAGATTTTGTCTTTCTGGGCCAAAGACGATGATGATATGGAGTAGTACCGGGGCTGGATCTTGACCATGCTCTCGAATATGAATGAAAAGGGGATCTTGCTCCATGCGTGGCCTTTGCCTTGAATTTCGAGTAGCTGGGCCAAGTTCAAATTGCGGTCAGTCACGTTTTGCTTAAAGTAGTCCTTGTCGCTACCAAGCTTGACCATCTCAGCCTTGATCTCTTCGTTGGGCGCAAACTGGGCGATACCAGACACAAGCTGACGGGAGACCGCAGCATTGATTTCGACGTGGAAGCGGAGAGCGGCATCGTATGTGGTTGGGGACGGGAAAGGAACTTTGGCAGTGGGGTCTAGCCCTCTGACGGCGATGACAGTATGGCGCTTGTCCTCCTTGCCGAGAACTTTGAAGATCCTATCAACTTCCTTGCCTGCGTTGTTGGGCCAGATTGCAATATGGTCACCGGTGGTATACGAAAGGTTTGAGCCAGCGATGCTGATCTCCATGTGTAGGCAGTTGCGGTCTTTGGCATTGAACAGCTCCGAGGACTCGACGATGGGGGCGATGAACGGGTTGTTGGCGTTGAAGGGACCCTTTTGCTTACCCTCCAGGTGGTTTTTGTTGGGTTCACCCAGGTAAACAGTGTCATCGTCGGCCGAGAGCTCTGGCTTTTCTGTGACCTCGAAGACGGGCTCGTATATGGCTTCACGCTCTTCAAGACCAAACTTCTCGGCCACAGCGGCCCACATGGGCTCCTTCCAGGCGAGAAAATCCTCCTCCATGGTGCCGGCACCATCGTCACCCTCGCCAGCCGGACCCAGGCGTGTGGCACCCAGGTTGGTCAAAAACTTGTCGACTCTACGGACGACGGCATTGTAGTGCTCATAGGTGTTGTTTCCCAGGCCGAAGGCGACGTAGTGCAGCTGGCTGAGGGGCCGCTCTTCAGCACCGCCCCCATTGGCGAAGCTAATGTCTTCCGACCCGATGAACTCGTAGAATTCGACTGCGTTGTCTGTGGGCTCGCCCTCGCCGTAGGTAGCCAAGACGAAAATGGCGAGCTTGTCCTCGGGGAAGCTGTCCAGGTTGTCAAAGTCATACTCCTCGAGATCGGCGACCATGGTCTTGAGGCCGAAGCGTGAGTGGCCCTCCTTGGACAGACGTGAGGCATAGTCCTCAGCCGTGCCCGTTTGGCTGCCATAGAAAACGACGCAGTTCTTGTCGGACTGGTTCATCTTCTCTACGATGTTGCGCGACTTGCCCGCTTTGGCGCCTCCATTGGCCGAGGCCAACGAGCTGCCATAGGGGTCGGCCGAGACGCCCCAATAGGTTCCCTTTGTGAAGTATGCGAGTGTGCCCACGAGCAGAGCCGCGAGCACGATAATATCCAGCGTGTCGAGTTGTGCCATCTTGCCGGTCCAGTTCGTGGTGGCGAGAGGCAGAGGAAGACGGAGGGGCTGCGCTGACATGGACACGAAATCCAGTCGCTGTCCCAAAGAGGACAAGCGCGACTAAGATTTGTACTTTGTCGCTTGGGCGGTGGAGACAGACGGGACCCTCAACTGTCGAGAGAAGGCCGTGCTTGTGGTAGATTGCCGTGCCTTTCCTTTCACGTGCCACCACACTGCGCTAGGTACTCTTGTCCTCTTAGGTGGGTGTGGATGATGACGACGACGACAACGACAATGACAACGACAACGACAACGACAACGACGACACAGTGTGCAGTAGATTTGAGGCACTGCAGCTCTTTATTACATGGCGCCTCCCCTTGAATACCTATAGGGACATCTGTGGCATGCCCTACATACCGGTACAGCGGGTCCCTCACCGACGGCCTGCGTCCATGACCACTTCTACCTTACCTAGCTGCACTTGACGACAACGCTTCGGTCGGAATTCGGAGAGCGTGTGTTCCGCTGTGCTGATGGGATCGATAGCCGACAACCTGCTTTTTCGCGGGCTTGTTGGAGGCCCGCTGGTATTGTATGATTAGCATGTATGTACTGTTGTGGCATGTCCATAGTATGTACAGTACAAGTTACATTGCAAATGTAGTGTGTGTGGGACCACCTCAATGGCAAGTGTCAGGGCCTTGTATGTGACCGGTAAGGTACTATTGAACCATACCATCCATACACATGGTGTAGGTACCGTAGGTATCATTTGACATGGACTCTATTCTCAATTGGAGCCAATGGCTGTTCTTTTTCCACACCCTTTGCCCGTAACTAGAGGCTCTGGATACCATACCTGTAGCACGTACGGATCTAGAGTACAGAAGCAAAGTGAAAACATGGTTGAAGTTTCCATATTGTAACACAGCAAAATTTAAGCGCTCAGCTTTCCCACCCCCCTGCTCATCACGCCCCACCAGCCGCCACAGTTTGGTACTGCATCCTACTTTGACCTGGTTGGTATCGGTATTAAGCGAAGTCGAGCCTGATGGTACCGGTATCTTCTCGCAACATGGACTATTGGATACCTCGGATGACCTGTTGCCGGCTTAGCTCTTCTGCTTTCTCCGACTTTTCTCTCAGCTCAGCTGACGGCGGGCTCTTCCTACTAGGCATCTACCTACCTACTATAGTATGTATCACAGTAGTCAGCACATGGCATGGTAGACATGCAGATAAAGCCCTTTGCATCTGAGATTCTCCACCGCACGCAGTTAGCATCGAGCACATGTCTACCGAGCTCCGCCATCCACTTTGGAGGTCGCGGAGATAAAACGAGCCCATATACTGCACGCCTGCATTGTGCCAACTGCCGTCATGCTTTACCAAGGGTCATGCACGGGCTGTGATTGCATTGTTGAATTTGGTGTCCATGATATTGTAGACAGTAGGCTGTTGACCATACAGTAGGTTGCTGGCTTACTCAAGCCTGACGCTGCAGCTTGCAGCTGAGGTTGGCATCCTTTACTTGGCCCACCGCCATGGTGATATTTGACACACTGCTAAGCCAAAGAGCCACCTACCACGACTCGAAATAGCCAGGTAAGTCCAGTATTCCTTTCTCTCCCCGACGCTGGGTCTATCTGGTCTCGACTTGTACAGCCTGCTCTAGGTAGTAGGTAGGTAAATCCATTCTTACCCACTCGGCCCTCTATGTACACTTTTTCTTGCCTACATCCATGCATACCCAAGGTCTGACTGTGTTTGAGATGGTTGCTGGCTGCTATTTTCCTTACCCGATTGATGATGCCATAGCAGACGCACAAACGATCAGGTCGGCTGCAACGAAGGGGAACGGTGCACCGTGGGTCAGCCAACACCTGTCAGCCAGCCAGCCAGCCAGCCAGCCAGACAGACAGACAGACAGCCACTTTGCAGTAGCTCGTGTCCCTACTACGTATTTGACAGACAATCCAGTCAACATTCTGCGTTGCTGTATGTATGTAGGTACAGGTAGACAGCGCATCCTCCCACGCGGGGAGTACCGGCACCTATTCATGTATCCATCCAGCCACCATATCCGGTATCCAGCAAAAAGGTCCATTCAGTCTCGGTGGTGACGTTGGCCGAATCAGGCTAGCATCCAGGAACCAGACTTCGGTACGGGGCGCAGGGGTCCTGGTGGATTTCAACATGTCGAAAGCAACCTCTCTCTCTCCAGCCGGCGGTCGCTTGGAGACAGCCAGCCCTTCGCACGACGACGACGACGACGACGACAACGACGACAACGACAACGAGCCATCCCAACCAAGCCACAGCCAGACCATCTGCAGCCCTCTTCGCTGACACCAGAAGATGCAGCACGAGAGGTTGGCGCCATGTGTGAGTAGCCTCCTTCTTCCCTGTCCTGTCTGACGTGCCTGCTGGGCGGGTGACGTTGTAGAGCATTCCCCCCTCCCCTCCCCTCCCCGTACATATACTATGTAGTGTAGTCCTTCGTCCAGCATGCTGAAACGCGGCACCATGGCGAAACTGCCTTGTTCGCCGGCCGCCGCCCTCTATCTGCCCGTCGTGTGTCTACTACCTAGATAGCCCGATGAGACAAACGTCACGGCCACTGGACCTTTCATGCCCGTCTCTGCGTCGTCGCCGCCGCCGTATTATCTACAACTTGTGCTGACCAACCTTGTGCCACGGCTGCAGCTGCGTTCCCCCTCCTGCACGCGCGACCGGCTGCTGGGAATGCGTCGCACCATATAGAAAACCCCTCGTCGGCCTCGCGCGAACCCAGCCAGACCCGTGGTCGGGCGCTGACGGCCTCGTCGCGCACCGTTGCCTCGCGCTCACAGACGCCCGCCATTGCAGCCCCCAGCAGCAACTCGAGCCCGGACCGCGACCTCACCCTGGGCTCCCTCGAGCGCAAGCCGTCAGGCTCCTATGCTCACAACCGCAACACGTCCATCGTGCACGGCATCCAGCACTCGCGGAACACGAGTTTCGTCAACTCGCCTGCCACGAGCCCGTTGAGCCCCCAGATCATTGCCGCCGCCGCTGGGGTGACTCTCGATGGAGCCGTCATGTCGCAGGAGTCCATAGTCGAGGCCTTTGCCGCCAACGGCACCCCTGGGCCTGCATCTACCACCGCCCTGTCCTCCACTGAGTTCAGTACCGCCTCCCTCCAGCGCAAGCCAGAGCGGGCACCCAGTGCGAGATCCTCGCGCAGAGGCCATAACCACCACCGCTCTCAGTCGCGCCATCACCAGCAGCAACATCCCCATGAGCTCAAGACGGTGGGTGAATATGCGCTGCACCATCTCTTCAACTCCTTCATCAGCCAGGCCGAGCACAAAATCAACCAGTGCATGACAGAACGCGGCCAGCCGGAGGCGAGGGTCGAACTCATTTGCGGGCCGGGCGTGGACCCCAATTTCGACCAGTTGATTGCTGCTCTGGGACACATTGCGAGGCAGAAGCCCAAGCCCCTGATTGATACCATCATGCTGTGGCGGAAGGCGAAGAGCGAAGAGGCCGCCAAGCAGCGCACACAGCTCCTCAACGCCCGCCATGCTGCCCCTGTGCCCCAGCTCGCGCTATCACGCCGAAATACGGAACCAGTCCACCAGCCCGAGCACCAGTCTACGGCCTCGATGGCTTCGACCCGGGATATGCTGGCTCTGCAGCAGACCGTCACACAGGCCGAGCAGCGCTCGACTGTCTCAACATTTATTCTCTGTCGTGTTCTCATCGAGATCATGACGCAAACTGATTTGCAGAATCTCACATTTGACATGGCTGATCGCTTACTTGGCCTCTTCTATGGACAGCTCAGTACCGTGGACCCGGAACTCGTCGAAATTTCTCCCCTTAATCTTGCCAATTGGACCATCTATAGCCAACTGCTTGGCGTACTTAGCGGCCTGATCTTTGACCACGTCCAGGACAAATTCATCACTGATCTCAAAATTGTAGACGCCCACTTGTCCATCAAGAACCAATACAACAGGGATCATGAAGCCAAAGGAGCTCTTCTGATCCGCGCCCTACGGTACCTCAAGGTTGACAACTACCCTGAAGAGGCCTGGGATCGTACCTGCGAATTTATGCAATCCGTGGCAAAGTTGTTCAACAACGCACACGGCCAACCTATCAAATATGCCTATTGCCAGGTACTTCGGGAGCTGCTGCTCAATATTGCTTCCAAGGTCACTGTGGAGATAGGCGCACCAAGGTGGAAGATGGCCATCGATCTTCTGCGGCAGCGTGCTTCTGTATTGCTCAGCAAGCCCAAGCACTGGCACGAAGCGTTCCCGCTGATGACAGCCATCCTTTGTGTCTCACCCACAGATGTATTTCTGTCACAATGGCATGGGCTTGTGCTGTCAACACAGCCGCGACTCAAGGAACGTGCTACACGTGCCATTGCTTTGCGAGGCATCTGTCGCCTGGTTTGGACCTATCTGTACAGGCGGGGAACTGAGCCACCAAACATTGTCGTCAGACGGCTTGAAGACATCATTCGCCTGGTATTCCAGCCTGGGAGGCGGTCTTATTTATCAACGGAACCTGCCATTGCGGAACCATTGATCCAACTCACACGTATCATTGGCTACAAATATCAGGACCTGTGTTTCAAAACCATAATCTTTCCGTTGTTGAACTCGGAGATGTTCAGTGCTGGCCGAGAACTGCGAGTGGAAAACCTTGAGCCCGACCGAATGGTCATAGGTATTCGTTCTTTTCTTGCCATCATGGCAGACTTGGAGAACGCAGAACAGCCACCATTGCCCGTGAAATACAACGTTGACCTCAACGCTCCCTCTAGTGAGCTTCCAGCTCTTCCCGCTAGCCCTCGGCCTATCCAGCATCTTCCTACCAAGTCCACGCTCCTCAAAGAGGAACGTCTTTCGCGACCGGTGAATTTTAGTGGCTTTGGGGAAGTAGCCAAAGAATACTATGTTCGGTTCTGCAAGATCCTCGGTGAAATCACCATCATCTGCGACAATGCTTTCGGTGGACAAGCTGTGCTTGACGAAAAATTCTCCTTGCAGACGCCAAAGACACCAATGGCAGAGGCGTTCAGCTTCAGTCGACGGGAGGATCACCAGACGAGCTTGGATCCACGTCAAGGATTTTATGACCTACTGCATGTCGCTGTGCAGGCTTTGCCCCGTTGTCTATCGCCCCATATCCCATTCAACTCGTTGGTCAATCTGTTATGCACGGGGACAGCCCATGTGCAAGGCACCATTGCTACATCCTCGGCTCAATCACTGAAATCGATCGCACGACAATCACATGCTCAGCAAGTAACGATCGGTTTCGCTCGATTCATCTTCAATTTTGATGATCGGTATGCCACCATGTCAGATGGTGGTATGCTAGGAGCTGGGCACATTGAGAGCACTCTCAAACTTTACATTGAACTTCTGCAAATATGGATCGAGGAGATCAAGCAGAAGACACGCAAAGCGGCACTTGATTCACCAGACGATGGCTCTGGCAGTCGCGCGGCTCAGCTTGACATCAATTCCGTCTGGGCTCATGTTGATGAGATCGAATCACATGGGCTCTTCTTCCTTTGTTCACCTTCGCGACGAGTGCGAGCATTCGCCGTCACAGTACTTCGCCGTATCACTGAATTCGATACAGCTCTTGGGGGTTCTAATACGAGAGTCATCAGAGTCATGGAGGGCAGCCCTCAAAAAGTCATGGATATCAGTGACGAAAAATTGTCGCTTGCTGAACGTAGCCGTCTTCAGCGTGGCATGAGGAAAAGCAACGTTCAGAGCACTTTGGTGGAGCTATGTAGCAGCGACGTGCCATACGACTCTACGCTCTGGTTCAAGATCTTTCCCAATCTGATTCGTATAAGTTTTGAGGTCTGTCCATTTGCTGTCACCCTGACTCGAGACATTGTATGCGCACGGCTTTGTCAAATGCAACGGACTCTATCCTCGCTCGCGGAGGGACATCGCACAACGCCCTACTCACCTTTCGAACCCAGTACTGCAAAGGTCACTGGCCGATTGGCGTCCACATCACCCGACGTTGTGATTGAACAGTGGAAACTTTATCTCATCTTCGCTTTTACAACGCTTACAAATCTGGGACCGGGTACATCAGCGTCATCGCAAAGTCAACCTGTTCAACACGCAAGGAAGAGCTCCAAGTCGTCTCAAAAGAGCGGCAATAAGCTTTATACAGCTACAGAACTCTTCGCCAAAATACTGCCCTTCCTGTCTGTCGACAATACTGCGATACGGGATGCAGCTGTTGTAGGCCTGGGATCGGTCAACCTGAATCTGTACCGCACATTGCTAGAGTCTCTACAGGGTATTGTAGCCGCGTGTGCCGAGGAGGCGAAGTCACGGCTAGGGACTCATAATCGCAACCTGAGTAGTCCGCGTGTTACAAATTATCGCACAGATCACCTGCGCACAGAAATCACCCACGTATACAAGCTCACATCTCAGCAATATCTGAAGTTGCCCGAATGTTACAACGATGAGTGGATCGTCAACAATCTGGTCAACTACACAAAGGATCTGAGGATTTTCCTGAGTGACACCGAAGTGCAAATGGAGCCACGATTTTTGAAACTTCGGACTCATTATTGCGGTTTAGTCGAAGTGCTGTTTGAAGGTATCAACAAGACCAATGATCCTTTGCAGTGGATGCCCTTCCAAGCCCGCAAGGCTGCCTTCACCCTAATGGAAGAGTGGTGTGGCTATTCAGCTAACCAACCTCAAATCCGTCAAAGGGAAGAACACATGCGTCGCTCTATGCTAGACCGAGAACACGACATGGGGAATAAAGGCATCGCAACAGCGGCTCATGAGATTGAAAAACGAGATCTTCGAACGGCTGCACTCAGTGCCATGGCTGCCTTGTGTGGTGGCCCGGTCAGCATCACTACAGACAGCAAAGTTCTGCTCCAATTTGATGTCCTACGCATGCTCAACTGGATGGATAGCATTTTCGAAACGCCGAGTGATCGAACACACGCAATCGGTCGTCGAGCTCTAACTAATCTCATTCTACATAATCGCGAACATCCATACCTCCTGGAACGCTCTATAGAGATGTGTTACAACTCAAAGTCCTCCAAGGCCTTGGAGAGTTATTTCGAAGTAGTGACTCAGGTATTGACTCAACGCGAGGACTACACATTGCCGTTTTGGAAAGTTCTCAGTGCTGGATTGTACACCTTGGGGCATGAAAACAGCACAATCCGCATGAAGTCTGCACGGCTACTAAGAAAGCTGGAAGCCAGGGAACAAAAGAACTCGAAACTACAAGATCTTGACATCAGCATATCGGACAAGACCATTGCCGTCTACAAATTGGCGCAATTCGAAACTTCACGCCGGCTTGCCAAACAGCACTCTGCGCTTGCCTTTCTGGTCTTCTCTGAATTCTCTCGGTTCTTCAATAATCTCGCTGCTGATCATCAGCGCAACATGGTTGCTGCAATGTTGCCATGGGTACAGACTGTGGAGCTCCAGGTCAATCCTGAGGGGGGCCCGACTGCCAACTCGTACATGCTCCTCGTGAACTTGTTTGAAATCACCGTGTCGTGTGGTAAAGCTCTGCACAACGAAATCCAGGCTCTCTGGCAGGCTCTGGCAACCGGCCCCCATGCTGGCAATGTGCAACTCATTCTCAACTTCATCATCAACCTCTGTTTGGAAAAGCGTGAGCAAAACTACGTTGATATATCAAGACAAATTGTCGTACATCTTTCGAGTACTCCGGCGGGCTTGAAAGTGGTGGAATTTCTACTCATGCAGATCAACCCACGATCCATGGTCAGCGAGAAACGTGAGCCAATGCTTCCTCCGCCAGATGCCGCCAGTCTCCCCTATCTAGCTGATATCAGCAACCTGCTCCCAAGCAGCAATAAGCAGGTGAGTTGGGGCCTTTTTCTCCGTGACCAGGAGCTAACAAATTCAGTCTGGTTTTGCGTTGGGCCAGATTTGCCTCATTCTACTTGTTGATCTTATGGTTTCACCGATCAAGGTGGCCAATGAGCATATACCTTTACTTTTACAAGTGATCTTAATACTGTGGGATCATTACACCCCAGTGGTTCAAGATCAGGCTCGCGAGATGCTTGTACATCTCATACACGAGCTAGTCATTTCCAAAATCGAAGACGATAGCTCCGGCATCGATAAAAGATCCATTGAGGACTTTGTTGAGAACGTTCGACAACATGATGTAAAGGTGGTTTGGAACTACGACGAAAAGAACAGCAAAGATGCAGAAGATTCAGGTGCTAAAGTTCCACAGTCGATGGATTACGTTGCTGGAGAAGTGTTGAAGTTTTTTTCGCTCGCCTATCCCGCGCTTCGGGAAGCGTGGGGAAGAGTTGCGTTGAACTGGGCTACCTCCTGCCCAGTGAGACATCTTGCATGTCGATCATTTCAGGTCTTTCGCTGCATTCTGACTTCACTGGATCAGCAAATGCTCTCAGACATGCTTGCACGACTTTCAAACACAATCTCGGATGAGGAAAGCGACATACAAACATTCTCAATGGAGATCCTGACTACCCTACGAGCCATTATTGAGGCATTGGCGCCAGAAGACCTCATACAGTACCCGCAACTGTTCTGGACTACTTGTGCCTGTCTGGATACCATACATGAAGGCGAGTTTATGGAGACCTTGCTCATGCTGGATAAGTTTCTAGACAAACTCGATCTGGGCGATCATGTGGTGCTGCAAATTCTGGAGGACAGTTGTCCGGCGAAATGGGAGGGCCGATTTGAGGGACTTGCTCAGCTAACTTACAAGGGCATACGATCAAGTATATGCATAGATCGATCCCTGCGGATTCTCGAACGACTCGTAATCTTACCCTCAAGTCGCATTGTCGGTGATGATAGCAGACTCGTCTATACTGTTCTCGCCAACTTGCCAGGGTTCTTACGAACTTTTGACCCTACGTACAAGGACCTAGGCCTCCGAACCAGTGCCGAGATACTCGCGCGCGTAGCGGAAGAGCAATACCAGTGTCCTGCCCTTGCAGATGCACTTACGGCACTTGCTTTGAAGAGGACCCGGCACGAGAAAGACTTCCTTGCGCAGATCATGACGGCCATTAGGACCAGGTTCTTCCCCGATCACGAATTCGGTAGCCTTGTCTTTTTGTTGAGCCTCTTGACAAATAGAATTGACTGGGTCAAAACAAACACCATCGAGGTGCTTTGCGTATTGATACCCGAAATCGACATGCGGAAACCTGAAATTGCTTCCAAGGGCTCCGATTTGTTCTCACCGCTTCTGCGACTATTGCAGAGCGCATTTTGTTCACAAGCCTTGAGAGTGTTGGACTTCGTCATTAGCCTCAACATGACCAGCACACTTACTCCATTCGACAAGCAGCACATTCGGATGAGTATGGCTGGGTCACATTCGACCCGGGGCTATAAGAAGCAATTCGAAAAGACCCAATCCCTATATGGAATACCCGAAGAGAGCGGATGGGCCATACCTATGCCTGCTCTTCATTCACAACTTACGAGAGCCAACGTCCATGCTGTGTTCTACACCTGTGGTAACTTTGATGAAATGAACGCTCCAGACACAGAAACACCTAAGATTGAGTTCCGACAGGAAGAGTTTCCCTTCAGTCCGCTATCAGATTATCGAACGGCAACGATGACATCAGAAGATACTCGAGGCGATAGTCACATCGGCGATCTGGTGATGAAGCTTGACAGTCTAGACGATTTCTTTGACGACGATGATGATGCCGAAACGCTGACAGATTTACCAAACTTCGCAACATCCGGACGATACAATTGTCCGAGTTCACATGACGTACGGGAGAACCTTTACGACCAACAAACCGCACCCATCCTGCACAAGTCACTTACGCGCAATGCAAGCGTCACCTCTTTTCAATCGGGATTTATATCTGAGGTGAAACTATCTCCTGTTAGGGACCCAGGTGTTATGACACCTGGAGCCTTCAGTACTTTTGCCTCCTCGTTATCTTCACTTCCGCCGACCAGTAACCTGCCTTCTCGACCAGGCCTACATTCTCGGTCCGTCACATCACCATCTGCACCCAATCAAACTCACCGTGTGTCACCATCTCCCTCCTCCACGGCCTTGGACGAGCAGAACGAGCCCTTTTCCGACGATGAGTATGCAACGAGACGGTCCGATAGTGCAGACAAGACATTCAACTTGGAGCCTGTCACCAAGCCTGTACCCCAGGACGCCAGAAGTAGGTTTCGAAGCGGTATGCGACGGCTAACAGGAGGGAGTGACGCAAAGGACAGTGCTAAGACGCGAGAGGCAATTAAGCAATCGCTACAGAAGAGTCCATTGGTACCAAAGGTGCCTGATATTTACCTCGTCAACCCGAAGAGTGCAGATCCTTGAGAAGAGGAGGCTGTATTGTGCATGGAAAGAGTGACGCTACCCAACAAGCGTGTTATGGAACCTATAGGGTCGGTGTCATCATGTGGAACCCTAAGATATGAATGTTCTTTGACGCAAGATACCAAGTTCTTAGTTAGAATAGACGGCTGTTTTTTCATGTTGACTGTGTTTTTCTTTCGAACGCTGCCCTGGGCTGCCCTGGGCCATGTCCCCGCTTCCCTGGACTTGCTTTTATCACGTGGAAACATACGCCGGCGGACGCTCCCCACTCTCGTACGCCGGCACCGGATCCCTCGTCTCCACATCATCATCATACTGGTCTACCATACAATCACTGACTTCAACAAAAAGCGTAACCTTTGTGAGCCCCGTACTTGCATCCCACTCAACACTGCCCTGCCCGGCCTCCCCTTTCCCGTCGCTACCATCACTGCGTGCGCAACATCTGCCAGCTTCAGTAATTGGTGATATCGGAACTCCATGACCACTTGGTCTACTACTATGAGATTTGGGTTGAATTGTGTGGTAGCGTGGCGTAAGTTCTATGGCAGAACTGCCACAAGAGCCGAAAGCAGGTGCTCACCAGAGCGTATGGCCACTCGGGCAAGGGACGGGGATCTACCACCGGGAAGGTTGTGGCTTTAAGGTTGGGCCTATCTGTGTCGAGGTAAGTCAGTATTACCCTGTATAGTACAGCACAGGCGACTATATCTGTACACCATGCGCACATGGCAATGTACATACCAAACGCAACCAACCCCCAGATGAAGTCCTGGACAATCTCACTCGTCCTCGCATGTCTCCGACTCTCCCCTGGAAGATGCTCTTCCGTTACCACTGGAATTGCCATGGGCATGCGAGACCGAAATTCGTATTTTCTGGCCACGACTTCACGTGCCCATAATTCCATAATGTTGACTCTCCGCACCTCTCTGCGATTTCCTCGCTTCTCCCGCCTTTGGATTTCAGCAATGTAAGGTGAGTCGTCGGGGTAGTGGTCAACACGGCATCCCCATGATTCGAAGTCACGTGCTATGAAGGCAATTTTGGATAGATACGGACGATTGTGGTGCGTGGTCAATACCACGTAGTACATGATAGTTGCCGGGTGTTGCTGCTTTGCTGACGGACAAGTAAGGAAAGGTTAGGACAAGAAGGAATTAGCAAGGAGGCAGTAGAGAGGTCTACGAGCGACAGACGTTTGCTACTTATGCAAAGACCGGGTATTGGTCACTATCGCTGCTCCTTTCTGGTGGCTCCATGTGAAGTTGACCTTTGAAAGACAGCTTTTACACCCAAACGACGTAGCGCACGAGGGTGTACATCAGCGCATTCCGGGTCTTTTAGTGAAGCAATGACGCCAGGCATTACACGTCACCGCTGAACCAGCACTGTTACCGTATTCAAATCTGCCACTTGTGCAAGGGACTCCGCAAGGTGAAGGGTGCCAACGTTAGGCATGCGGCTGGGTCTGCGGCACAGCCTGCAGACCTGTGGCTGGTGTGCCTGGAATGTGAGAGCGGTTGAGAATGTTTGGGGACGTGATGATACGGCCCAACGCATGCCAAGAGCCGGGGTTGGCGTTACCTATGGTGTTTTGGTTGGAAGGTGGAAGACTGGAAATTCTGTCAGTGGTAAAGTAACTAGTATGCAGAGTACATACTTGCACGGGAACTTGATCAAGGACAACAGGATCTTCCCTTCACCTTGAGTGTAAGTCTTTCACATAAGTGCTCACTCACGCTGTCGTCATATGCATTGATTGAAATGACAGGAGTCCTGGTCAACAAGGGAAGATACAATACAACCGCATCCGTCACTAATATCATTCGCTCATCACGGCTGGTTGATATCCTCTCATTCCCGTGGGTTATGCGGATATATGTTTACCTCTCAATTCATCCCTCAGTACACTGTCTCTGCCTGTCTCAGCACAATACCACGGCTCTTCGCCCCCTCGTTCATCAATTTTTCCATGTTCCTCACTCTCACTTCTGCCATGTACTCTTGTTGCTCTGCCGAAAAAGGCCTCCATTCATGTGGATTGTGTCCGAAGCCAAAAGTTTTGTGTATAGCGTAACCCATGCACACCAAGATCAAGGCGCCGACCATGATGAGGAGAACGATCAGGGGCTTCGGTATGGAATATTCTTCGTCGCGCTTGGCAACATGGTGGGATGTTTCGGTCGCGCTGAGGAACATGTTTTGGTAGGAGATGAGCATTGGGCGACAATGGTTGCGTGGTCGTGTGAATCGAGTGGAGACTGGGAATTAAATTATTCGGAGATACAATATTGCCTTGCTCTTCGATTGGTATAGGTTCGAATACGAGATGCGGTGGAGGGACAGGATAAATGACGCTGTTCTGAGGCGAGCGATACAGTTTTTCGAATTCCGGCATTCGTAAGTGATGGATCTGGGACAGATAGACACAATGTAATTCACCGACTCTAACAAGTGGTAATCCTCGAAGCGAGGAAAAGAAGACAGGGAGTTACAGCAGCAGGTAGACGAGACTTTGTACATCTTACCAACCCATCAATAAGGCCTACATAGTAAGCACATCCTTCAATTTTTGCGTGCTTGGAAACAGCATTGCCTCTATGCTTCATCGACACTGCTCGTATATTTCCTCTTTTGCCTTAGCTTTACAGTAGAGAACGGGTGTGATTGGCTACTATGGGCCTGTCCTCGTTGAGGCGTCCACTGTAGTAGTACACCTGGGCAGTTTCCAACATCTGCGCATGTGATAGAGCGAAGCGACAAATCAGGCATCTTACTGCTGCTCATGGCCTGGGGCTAGGACGACCCGCGTGTTTTGTTGAACATGTGTACTACGCAAGGAATCGGAACCGGTGTCTGAGTGGATATCACTGTGGCGCGTAGTGGAGATGAAGTGAAGTAAGATGTGTGCCTGAGGGGGCCGTTTTGTTCAATGATCACAATGTCTAATTAATTGGAACCATCCCAGAGAAATTTGAAGTAATACCCATATTCGCCACTAAGACTGACATCGTCGGCAGTCTACACCTATGCCACCAAGCTTGCACCGACCAAACGAATTCCAAAATCTACAATGCCCAGATCGTGAAAGCGGCAATCGCCGAAAGTAGCACGGTCGTGCTATGCACCGCCAAGGACGAGGCAGCTCCTGTACTTGCGCCTGCAGTATTGCTGCCACCGGTGCTGCTGCCACCAGTACTGTTGCCAGAGCTGCTGCCAGAGCCGCTGCCAGAGCTGCCGCCAGTAGTGCCTTGCGAGGTCTCGTTTCCGCTGGATGTGTTGTTAGGGCTGTTGATGACGTCGGTCAAGTTGGCGGGTTGTGTATCAGGTAGGTCGTTTCGCTCAGGACATGATAAATCAAAGCGCGGCTCTGTCGAGAGGTTGTCGGTGATGGCGAATTTGACCTTGTTGGCTGGGTTCGCGTCTCGCAGAGTGTACCAGAATACGTTGTACTTGCCGAAAAGCGCGCAACCGACGTCTCGCCAGTAGGTAGCCGCGTTGTCGACTGATGATACTGCGGCTCCAAATGAGGGGCCACTGTATGCCCAGCCAGTCTCTGTGATCCAGACGTCCTTTCCTTTTGCGACGCCCTCAGTTGCCGCAATCGCACTGCCCATCAGCTCGGCCGCGTTTTCAATCTTGTTATCTTGCTCTGCCTGGTAGAAAGGGAAATTGTTGACCGAGACAAAATCAATCTCGTCCACGACGGCCTTGTTTGACTCGTTGACCCAGGCAGTCCATGTGTCGACGTGTGTGATTTTAACGTCACGCAGAGGCGTGTTTGCGAGACGCTCGCGAGTCGTCTTGATAAAGTTGACGATGACATCGGCCGTGTTACCCACTCCGGCCTTGTTACGACGTCCAGGCTTCGAGAAAATCAGTGATGCTCTGTGCGCATGATACGGGTAGACTTACCTCCGAGTCACGGTAAAGGTCCTCACTTCCGACCGAGAGACCGATGATGAGATCAGTCAGGCGCGTGCCGTGCTCCTCCACAGCCGCTTCCAACGCCTTCAGTTCATTGTCGATGCTGTCGGTGCCAGATGCCCAGATGCCGAGGAGCAGACGGGTGTTGGTGGCTATGGCAGCTGCGAAAGCACTGATGGGCGTGTCGGTGGTTTCCCACTGCACATTCGAGTACAGGCGGATTGCGCTGAAGTTGCCGGGCGCGCCTTGCAGTTCTTTGGCCGTCCTGAACTCTCTTTCGAAGTCTGCCTGCGACTTTGCGTTACCCTTGTCGTCGGAGGCGCCGGAGTTGAAACCGAGAAGGAAAGTGTCCTGCGCAATGGCTCCGCTGATGGTAGCTGCCGCCAGCGCAAATGCAGATGTAAATCTCATGATCAGGATAGACTTGTAGTAAGCGAGTGTGAAGAAGGGCAATGTGACAAAGAAAGGAGAAGGGAACAAGAGAAGGGGTGAGTAAGGGGAAAGTGATTCGTGTTTGAGGTTTGACGTGGGGGTCTGCACTTTTGTTGTGCGACTACGGGCAGCACAGCTTTGTTACCGGTAGGTGTACCGGTACCGATGCTGCAGATCCGAGCCCATATGGCCATTCACCCAGGGGCCATGCTTTGACCCCGTACCCCAAACTAAAGCCTGGTGTGGAGCCAGTTTGATTGGCCTGAATGACATGAGGAAACCTTTGCACAATTTCGCGTACGGGTCTTGACGCCAATCCCATCTCACGCCGTTCCATTACCGTGTGCATACCTAGTAACTAGGTAGTGCTTGACTGGTCTCGTTTCAGCCTCGCTGCCCCTGTTGTCTGAAACGGTGCGCAGGGGGTTGCTGTCAAGGGGGCTGCGTTGGCTCCTCTTCGATTTAGATAGGAGTGCATGTGTTGCACCACGTTTGCTGTCTTGTGTATAGTAGTGCATTACAACTCCTCACTCATCCACAAGCCTGATCATTCGTAATAATCCATCTTGAAAACACATGTACAACTAGGGACTAACTAACCTATGTGAAAGATGAGCTAGCTTGGCTGGAGCTGATTCTTGATGAAAGCCTCGATGTCTGCTCCCAAAATCAACGTAAAGCTCAACTGATCTGGCGCATGCGCTAGACTTGCTTCCTATCTATACGGTACCGGTACATCTCGTCTAACTCTCCTTTCGCCGTGTCGGCCTTTTGTGAGTTTTGCGTCACGACAAGCTCAGAACTGGGCATCATGGTAAGGTCAAGGGTTAATGATGAACGCAGAGCACGAATCCAGTGCCACATAGTGATTGCCCAATCTTCAAGCATGGCCAAACTTGCCATGATCCCTTTGCTAACACTCCAAGGTAGATTTACACAATCCGATAACTAAGCCTATAAGCCCCGTCGTCTTGGGTTCATCACTTGTACAAAGAAAGCAAACTCCAGAGGACCAATGAATAAAGCCAGTCGAGGTCTAAAATCCGACAGAAGTGTGGCAACCCGTCTCAACCTTCTCCAAGGAAAAGAATTGGGTTCTACTTGTCCATGAAATGATCATGACGAAAAGCATGCTCCTACTCAGCTGCCGTAGTGAGAGCAATAAGTCAGCTTACTACCGTACCCACCCATATAAAGTCCCCGCCTGTCTATATATAGTACTATATGTCTCGCTAAGAAGTACCTAGCTTCTTTTTTATTTTCTTAAAATATATTTATTTTAGATTTATTTATATGCTTACTACACCTTGTATTACTTTACCACCTATATAAATATCTCCTCGCATTCCCTTAAATTTTACTTTAGTAACTACATAAACATAATTATATTACATTACCTACGCGTCCTTATCCGCAACCATAAGGCTGACTACTTCCGCCAGCCTTCTTTTCCTCGCCGCCTTCGTCTCTGCTTAGGTAGGTAACGTGCTAGCCTTTTTTGCCTATAATATATCCAAACCTTGTTTCCAGTCTCGCGTACGGTTTATTAACATTTTCCCAGAAACCAGACCCATTACTGTGCGAGTGCTTCAGGGATACTAGGCTTCCAAGTGCGAGCCTTGGCGCATCTTGCTGCAGTACCGTGCGACTTCCTAGATATGATAACGTTCCTAGAGTCATAAACAATGCTGTTTGTGCGTTCGAGATTCCGCGTATAAGGGACTTCAAGCCGTGGGTCGAATGCTGTAGCCGCATTACTAAGGGAGGACCCGCCGGTACTTTAAGCGCTAGTCCAGGGACATACTCAGGCGCGCCAGTACGTTAAGCGCTCGCCGGGGACATGCTCAGGCATTTAGGTAACGGCAAGGGCCGTTAGTTTAGATAATAGAAATCTAGAAGACATTGTTGTATCTGCATGCTCTTGTCTATAGAAAAGCAAGCAGAAACCGCAGTGCTGAATATACAACGTCTTAATCATGGCTTCTTCGTTGCATCCTACCCACGTGCTCAAAGTTTTACTAATCCGTAAACCACCCTCACTACGGTAAAAAATTGTTTACTATAGAATAGTACGCTAGGGGTTTACTATATAGGTGTAAACTAACCTTATATATACCTATAAATAGGTTTAAAGTAGTAGTTTACTTTTATTAAAGTAGTAGTTTACTTTTATAGTAGGGGTTTAAATTAAGTATAAAAAGTAGTTTTATTTCTATTATACGCTATAATACCTAACTAAGACTAAAAGGGGTAGAAAAGATTATACGTATATATAATATAATAATAAGTTATAATATTTTTACTAATAGGAGGTGGTGATAATAGAGGTGGTAATAATAGAGGTAGTAGAGGTGGTAATAAAAGAGGTGGTGGAGGTAGTGACTGATAGAGGTGGTGGAGGTGGAACTACCGAACGAGGTGGCCGAG